AAACAGAAGGTGAGTCAGGCGATAATGTGGAAGCAAGCTCCATTCAGGATACAGAATCTGGTGAGATCACCACGAAGGAATTAGCCAAGGAACTTGAAGCTATAAGGGCAAGTGACAAAGAAACATCAGGGGACACGAATGGGAAACAGGAGAACATGAGATCCTTGCCTTGGCACGATGAAAGCGATAAACTAATGAACAAAACAGGAGAAGAACAGGAGTTGGGAGTCGAGGATACCCAACCACATGCTACAGTCCTTCCTGAGGATAGCAGAAAAGAGCAGAATGAAGTGAGGATAGATCCATCAAACTGCCAATAGAAGGAAAAGTCATTGGAAAAAAGAAATGGATAAGGCATGAAAGGAAGAAAGTGGACAAGCAGGAAAAAGCAAAGGAGTCAATGGGCGGAAAAAGATCACACGAGGATGAAGTGATAGACATGGAAATCAACCCCGTGCCTTGTGGTGGGAAGAAGATGAAACAAAACTCAAAACTTAATGTGGATGGCGAAGTGGTGGACCTTGCCGGTGAGCAAGGCCACCGAGCCCAATGAGGCTTATAAGCTTCAACTGTCGAGGTCTGGACCAATCCTCGGCAGTTGATGAATTAAAAAGGCTCGCGGGGAAACAGAGACCTGATGTGTTATTCCTGATGGAAACTCGACTGTCTAATAGGGAATGGAGAAGTGTTAAATGGAAACTTGGGTACAAAAATGGATGGGGTGTCCCAGCCAGAGAAGATAAGGGGATTAAAGCTGGGGGAGTTTGCTTGTTCTGGAGGGAGGGGATCACGTTATCCTATTTGTCCAACGCTATAAATTACTATGATGTCACAGTGAGTTATGAGGAAGAAGGGCCAATGTGGAGGTTTACTGGATTCTATGGCAATCCCTATAGAAATGAAAGAGATTTGTCTTGGGAGCAACTTAGAAGGCATAAGGGAGCTTCTGATCTCCCATGGTTATGTATGGGGGATTTCAACCAAGTCATGGTTGGGGATGAAAAGGAAGGAGGCAGGTTAATTAATGAAAACATGGTTATTAAGTTCTGATTTTGTAGTTGATGCAACAGAGAAAAGAGTCTCGGATAGCATGAACGAGGAGCTGTCAACTCCTTTCAAAGAAGAAGAAATCTATAATGCTCTCAAGCATATGAGCCCTACAAAAGCCCCTGGCTCTGATGGCTTTCCTGCAGGATTCTATCATCATAATTGGGATGCAATTGGGGGTCATGTTACAACAGATGTGCTTAAATATCTCAATGAAGGGTTCCTCCCCCCTGAAGTTAATCATACACTGATAGTGCTTATCACTAAGGTGAAAAAACCTACTATGTTCAAGGATTTCAGGCCTATAAGTCTATGCAGGGTTATCTGTAAGATTGTGTCAAAAGTTTTGGCGAACAGACTCAAGGGATTTCTTAATGAGATAATTTCTGAAGAGCAGAGTGCTTTCATTAAAGACAGATTTATTACTGACAATATTATCACTGCCTTTGAATGCTTTCAGTACTTGAAGAGGAAGACCAAAGGAAAGAAATGATTCTTTGCTGCAAAGTTGGATATGACCAAGGCTTACGACAGAGTTGAATGGGACTTCTTGGAGAAAATGCTTCAGAAGCTTGGTTTCAAGGAGAATTGGATCAAATTGGTCATGATGTGTGTTAGGAGTGTTTTCCTACTCTGTATTGGTTAATGGTCATCGATCGAAAGAGATTAAACCCTCAAGGGGCCTCAGACAAGGTGACCCTCTGTCACCCTACCGTTTTCTTATATGTGCTGAGGGTTTCTCAGCCCTTCTGAAGAAAGCAGAGAAAGAGAAGAAGATCCAAGGGATCAAGATATGTCATAGAGCGCCTACCATTTCACATTTACTATTTGCTGATGATAGCCTTGTCTTTGGGAGGGCAACAATTGCTAATTGTGAAGAATTGAAAAGGATATTGAGAATCTATGAGAATGAGTCTGGTCAGAGTATCAACCTATCAAAATCAGAGGTGTCTTTTAGCAAGAATGTGAGATGGAGCAGAAGATTGGAGATTAGTGGGACCTCGGGAATCAAGACTGTTGATAAACATAACAAGTACCTTGGCCTGCCTACTATTATTGGTAGATCAAAAAGAGAAGTTTTTGAAGAGCTGAAAGAAAGGGTTAGGAAGAGACTAAAGGATTGGAAAAGCCTCACTCTCTCGGTTGCAGGGAAAGAAATTCTGATTAAAACTGTCGCCCAAGCGCAACTTATCTATCCAATGATGGTGTTTCAAATTCCAGAAGGAATCCTTCTTGAAATTCAAAGGTTGATTGCCAGATTCTGGTGGGGACAAAATCATGATGAGAGAAGGGTTCATTGGAATAATTGGGAAGAGCTATGCTTGCCTAAGGAAGCGGATGGATTGGGGTTCAAAGATATAAGAACGGTTAATACTGCTATGCTGGGAAAACAGATCTGGAACATCTTAAATCGACCAAATTCTCTGATGGCGAAGGTTCTCAAGGCGAGGTATTTCCCTAAAACTGAGATTCTAAATGCTAAGCTCGGCAGCAATCCTAGTTTCATATGGAGGAGTCTAGTCAAAGCTAAAGATGAAATCGTGGATGGCTTCCGATGGAGGGTGGGAGATGGAAATAATATCAATGTGTGGGAGGATTGGTGGATCCCAAACATCAGGAAGCTTACTACTAATGAGCAAAGCAACACTTTTGAACCAAATATGAAGGTGAGCTCCCTTATTGACAGAGAAAGCGGATGGTGGGATTTACCAAAGCTCCAGTCTCTATTCCCAAGCGAGATTCAATCTGATATTATGAGGACCCCCCTAAGAAATCCTCCTACTGAGGATTCAGTTCTATGGTCGTGGATGGATAATGGAATCTATACTGTTAAATCAGTGTACATGGAGCTTAGGCAGAAGAAGTTTCCTTGGTTGGAAAGCAATAATTTGGACGCTCAAAGAATGAATACCTACTGGAAGAAGATTTGGAACCTCCCAGTTCAACCAAAAGTTAAAGTTTTACTTTGGAAGATCAGCAGAGACATATTACCTGTTGGAGCTAACATTGAGAAGCGTATTGAAGATGCCCCATCAGACTGCCCCTTTTGTGGACTTCCAGAAACCCAACTCCATTATCTGAGGGATTGTGAGTGGACTCGTCGGCTCTGGAAACCTCGTGATGTGACTGGTATCTTCAACCAAGGGGAAGGGATTTCGGGGAATGACTGGTTTCTCAAGGTTTTTGAATCCCAATCGGAGGAGAACCTACAAAAATTTTGTGCGATGCTTTGGTTCATTTGGAAAGAGAGATGCAATCACATGTTTAATAATAAGAAACTGGAGGAGGGGGAGATCATACCGAAAGCTCTTGACTGGATAGCGGACTACATTCAAGCTCAGGGTACCACTGTTCAAAGGGGAAGGCAGGTAGCTGAAGCCCAGGGTTGGAGGAGACCACCAGAAGGAATCTACAAGATGAACAGTGATGCAGGGCTGCTGAAACCATCTGGAATCGGGGTTGGTTGTGTTTTCAAGAACTGGGAAGGGGAATTCCTAGGAGCAGTAGCTGGAAAAGAGGGTGGGAATTGTAGACCAATAGAGGCAGAGACAAAGGCGATCATTGCTGGGTTGAGAGAGGCGAATCAAAGAGGCTGGAGCCCTCTGATTGTGGAGTCTGACTGTCTCAATTTGGTGAAGATGATGGATAAGGGAGAAGAAGATCGGACTGAATTGGGTATGTGGTGCAAAGAGATCGGGGACTTAGCTGAGGTCAACGCGACGCTTTCTGGCAGAAGAGTCGAGTGGGCCTTTGTGCCAAGAGATTCTAATTCTGTAGCCTACCTTTTGGCCCACTCTGCTCCTCATTGGAACCAACTTTGTATTTGGACTGATAGTCCACCTAGCTCCATTAGGAGCCTGTTAGCTGGAAGTTAATTCATAATATTAACAGGGCTTTCCATAAAAAAAATGACTACAGCTTATTTCTATCTACTTGGGTGATGGTCATATCGCTTGGTCCTCCAAGAAGCAAAGAACGGTTGCTTGTAATTTTACCAAGGTTGAGTATAAAGTTGTTGGTATCGGAGCAGTTGAACTCGTCTAACATGAGTTCTTCTCGACTGATGTATCTCAAATTACAGGTTTAGTTGTTGTGACCTTGGCATGCACGAGCTTAGTTGTTGTGACCTTGGAGTGCCTGTCGGTTAATCGTGGTTTGGTGATATTTTTTTCTAATTTAGAAGTGATGTAAGGAATGTGAGATCGATATGCACCAAAAATGATGCGATCTCACTTTGTTAGTGATCGAGTTGACAAATAATTTATCCCAATTCAGTATGTTTTCTCCTCCACTCAACTAGTCTATTTGCTCACCAACAAAACATGCCACCAGCAAAAACACACATTATCAATTTATTTACAGATCCAATTGAGAGGAATTTTCTTCCGATTCAACATGTGTCTATTTCAAGGATTGAAATATCGTACCGGAGGTTGTACCGGAAAGTCAGCGGTAAGATATTTTATGCTAAAATCATGGTTCAACCGCTTAATACCGCTAAATACTGTCGGTACGATACGATATTTTCTGGTCTAACCGCTGGTACAGTATTTCAATCCTTGGTGTATTTGCTATCTTGTGGAGCCTATTAGAGATAACTTTCTCCATACTATTCACTATATAGGGTTTGTGACTATTGAAACGCGGCAAACATGCAACCTAATCAAAAGCATTGACTAATTCAAGGTTGAAGCTTCCCGTGAAGGGCAAAAAGTCACTCGGTTTAGTCAGTTTAACTATTGAATAGCCTAAAGGAAGTTTCTGAACAATTACAAATACACCCACATAAAGCAATTAAGGTGCCGCCACGAAGCCAGTCTCTAGTAGGCTTTCAACTTTCAGCCGCGCATGGAGCAGACAGATGCCAGCACAAGTCCAAGGTCCCCTCCACTATGAGCTTGGCGAGCAAGTAACTTGATGGATATATAAACACCAACTCACCATAGCCTATACATTCACCAAGCCAGTTTCAACATATAATATAACTAGCAAGCAATCGAGAGAGATCGATATTCACACGACGCATCAGAAGCAAGAATTTGCAGCAGTAGTCAGTACTACAAGTGATGGGTCCAAATTCACTGATCAACCTGGTTTCTTCTAGCTTTCAAATTGAAAGCAGCACCATGGGGAAGGGAGGGATTAGCTGGAAGTGGCCCAAGGCTGCAGCAGCCATTCTACGGATGTTGGTGATATGGGCCAAGAAACCTGCTGCAGTAGCTGGGGATGCCGACGTAGCAGAGCAAGTTTACAAGTACTCAAGCAAGGCAACGACTGGCCGATCAATCAGGCCAGAGGCAGAAATGGCGGCAGCAGCTAAACATTTCTCCTCTGCCCATAAAATTCGGTTTGGCGGTTGATCAAACCTTACTTACTACAGTATGTGTAAACTATATGGAATGGAAATGTCAAGCATGTTAGTATTCATACAAGACAAACCTATCTAATCTCAGAAGCAAATCGAGAAAGTTTTGCCAATTTGTGTTTCGGCAGTGCCGTTTGATAAATTCTCATCATTTAGAATCATTTCATTACAATTGGTTCCGGAGACTGATTGATGTACGTTCATTATTGAATTTGTTTAATCTTCACTAAAGCTGACAAGAGGTAGCAGCAAGTATTCACCAGACCATAACCCTTCCATCCAACACGACTCCTGACTCAAAACGACCAACCCAACCTCTCTCCGATTGGAAAAAGATTTTAACTTTATCAATCGTGAAGAAAGTTGTGGGCACCTTGCTTATGGAGAAAGTAAACCATCGAGTCGTTGTTCTTGCAGTATAGACATCAAAAGCAAGCAACGGGAAACTGTTCATCTATGATGATTATGATCAGTACTCATAGTGAGGCGAGATCTACAAATGCAAAAGCTAGAAACAAACGGGAACAGCAGTATCCTGAGAAATGCACTCAACCATCGGGTCGCCTAATGTTGTAAGGATAATGTAAGCATCAAATTGTCTAGAAGAACGATATACGTGAAACCTAGATAGCCATCGTTGAAAAGAGATGGATACTGAAAACCTGGCATAGAATACCGAGAAGTCCAACACCGAAAGCCACTAATCGCAAGAAACTAAAAGCACGAAAGTAAACCAGTGAAGGCATCATTCAGAGTGTAGAAAGTCAGGGCATAGCAAAGGCAACAAATAAAGTAATGATCATAATAACCTTAATATAGTATAATTCTGTCTACAGTTTGGCTCTGCGCATCAACGTTCATCCATGTAAAGCCAAACAGTGTCCCACTACCACAGAACTCATCAATGTACATAGCACTTAACTGTGCTTAATCACACACAAAAAAAGATGTCACCCATTGCAGCTCACACAGAAAAATGTCATCAGTATCATGTTTTTGCTTAAATTAATCTGCATCTAGGGTTACACCAAAAGTGGCTCGTGCCAACGTTGATTCAATCACTAGGTGTGTTGCACTGCAGTATATAAAGTTCGATCACAAACAAAGACCATCTTTTAAAAATCACAATGACCGATTCAATGAGTATACAACTGCAGATAAAAACTTCCCACCTCAATAGATTGAAGCATCAAATCTAGGCTCATAAAAGCACACCTGGCTGTTATATGACTGAAGAGCACATCCAGCAATCCACGACCAAACCTTCTTATCCACATCATACAACAGACTCTTCCCTTGGTTCCATGATGTGAAACAAATCAAATTATCCTGACCGAAGCACTCAAATCTCTCAGCTGATAACCTTAGCAGTGCCCTGAAATACTTTGGTGGCATTCTACTAATTTCTACCCACGTGTTTTTGGTGTGATCCAACTCCCAAATTCTCATACTCTGAAGAGTGCTATAAAGGCCGATTCTTCCAACCAAAAACAATCGCTGTTGAGTGCCAGCCACTAAGTATCCATCCAACAGAGAGCGTGGAAACTTAGCAGGAATATGCTCCCAATAACCTGTGTCAAGACTATACATCATCAAACCGAGAGGAGAAAGAGTCTCGAGATACAATCTAGAGTCACAATATGCCATCTTTGAAGAACATAGATTAATTGTAGGCATTATCTGGTGAACCAACCATCTATCCATCTTCGAATCATAAACTTCAGTTGGCAAAGATTTATCACCATAGATATCACTGGTAGCTATAACTTTGAAGGACCTAACTGAACGATCCACAACCAATATCAACTGCCTTTGGTGATTATAATGCATGCTAGGCAGGGTCCTCCAGGTTTGTGTCAGTGGATTACAGACCAGAGTTTTGAAAGCTAATCCATCCAGCCCTGAGAAGCAAACGAGCCCACCAGAAGAACCAACCAACCAAAATGCCCACTGTGGCAGAAATGTGAACGGAACTCGATACCAGGTTTTCAAAGGCAAACTGAAAACAGAACACTGTGGAGTCTGAGAGTTCTTCCAAAATGTCAGAAGACAAGGACCATGAGAAGGCACCTGGGAGTGGAATTTAAGAAAGCTATTGTCTTGAAGAATTAAATTCCAACGTTTGCAAACCGAACGAAGGCGAAAGATCATGAATGGGGGAACTCTAGCTAGAATCTCATTCAAAAGATCCTCAGGCAACATTGCCCATATGTTGTCCTCCATCTGAACATCACAATGAACAGATTTCCCAAATGTAGAAGCCGTCTCTTCATCCAAACCGCGAGGTTTGGTCTTCACTACTTTTTGCCTCGAAGGGCTCGTATTCCTTGGCCCTACACGACCCATGGGGCTAGTATTCCTCGATTCACATATCCTAATCGGTGAAACTTGCCTGGGGCAACAACCTTCATCACGATACTCATAGGTTAGTACCGATCTAGGACTAGCCATTGCAGACACAGATTCAGAAGACCCTCCTCCGATCTCATCCATGTCTAGTGATAGAAACAACAACCCTAATCCAGCCAGCTTCCAAGTTCGTGTCTTTCGACTTTTAATTCTCAATCTCAGATAAAACCTCGATTCTTCTTAGGCAAATGCATCAGAAACATCGAATACTTTACATATACAAAACGATGCTAACAGCGATCGCTTAACTAACAACAGAAACCCATTACCCCATTCGACCACACAAACTGAAGCAAATTCAATACCTAGCAAAGAAAGTTGGCAATTCCATTTGGCTACCAAACGTACCGTGATAAGGAAAGCCCAGAACTGAAAGTAGCAATCTTTGGAGCAGATGAAGAGAGAAGAAATTGTGGGCAGGGAAAGAGATTGGGAATGGGAACTGGAAAATGGAAACCAAGGTCTGTTGAGGAGAAGAGGAAATGGGTTGTGTTTACCCTTGGAATTCGAAGGAGTTATCCTGTTTTGTGGCAGGACTTGGGAACAGCTTGACGGAACTGCAGGTGAGTGAAATTAATGGCCAGCTAAAGTAATTAAACTCACCCTAACCTCCCCGCCCCTCCATCTAAATCTCTCTCTCAACGAGAACTTTTTTTAATGAAGAAATTAGGTGTGTTTGTTATTTTTCAAAACATTTTCCAACTAAAGGTCAAATTTTGCCAAAAGAAATTATGTTTGATGACGTCCTTTAAACTTCCTATTATCGAAAACTTTGTTTGGAAAATTACTCTAAACATCATTGTATTTGCTGTTTATAGGCAACATTTGCACAATGATGGATTTTGGAGGTGGAACAATGATTATAACTCAGTTTATGAAGTTTTACATGACCTCAATTTGAAGTGAAAAATAAGTATATATTGGGTATTAGAAATGAATTTTGGTATAACAGTTTAGCTTATCTAATAGAGATATCAAATTCATTTGGTTTATATTGTAGTGCTTTTATAACAATTTAGCTTATGGTCTCACTTATGTATAAAAAAAGTGACTTTGTAGTGATATCATAACCCAACTAAGTTCATATTTTACCATTAGGTTGTCATACTATTACTAATCCATATGCATGTTTTCCATATTGTCTTTTGTACAAAGTTGTTGGAGTCTTTATCCCTCGACAATTTTAAGAGTTATATACTAGTACTAATCCTCATTATTAATCTTTAGAGAAGACATGGTGATAAAACACAACACCTGATACAACGAAACAGAGAGTTCCTAATTGGTTCTCTCTGGTAATACAATCCCGTAAAAAAAACTCACAACTGTCTGCTACTATCTGCTACCATTTGTACCACAATCCCTCTACACAATACCTATACTACTGTAATCACACAAAAGAGTAGGAAATGCACCCACAACAAATTGTAACTCACGTAACCATAGATTGCACACCACTTCAGCAGCTCATGGTTGTTCCCCATGGCTTCTTCAGCATCTCTCCTGCCAAATAAAATATGACAAAGAACACCAAATTAACCCTATCATACGCCCCAACGCACTATTCCTAATAGACACTGCTTCCTTAACCCGCGAGTCCCAAGAGCCACTTCCAACCTGCAATCCCACTTTCGTCAACAAGCCTTTGGAAAAACTGCACTCAAAGAACATATGTTCCCTCGTCTCGCTGCCAACACCACACAAGTTGCAAACATCATCCTGCACTCGTCCCCATTTCAACATTTTTGCTTTCGTAACCATTACATCCAGCATGATGATCCAAGAGATAAAAATCCATCTAGGCACATGATGCTTTCCCCAAAGAAGTTTGGACCAGTTTACTCTAGTATTAACAGGTCGCAGGGTTTTCCAGGCCTCACGAACAGAGTATAACACCATCCTTTTACCTTGCCAAGTCCCAACCCCATCCTGCAATCCCATTAAAGGCTGGAATTGAGGATGAAGTTTCAATATTCTGCGCCAAGCCCAAAAACTAGATGTTGTAATCGTCATACACCAAAGATCTGTTCCTCTGCACCTGTAAGCAACCATCCAAGCCACCCATAGGCTCCTGAGCGCATCATGAGGAGCCAGAGCATCCTTGCAGTGCCTGCTCTATTCCATGTAAACAAGTAATATACGCCCATACCACCCTCCTTCTTAGGTCTAGCAATCTTCTCCCATGCCACCTTTGGCCTTCCAGATTCCTCTCCTTGCCACAGGAAGTCCGAACAGATCTTCTGCAACTTTCGAAGAAACTTTTTAGGAAACAGGAACAGCTGGAGTCAATATTGAATCACCCCCATTAAGACTGAGGAAACTAATTGTATTCTCCCTGCATAAGTCAGTTTCTTTGCATGCCATGATCGTATTTTCTTGGTTAACTTTTCAAGCAACACCTCGCAATCTGAATCCTTCAACTTTCCAGACAGCAAGGGGAGTCCGAGATACCTAACAGGTAAGGAACCCTCCTTAAAGCCAGATACAGTTAGAGCAGCTACCTTATATGAATCCATCTCCAACCAAATCGACCTAAACATTAGCAAAACTTATATGTATTTCATATTCTCATGGATGGTTTCGGAAATATTTTACCTACACCAAGGATCATTGATCACTAATCAGTTTCTTGAAAGGGTGAGATCCAACCTATACAACCCCATGTACACACATGTGACCTAGCTTTGAGTGTACACTATAACTTTGACCAAAGTTGAAGATAAAAACTTCTGGTGATGAGACATTGAGGCTTCTAGCTCTTAATATTATGTGGGTTACACCATGAATGTTTGTGTAACACACTTGAAGATGTGTTTTTGTTGCCAATTCAGTTGTTACATTGTCACTTCCTTGTAAAACAGACCCTAGTATTTGTATTATCAAGAAATTTTTTATGAGGTCTCATTAACTATTATTAACTCTTCCTAACTCATACCATTTAAGGACATCTCGACAGTCGAAATATTGTACCTAATATAACGATTTACAAACATACGTTCTCTCTTACTAGCTTACTACACTGGTTGGTCAACTCCACAAATACCTTGCTTAGATAATTAACTTGCATCCCCATATTGATTACTAAAAATCTCAAAGTAAGCATTCATTAGGAAGCATTTGGAGAGAGCAATTAGTAAGAATCCCAAAACAAAATAGTAATGATGTAGAAGAACAAATTGCGCCCCTTTACGATGGACCTGATCCCGGTTTGTAATTATAGCCAGCCGCGGCCTACGGGCCCTTTGCCAGCGAAAGCCCACCGGCGAGGAAGTGACTGAAATGATTTCCCCGTTTTAATTAATTAATTAAATTTTCACCTTTATTATATTTTCCACTCCATAAACATTCGCCAATCGTCGCCAGTCAGTCCTCCCTGTCGCCGTCGCTCATCGGTCGGATATCTCATAGCGCCCCCCTTTGTTTTCGTCTCTTCTGTTTCAGTCCTTTCCAGTCTCCACTTCTTCAATTCTCCCTTTCGCCAAAACGCCGCCCAGATGGCGAGATAACGAATCGTCCCCGCCACAACAATACTGCACTGATCGCCGTCTCTTTCAGGTATGCATCGCCGGCTCCCTTTCAGCTTTTTTTTTAGAGACCCACTTGTCATTTACCACTTCTGGTTTCTGGGTTTCCATTAGTTTTTACAGAGATTGACCCATCATCAATATGATTCCTGATTTGGGTGTTTACTTTTCCACCCAACCATCTGCGTCATCATTATGAAAATTGCAAACCCACTTGAACTAGGATTCTAGGTTGCCCTCCCTGAAAGCCTCTCTCCCTCTTTTTTCTACTAGGGGTAATCGCCACTTGAATTAGTAGATGTAGATCTTCAGAGTTGTGGCGATCATCCCAAGAAGAAGAAGAAGAGTTTAAGCTCTCGCTTTGATCTAATCATCTTCTTGGGTTGATGACAGGAGGAGACTCGAGCAGTTCCTTTCTTTTTCTTCTTCGGAATCCAGTCCCAAGATGTGGTTACTGAGCAGCCGTAGCTCAACAAAGAATGGTATCTAAAGGGGACTTGATTGCTATTGGAGTGTCTGTAGGGTTGGGGCTTGGTGTAGTTATAGCAGTGCTTATGTTCATCTTTGTGAGGTGGCAGAAGAAGCGGGCTGACCTTCACGGCCGAAGTTTAGCAGCCAGTGAGCAGCGGAGTCCGACTTCGTCTGCACCCATACGAGTCAATGGCGTGGACGCGTCGACTGATTTCAGCGCCTCGATAACGATACGCGAGCCTCAGCTCGCTCACAAGGTTCCTAGCCCTCATTCGTCTTGGTGGGGTCGGCCCAGCAAAGACCATTTCGTCTCGGCTTCTGGGGTGATTGGATACTCTTACAAGTGAGTGTCTTTCGTGAAGTCTTATCCCTCTCTCAGCAGCAGGAGATGGAGAATGCCATGATTTCGACGATGAGTGTTGTTTTCGTTGCAGGGATATCCAGAAAGCAACACAGAATTTCACGACGACAGTGGGGCAGGGTTCATTCGGGGTGGTGTATAAGGCGGTCCTGAATTCTGGAGACACTTATGCTGTGAAAGTCCTTGCCTCGGATTCCAGGCAGGGGGAGAAGGAGTTCCAGACAGAGGTAGGCGAACGTGCTTGATTCGGTGTATTTGTAGACGTGCTCATTATTTCATCGATCTAACTCTCCCAAACACGACCTATTAAAACGAACTCGTAAACTAGAAGTCTCAAGATATCAATTTACCTCGTACTTCGGAAAATCTTGTGCTTAGCTGTGAGTTATTGAGCTTGGTTGTTTTGCTTGCAGGTTTGTCTTCTTGGGAGGCTGCATCACCGGAATCTAGTGAATCTGATTGGATACTGTGTAGATAGGGGGCAACGAATGCTGATCTATGAGTTCATGAGCAATGGCAGCCTGGCAAACCTTTTATACAGTAAGGGCAAGCTATGCTTCAAATAGAAACCCATAAACACAGGGTTAAAGCTTCAAGTCAGATTCTCGCACTCGTTACACTGTTGTTCACTTGACTTAACTGCTTTGCAGATAATGATGCAATCATTCTGAGCTGGGAAGACAGGGTCCAAATCGCTCTGGATATTTCACATGGCATTGAGTATCTTCATGAAGGGGTAAGCTTCATCATCTTTCTATAGTTCAATGAAGGAAACTTGTGGGTCTCATTGATCCCTTTTGAAAACCTGTGGTCTCATTGATCCCTCCTTTTTCAACACAGGCTGTTCCACCTGTTATACATCGCGATTTGAAGTCTGCTAACATATTGTTGGACCTATCAATGAGAGCTAAGGTAAGCAAAGTCCTCTAAAACCTAAGTTTCGGTGATTAAGAAAGTGGCTAGTCACTTGTATGTTGTATTTATTACTCATTTATGTCTGCCTATTGCTATGTACTTATGAATTTTAGGTGGCTGATTTCGGTCTGTCCAAGGAAGATGCATTTGACGAACATAACTCCGGCCTCAAGGGAACTTATGGCTACATAGACCCAGTGTATATAGCAACAAACAGGTTCACTACGAAGAGCGACATCTACAGTTTTGGTGTTATCATCTTTGAACTTATTACTGGCATCCATCCCCATCAGAACCTCATGGAATACATCAATCTTGTAAGTCCTGCAAAAAGCTTTGTTCTGGTTTCCCCTACAGCTATATGGCCATGGCTAACACCCTAATTCTATGCCGTTTCTATTTTCTTGTCTCCCAAGGCTGCAATGAGTTCAGATGGGGTCGATGAAATAATCGACGAGAAACTTGCGGGTAAATGCGAGATTCAAGAGGTGAGGGAGCTAGCAAAAATTGGTCACAGATGCTTGCATAAATTCCAAAGAAAGCGGCCAACAATAGGTGAAGTTTCACAGGGTATATTGAAGATAAGACAGCGTCGCCATGTCAGGCAAGATACCATGTCCACACAAGCAAGTTTCTCCAGAGTTCTAAGCAGGATACAGAGTCAACATATAGAATTGAGTAGAATAGCCAGCATGAAAGAGGGTGATCCATAGTCTTAACTTTTTCCTAGATTTTTTTTCTTGTGGCTTTCCTTCTCTTCTCCCACTTCTTTTCTGGTTTTCCCAAAATTTTGTGCTATTTCAAGGTCTCACTTATTTACTTCATAACTGAGGCCAGACAGAGTATATACTATACCCTCTACTCATTTTTGCTAACTCATTGAAAGTTTCATCGTGTTCAAATTTAAGAATACAAAATGTCTATATCAGTACTATGACTTGATTTCCTTTCTTTTACCCCTACAATTTGTTGGTTGCTGGGATATTATCACATCCAATAAACTGGGTTCATATGAGCGTCGTTACTTGTTCATCAAGGATCACGACATCTCTTTAGGGAATTTCTCCAACACAACGATCAATATTGATTATCCTTCTGTAACCCAATTGGCCTACTTCATTGCTACTCTTAAACAAAAACACATGGCAAGGCATCAAAGAAATTCAATAATGGTATGCTCCAGAGGGAGCAGAACACAACGAACATTGCAGTTCCTGTGTTTTTCCATTTATCACTACAATCAGTAACATCTTAGCTGCTGCAAACTAATCGTCCCTTACAAGGATTATTTACTCATTTGCAGCAGAAGAGAAGATCAGGAACCTTTCTATACATTATGTCTTATTAGTTCCTGTGTTTTCCACTTTTATTACAATCAAATGCCTAGAATAGCAGATTTTTTGCAGTCTAAGCAAAAAGTAGAGCCAGAGAGTGGGGAAATAGTAAAAAAGGGGGGAAGACAAAAAGAAGGTAAAAAAAATGCATATTTGATATTACACAGAGAGTAACAAAAAAGTAGTTCTCACCTCAGCAGCTTGTGATAAACTTCCAGCTGAAAGGGTTGGAGATACTGGCAAGCTGCATATTCCGAAGCTGGGTCAAAACTGGCACGAGGTTCCTAACCGCTGTCTTGGGTTTCTCTGACCTTGCTTTCCTGCTGATTCACGGTTTTCAAAAGCAGGGTACAGCAACTTCTGGAAAATGTCGAGAAACTGTGTCCACTCTCCTTCACTCAGCTCAGAAATCTTCACAAAGCTGCAGCTCGAAGGAAGCTGTTCATTCACACTCCTGTTCCCAGACGATACCCCAGCCATACACCCGAGTTTCTCCATTGCAATCTCGCGCCTCCAGCTCTTCTCACCTAAACTCATGTTCTTTAACAACATTGACCTTTTAGCCAAGGTCGTAGTCATAACTGCGATTTCACCAACATCAGGGTCAGTACTAATATCTACAACTGCAGTAGTAGTTAGCCCATCCTCCTCTTCCTCTTCAAGACTCTCCTCTAGCTTGGAAAGTAGGTTCCGGACGTTCCTGCACCCAAATGAAACTGTTCTTAACGGTGGCCCAAATAGTTCGGCCTGACAGTCAATGTCAAACTGGAACTCCTCGTTACTATCTCCTCCTTTCTTCACGTCAGAAGAAGGGGATGATGATCTTGACTCCTCTACTCGACTTCTTGCCTCCATGCATATGAGCTCAAACTCACTAGGTTCCTCTTCTGGACCGCAGAACTCCCTACTCATCATTTCTCCAATCTCTCCCAAGCACAGACCGAAACCTGCGGCTTGCTTCAGGAAAATTGTACAAACGACTAGAATCCTGAGGCACGCCTCTCTAATCATCGGCAGTTCCCTCCTCAACATGTCAGCATCTCGACAAGGCTCGAGACTGTTAATGTACTCGAGCTCGTCATCGGAGAATGGTAATGAAGCTTGTGGCCAGTTTATCCACTCGAAATATGGGTTCTCCAAGTCTTCTGGAAGGCATAGTCCATGATCAATGGGGATAAGGTCGACTTGTCCAAACCTTCCAATCCCATCCAGCTTCCTAACCAGAAGATTCCCTGCATGCCTGTCGGTATTCAAGATTCTCACGTCTAAGATTCCTATCCTATGCACAGCAGCAACCGGGAAACTCGAAGTCCCATGGTCACTGGCATCAAAATCATGATGTATGTACTTCTGAAGCGATGCAATCTTGCTAACCTGCTTCTTCGGGTGTTGATGCTGCTTGCCCTGATTCATTCCATCGTTGATGTTGAAAATGGAATGCGTCACCTTTACAAGGACTGTGGGAGGCACATTGGCAAAGTGATCATGATCGAGAAGGTAAGCTGCCACTTCTCTGAACCCTGTTTCACCAACCCGAACTGAACGTTTCAGACCCGGCTGACCGAGGGCCTTCCCGACAAACCCTTTGGGGTTGTTGGGGGCATAAGGCTCTTCATCTGTGGGTTTCACAATGGCAATATTTTCATATTGGCAATTTTTGAAATAGTATGCACCTCCAAGGCCGCCATGAGTTGGGGTTGGATTGACACCATTTCTCATTGCTATTGTGATTTCTCTCACTAGTGGCTTTACTACAGCAAAATGATCTGAAAATCCAAGTATCTCAATTGGGCTGCTCTTGTCACTCTGCTGAAGATGATCCTTTGCACGTGGCAAAAGACATGGAGTCGATGAGCTTCTGTGCATGAAGTTCCTTGTGAGGAGAAGTGGAGAACAGTTTCTAACTTCACTCAGATCATTTTTCAGTATTACATCGCCAAATATCAAGGATCTCTCCTCCGTTGGGATGTTGAGGGCAAGCTGTAGCTTTCTCTTCACCGTGTGGGCGTTATCACTCCCATCTAGTTCAATTCCCAAAACAAATCCTGTTTCAGTTTGGACGAATACACGCCGCCTCCTAGGGGAAGGTTTTCTCGCTTCAATTCGTTTACTTCCACCATACTCACTTGCTGGAAAGTGTCCTTTCAAAGTTGCAACTGCCATATCTCTTTATATGTACAGAGTTAACTCGAGATCAGAAAACGTTGAAGAAGGTCAAAGAGAAGAAGCTGTACAATTCAGAGCCAGCAGCAGAGATGGCGACACCAGAGAGCTTTTCTCTCAAGCAGACACCATGCTTGAATGCCAGCAATAAACAACTAGAAATCTTTGTACCGGACATAACCATGATCAAAGTAGCTTGCCAAAATTTACTCTTGTAGTTATCAGGTTGGAATGGTTGCAGCTATGAAATAGATCTGGAGAAACTGCAATGCTGTTGGACAATCCATGTGATAATCCTGGCTAATCAAATCAAACGTGTTAAATGCTTGTCAGAAGTATTACAAACCACACTGAAGAAGCTCGGCAAAAAGAAACTGTCAAACAACCTAAGTTGAATGAACTTTGACATCCTTAATCTACCCGAGCAACCATGAACCACATCCAAAGATATTAACTACGACGAAAGCATCCACCGAAATGCCTGCCTCCCAACTTGATTGAACAAACAATGGACTGGAAACAAAATAACGGTAGTATTGTAACATAAACATCGCATCAGAAAAGGATTAACGAATACAGTCATTCTACAAAGTCAGAAACAGAAACCTAACCACCATAAACCAGCGAAGCGAGTTAACTTCAGCGATCACGATTCAAATCAATTGCACCGGTCGTATTGTAACAACAACATCGCATCAGAAAGAATTAACGAATACAGCCATTCTACAAAGTCAGGAAACAGAATCCTAACCACCACAAACCAGCGAAGCGAGTAAAATTCAGCGATCCAGATGTTGAGGACGATTCATTTCAATTACATCCGTCAGTACGCAAAGTGCAAAATTCAAAACACCAATGACCTACTTCACACTCATCCATTCATTTCTTCTGATGAGATCAATCATATTACACCCATCGTATCACCGGTGAAGAGTGAGCCAAACAAATACAGAACAGACGCGGAACAGGCGTTTCACAAAGATTCCTCGTTTCCCGCCATAAAAATATGCTCGAGAATTGGATCACAGTCTCATAAACAAAGCGGTGGAAACAAACGAAGAGCGATTCGGAACGAACAAATCAATTGATGGGAGAGAGAGAGGGAAGAGGCTCACCGGGGAACAGAAGAAGCGACATGATGACGGAGATTGGGAGCAGTGACGGCGGAGACGCGAGGGAGAGCAGCCACCGCCGTTAGGACGAGGGACGGAGGCGGAAGGGGGAGGGAAGGGAAACGGAAGTTGAAGCAGAAGCGGAAGCACAAATGGAGGAGGGCGGGGGAACGCTGCTGGTGGAATGGGAAGGGGAACGAAGAAGAAACGCAATTTGCTTAAAGAATTCCCTCTTCTCTCGCACTTTTCACTCGCTTGTTTTCCCGCACCCTCCTTTCTTCTCCCGCTTCGGAGTTTTTTTTATCCCAACTTCCTTTCCGGAGAAGCGGAGACCTCCCCCTAACGGAAATAACTCTTTCCGTTTTTTTTATTAATTAATTTCGTATTTCTGTTCGTTTATATATATATTCCGTTTATTTTGGGACATGATAATAATTCCCACCCATTTTTGCTAGTTATTTTGTCCATTCACATAATATTTCAAGTGTATATTTCAACCAGAAACCAGAATAGGGCAGAAATTGATTCGGGTGGTTGCTATTTGATTTCATGTGATACATTCAAAATCCAACGGTAAATTTTAATATTTCAAAATATGCAGACACTAAAAGAAATATATGAACAAGGATAATTTGAAAAGTTCCGCCCAATATATTCATCAGATGAGAACACTAATGATTCTGTGTTTAAACTGAAGTTGATGTATTGTTGCCTTCATTATTAAATGAGTTTTACGTGTATAATATGTTCCTTTACTATGTCGTTTTATCAAACATGTCCCTCTATTATTTTTTATATCAAACATGCTTCTGTATTTTGAAAAAATTATCAAACATGCACTCACGTTAAAATTTTTATCCAAAAACCGTTAACAAATGTCTAAAATATCCCGAATAATTTCACTTTAGAATTTTTTGGTTCTTTTATTGAGCCAAATAATCCTAATAATTTCACTTTGACGAGACTCAGAAATAAAACAGGGGACAAAACTGACATTTTCCCTCCCATTTGCCGATATTGGGTCGTCTAAATCTCGGTTCAACCATGATTGACAATTTTTTCAATGAAAATTTTAAAAGAAGGGCATGTTTGATAATTTTTCCAAAGTACATGGACATGTTTGATGTAAAAAATAGTAGAGGGTCATGTTTGATAAAACGACATAGTAGAGGGGCATATTATACCTATAACACTTATTAACTCGGTGAGTTGAATGAGATGTTACTGAAAGGGCGTACGAGTGCACTATCATGAATTTTCTTTGTCCAATTATGATATAATGTTGTTTTTGTCATCAGTTTGGTAGTCGAAGGAGATGTTACTAAATCGTGTTATGTTTAGTCACTAGAAAAAATTAATATCAATTTTGGTCACTCGAATTTCTAAAACAGGTCACAAATTTTTTTTTTATAATGTCACTCAGAATTATTGAAACATATCATATTTAGTCACTCTCCATTAACTTCCGTTGGACGGAAACTAACGGGAGAGTGACTAAATGTGATATATATATACATACTTACTGCAGATTAATGTAGTAAAACTGCAGCCCTAGCTACTCCTTACCATGGGCCGGCTGGCTGGGTTCGCATACCCAAAACAAGACTAAATTAATTATTATGCATATACATACATCAAAATGCTAACCAGCGGTGGAACAGTAGTACAATATTACACATGATGATGACTCATTCATTAATACTCTTATAGTTAGAGAAAGAGACGGTGAACATGGGTACGTGGAGCCGCATATATAATAAGGCTATATGGTTCGGTCCGGTTAAATTGATCCGAATTAATTCGGTTTTGGTTTGGTTTTTTTGAGAATATGAGTACCGAAGATTGGATAGGATATAGTTCGGTTTTGACCTGATCCGATATTGACCCAGTTCGGTCTCAGTCCGGTCTTGACCCTGTCCGGTCCCAGTCCGGTCTTGATTAATTTTAGATTGAGCTTATGAAGGTTTGAGTGGGTTGAAGCCTAAAAGGGTGAGGAGTTGGTTAGGTTTTAGGTGTTGGGCTCTCTTATCCGGTCTTTATCCGGTTTCTGGTCCGGTGTCAGACGGTATTTTACTTCAAATCTAAACCCGAATACGAGATTGGATTGTTAACTATTTGGTCCCAATCCAGTCTCGATCCGAGTTATACGATCCGATTTCGGGTAAAACCAAAAAACACATGCCAAATAGCCACCGCTATATATAGCACGCACTCATAGAAAGTCATGCGGCCGGCCGGAACATGTGTCTTCAATGTATAAGAACCTCTCCCTCCTATATGTGGTGATGCACTGTTCATTAAATAATTCCGAAAACAACTTACTAGCTTGATTAGTCATGTATAAGGGCGATGGACTTTGGGGAAATTGAAGATGGTATGTTGGAGGTTTAATTTTAATGCTCGAAAAGTAGTGTGCTTGAATGATTATAATACTCATAATAATCATCATTCACATTGATCAATTGACCAATTATGTGATCCATCCTTGCACAAAAATTATTTGAGAGGACAAATTTTTCATAATTTCTCATTGTTTTCCGGCAAGAAATTTTGGTTTGAACATAATTTACATCTTTTTGGACACATAATTTACATTTGAGAGGACACATAATTTACATCTTTTTGGACAAAGTTCAAATAAGGGTGTTCAATGTATATTTTATGGCATACAAAATTTACATTTAATTAACCTTCGTCTATTTATAACTAACTGTAAGGAGTATATGTCTTGTAGTGGCAGACGACCCATAATTTTTTCGGACATGTGTGTTAGTATATAAAAATAAAATAAAAAATCTAATTCATAAAGTACACAATTTTATTGTTTTTTTACAGCGATTCACAATGACTTCTTATATTGTGAAAGGTTTTGTGAAATAAATTCATCGCTCATCTTGTAACTTGAAAATTATACAGTCAAACAACCATACATACATTTGTCTCTAATCCGATTGTGGATATTGTTCTTGATTAACTTCAAAGTGAAAAAATTCATCCCAGCAAACAAGGACTTGATCTAGCGGCCGATAATATCACTAGTTTTGAACCTGTAGGTCTCTTATACAAATCCCCTGAGTAGCACCTAATTATAAAAAATCAAATCTATATCATCCTTATAAAATACACAAAAACCATTTCACATGTTGGAGTTTGCAATAAATTTACTAGTTACAATTTTCCAAGGTGTGTTAGAGATCATGTTTTTGAATCTTTGTAATGACGAAACATGAAATTTTCACCAATATTTTTGGTTTGAGGTAGAGTGATATATGACAATCCAAATATACTACATCGAAAATATAAGAGGAAGAATCGTTTCATATTAGCAATGGCGGACCCAGAATTGTCGTAGAGGTGTGTCGCCGATAAAATAATATAATAATTAAAAAATTAATAGAAATTAAATAGAAATTACTAGAAATTAATTCATAAAGTTCATGTTTACTAGAAATGCCTGTAAATACATTCATTGCTTATGTTGCGAAGCAAATCCTTTTCCATATACACAACTAAACAATGATTCATAAATTGGTCATTCAACCGATTTCAAAGTTCATTCTTGATTATCTTCATAGCTGAAATCTTTCGCAACTTTCAATTGCAACATGTAAAGTCAACACCAACTTCCAAAAGCAAGTAAAACTAAAGGGTAAAAGAAAAGGGAGATGTGGTAGTGGCTCTCAGTAATTAGAAACTAAAACGGGGTAAGGGTGAGTTTTTTATTTTCAATAAAGGAAGGGTCAAGGGGTGGAAACGGTGAGTTTCAATGGATGGGGTTATGTTTATTTTTTCCATAGTTGGGTTGTGGTAGGGATGACAACCAAACCCATGGTCGCGGGTACTTGACCTCCTCCGACCCAGTCAACGCGGGAATCCTTGCGTTGACTGGGTATGGGGAGGGTATGGATAAAACCCCCAAAAAGGTTGATGGGTATGGGGTGGGTATGGTTTTTGACTCTCCCGCCACATACCCATACCCAAACCCGCAAACCAAGGATATTATGTTATATACATAAAATATAAGGAGTGTATTGTAACTTGTCAATCGAATGAATGGTAATTAAAAGAAAAAATAAAGTGTTAAAATGTAATTGATGACAACCAAACCGTAATTTCATCCTCTTATGTATTAGTTCCATAATTTTGGGTGGGTAGTATCCATATTTGTCACCATATTCTTTTATTAATGGTGAGTAGTTGTTGGGGCGATATTACCCATGGTATCCGAAAACCACGGGTATGAGGATGAGTTTGTAAGACCTTCCACTGCATGGGTATGAGACGAGTATGAGTTTGAATATTTGAAAATGGGGATGAGGTTGGTTTAGGTAAATCCGTCATATTGCCATCCCTAGGTTGTGGTGTGGGTTACTCTAAAACAAGCATACTTATTTGAATTAACTTATTATTCTGTATTATTAATTAAGATAAATAACTTTATAACAAAAAAAATCATTCTCGTATAATGAAGGTGTGTCGCTCACAATTATTTAAGATGTATCAGTCCCGAATTAAAAAAAATGTACAAAAAATATATAGGTACTTCACAAAATTTCCGGGCCAGGGTGTGTCGTCCGACACACCCTGGCCCTTTACTAGGTCCGCCACTGCATATTAGTGTTCACCAAATTCATTAGTACGAGGCTATTAGAGGAGGATACGCAGAGTCGCAGATATTATATTCGAGTAGTATCTGAACCTTGAGGGCTAAGCTAGCTAGGGAGTCATCATCTCCAAAAAAAACGAGACCAGCCAGCAAGCTAAGCATGCACGTGGGCACGTGGCAGTGGGAGCAAGACGAGGCGCGCGATTAGCGGACTATCTTTCAGCTGCGCCAGCTGAATCGACTCAACTTCTTGTTGGGTTATGAGCTTTAGCTAGCGACGACGCTGGTTTCAAAAGGACAACCTACCACCCAATTCGAAAAGCATCAAGTGGGACGACGACGAGACGACCGAATCCGCAAACCATCCATCGTGTTCTGCAAAAGAAAGAAAAAAAGAGAGAAAGATCAAAACATCGATCGAGAACCAAATTAAAAGCATTCAGGAAGGCAAGTACAGCTCTTGTGTATAGAAAATTCTGCGAAACGTACCAGCAGATTGTTATATATATATATATATATATATATATATATATATATATATATATATATATATATATATATGTATAGGGAAGTGAAAGCGCTTTGCCCTAGGCTTATATATTCGTTTTGCCTGCAGGCCGGCCTCTGCTCATATATATGATCGTCGACCACAGGAGCATTTTTCAAAGCAAACCCTCATGCATGCTATGCTGTATATTATATTCTTTTGGAACTCACGCCCAGGGACCGAACTCTTAGATATGAATGTGAAACTAACTCTTTAATGGCAATCATGGTGCTCACATCTTAATAGGGGTGGTTATTGTTAGTGTGTGGTATATGATTCAAGATTGAACATCTCCCAACAATTCGAGTTATAGGGATCAATTGGTTTATGGCATGGTACCAGAGCTGGTTAGGCCAAGTGGTCGCGTGTTCGAATCTCCACGACCCACAATATTAACAGTTGTCTTTCAAGCACAAGGTATGACAGACCCGTGCAAACTTCAAGCCCATGAGTTGGCTTACGTTTGAGGGGGCGTGTTAGAGAGTGGTATAAGATCCATCATAACCTTCTCGCACAGGTCCGAATACCATGTGCTTAACAAATGGGTCACCGGGGATCGAACACAAGACCTCTTGGTCATAGAAGGCTCTGATACCATGTCAAGAAGCAGTTGATCCCAATAACTCGAGTTGTTGGAACCAGCTGGTTTATGACAGTTATACGGTCCGATCATGTCATACACCAGTTGATCTCAGTAACTCGAGTTGTTGAAAGAAGGTTATGTTGAATCTTATACCACTCTCTAACACGCTCCCTCAAATGAAAGCCAACTCACGAGCTTGAAGTTTGCACAGGCCCACCATACCTTGTGCTTTAATAGACTGTTAATATTGGGGGCCGTGGAGATTCGAACACACTATCTTATACCACTCTCTAACAGGTCAGGGTAAACTGGTTGGGATTGATCCAGTCCTGGTCCGATTTTTTTTGGGCATATGAGGACTAAAGATAGGATTGGATACAGGCTGGTCTTGATCCGGTCCGATCTTGACCAGGTCTGGTTCCAATCCGGTCTTGATTTTAGATTGAGCTTGTGGGTAGGGGTGACTATTTGGTGCAGGTTTTTGGTTTTACCCGAAACTGAACCGTATAACCCGGATCGAGATCGAATAGCACACAATTCAATCCCGTGTTCGGGCTTAGATTTGAGGTAAAAAAACCGTTCGGGATAGAATCAAAAACCGGATAAAAACCGTATAAGAGAGCCTAACACCCAAAACCTAACAAACTCCTCACCCTTTAGGCCTCAGGCTACTCAAACCCTCTACAAAATCAATCTAAAATCAAGACCGAATTGGATCGAACCGGGTCAAGATCAAACCAGATCAAGACTAGAACTAAAAGGTATCCAATCTCATATTTGGTTCTCATATTTCCGAAAAGACCGGACCCGGACGGGATCAATCTCATCTTAATTTCTTTCGAGCTACTGCTTGAAGAAGCTAAGATTTGGTTATTGGTCGTCCGTCACCATTCTGCATCCATAACATGACATCGTTGCCAAGTGAAAAGAGTGTAAAATTGTAAGAAATGATCCCTCTAGATGGATCGAGAATCCAATGCATGCAGGGAGATCAGCAGAGATACTTTGTTATATTTTACCATCTTCTTTCTAACCAACTTCGTTACTGGTAAGTGGGCTACCATAATTGATTTATATTTAACTAATAAGATTCTCTTGGACTTCCTCTGACCTTTGTTTGTTAACAATGTTATATGTCAGGCAGGATTGACCTATTCCTGATTCTCTTAAGTGATGATACTACACTTTTACATTGAGTGTACGCAGTAGGTATATAGTACAATACATATTAGTAACGATGGACCTCAACAACGAACAAAATTACATTTTATTCTATTGAAATGGAAAGTATATACTAAACTTTCATGGTTGGAGGAGTAAGATCATATCGGATCGCTGAGAGACAAGTTGCCTAATGTATATACGGATGATTATCTCAATCATTATATGCACACAAATGTATATGAACATTACTTTATGAGTTAAATATCACCATATGTATGTACCTAACGATCGATATTATCAAAAGATTGTATCTAATTATATCAAAATAGGTTGACGCCTACACCCTAATAACACATTCAATAAGAAGAACATTGTGTGAGGAGGTTTGATTCAACAATATCAGTACAAATGAATGCCTACAACATGTTAACAAGCCGCGCGGCGGATCAAAAATATGATAGAGCACTGAGCCACATTTGAAAAAAGACGAAAAAAAAGCTGGATTGTAACCCGACGAATACTTTAAAATAAAAAAAATTTACAATCGCTGTATTAGTTCTTAATCCAGAGAGGAGGGCTGGATTGTGCCGGTGGAACTTGGAAGGAAACTACAGGTCTGGTCGTAAATTCTTAATATCTAGGTGATCAATCGATTTTTATATATTTACCTGCAGACAAAAACATCGATTCGCTCCATATCGTGTAGCAGGTTTCCTTCACTCAAAGTCGTTATTTGACCATATGTTCAAACTTTTGAACGCATAATAAATAAATAAAAAGGGTAATATTATTTAGTTATTAATTTTTTTTTACTAGTTTTCTAACACGTACAGAGATTGAGAATTTCGACGTAAAGCATGTGCATGCCGGGTGGTGGGAATGTGCAGTAAAAAAAATTTAAAATAGTTAAAATTGTGGACGGCAGGCAGGCAGGCACAGTAAGACTTGCTTTCCATTTTCCAATTTCCTTTGCCATCTTTCTTGGAACCCTAGCTAAGCTAAGCCAGCTGGGGGATTTGAACCCTAAGCTAGCTAGCTAAAGATACCCTATAATAATAATAATTCCCTATTAGCCTCTTTCCTATAAATAATCCCCAATTCGTTCCCTCTCCATTCTCCTCTCTTTCTGCTGTGCAAAACCCAAGTTATCAAATAATTACCCTTAATCAAGAAGAAACAGTACTTACTTTGCAAGCTAAGCTAGCCTAAGATCAAGAAGAAGAAGAAGAAGAAGGCCAAAGATGGTGAAGGTGAAGTTTGTAGGGATGCTGGTGGGGCTTCTCTTTCTCGTGAATGTCCTAAGAGACTACTATGCTGTTGCTCACCAAGGTAATGTAACTTAGCTAGCTTGTTCATCACCAGACTGCCTGCTTTTCACAAGTATTTTGGGTCCATTCTCGAAAATTCGAATTCTTGAGATGAACTGGTTATTGACCCTTGAGATTGAACTGCTTTTTTTTATATATAGATGATTTTCTGGGGATTCAACATTCGGATGATGGAAGGAATCATGATAACAGTTTCCCCATGGTGGCTTCTTCTGCCATTGCCGATCAAGTAATAACTCCACAGAAAAACCACAAGGTATACATAGCTCCCCTCATGGCTGTTTTCACTATAAGAAAAATGTGAAGTTTGATGATGATGACTAAGCTATATGGTAATGTTTTTCTTTTACATTAGGAACTTGGAGGAAGGAAAATGGTGGTCGCGAAGAAGAAGAAGAATAAGGCTGACCACGATGATGATGATGATCACAATCTAAACACTGCAGCTTATCACAAGAAGCTGAGGTACTTGAAGCAGGCGGCTTTTCCTGCAGCAGCAGCCAGCAGCAGAGCCAAAAGCGGCCGGAAGGTTGGTGCAACTGCAGGAGATGGTGACGACGAGAGGCTGCTAGAGGCGACAAGGAAGATTGTTGCCCTAATGCATAAGGACTACAAAGGGATGAATAAACCCAAGCGGAAGCCGCCCATCAACAACAATCTTCCCGTGCACTGAAAAATGTTCATAACATATGGATGTAAATGTATAGGTTTGTGGCTCACAATTTTGGCCCTTATTCTCGATCGATCCACCGCCTTTTAGTTTCTCTAGCTAACTAGCTAGCTCTCTCTCTCTCTCTCCTATAGACAGGAATATAGTGATGTCCATCAAACCATATACTAGGCTATATATATAAGCTCTCTACCTAGCTTGTTTTTATATTTGCTCTTGACCTTTAGTTTTGGTGCTTGGTGTAAAGGTCATGTAAATGCATGTTGTCAGTTTATTGTTAAGCCAGTTAATACATATATATAAATCTCGGAACTGTTGTTTTATTTTGTATATTTGAGAAAGGGAAGTTTTCCAATCATTGACGACTCAAATCTATTGTCAAACCCCACACAGATGAAGTGGTAAGCCTGCCTATCTATTTCTCTTATTAACTTAATTAAGCGATAGCAGACTGTTCGTCTGTTTGACACCGAGAATCCCTTTCTATATTGTTATAATAATGAATCGGTCTCAAGGCGTTCCACTTCCATGTATGTTGAGAACATATAGTTCATGTGCATCCATTGCTTATAGGCCAATGTTGTAGTATTAACTTTGTAGTTTGTGGAATAACTAGTGTATCAAATTTTGTTTTTGTTATATATATATCCTATAAGAAGTTACATAGTTGAAGCTGATCGGTTACGATTGCAATTATCGAGGCAAGACATATCATAATCACCAAAGATTGGATTTTGTCGTGATTAATCATTAATTCATTATCACACTTTGCACGTTGAAAATGACAAGAGATAATACAATGTTATGCTGGACATAGAAGTCTATCAAGCGAGCGAGAGTGCTGGTGAGAATGTGAGCAAGTCGTTATTTATACTGGATTGTTGAAATATACATAACCAAATATATTTCCTCATTGGACTATAAATTTCAATCAATACATGAATTCTTATCGAACTAGGATTTCTTATACAATTCAAGATTTAACGCCTAATTCCTAATTGGTTATGTCCTTAGTTGGATTTGGATTAAATACCCTAGGATAGGAATCCAAATCCTATTAGGATTAGGAAAACCAAATTTATCTAGTTTGAACAACTCTTGTCCTAAGAAGTAAGGAGCTAAAAGAGGTGAAAATGATTCCGCCATTGCCATTTTTTGCTGAGGCACAAGTCTTAATATCTATGCTGATTGTTTGGGTACCTCTAGCAATGAAATACTGATGGTTACTCAAAACAAGTAAACAACCTACAACCAGAGGCTTATATTCCCATTTAAGTTTAATATTTCCATCTCTGGTCAACTGTTAATTTCGTGATTTATTAATTATACTCAAGCAAGGCAAGGAAACTGTTTGTCTGTGAATTGCTCCCAAGTCCCAATCATTCAGAGAGGCCAAGGTGTTATCTTCTCCATATCTAAAAACAAACCAAAAGTCATATCCCCTGAACTCCACCAACCCAGAAAACAGAGAGCAATAATGGGAGACGAAGCCCGGAAGACAACGGACGACAGAGTGGCGATATCGAACAGAGGGCTGGAAGAACGTTCCAAAGCTCCCCATAGTCAACTGGAAGGGTTGACCATGGACGGCCTCCGGATTGTGGAGTCGCGGAAGGGATTCATCCGCTGCCACTTCACCGTCCCCAATCGCCTCACTGTCAGTTGACTTCTCCTTCTCCTTCCTCTGTTTTTTCTTCTTCTGAGATCGATGGAGTTTAATTTCTTCTCTCTTTGATTCGGGTTTTGACTAATCAGGACGGAGATGGGAATTGGCACGTCGGAGCGATGGCGACTATGATCGACGATCTGAGTGCGTTTGCAATTTACTCATTGGTCGGCCATCTGAAGGCTTCCGTTGATTTCACCATCTCTTTTCTCTCCACTGCCAAATTGGAGGTGAACAAAGTAAACAGGGACATGGTCAATTGCTACCCACGTCCTTGGGGTTTTATTTAATAGACAATTTAGTCCTTCAAGTTATGACAGTAACCTAAATTAGTACTGTTTTTTGGATGTTTTGATATGGATGGATGGATGGATAATTGAATATGTTAATTGTCAGGAAGAGATTGAGTTAGAAGCAAAGGTTGTTGGAGTGAAGGAAAGGCTGGCTTCAGTGGTGGCAGAAGTTAGAAGAAGTAATGGTGAGCTGATTGCCTTGGGGAAGCAATGGATGACTGCCCATAACCATGTACAGAAAGCTAGTAAACTTTGATTGTTACTTAGAACTAGTTTTCTGCATGGCTGGATGAGTTTTATTTTAAGTATTAACTAGTTTATTTTTCATTAAACATAAATACGAGCATGGCATGAGCGAGAGAATTTGCGACACACACATTCAAACTATACCCCAGCCAAATCGAGCAAATTTGAAAAATGGGCTCACTGGAGCATGGCTTCTTCTCCTGGGCCTCCTCAGCCATGCAACCCAAATGGATCCCCCATGGGTTCTTTTAAGTATAGCCCACAGTGCACTTAATGTTGTGATTTCAATTTCTTCAGCCCATCACTCGGCCACTGATTGTATTCTCCTCCTTTGACTTGGCTCATTTATATGTTGTCTACTTTGGATTTGAGTTCCTCGGTGTAGATTGATGACATCTCTTCTTTTCAGTTAACTAGAAATCTATTACGTTTTTCAATTTTCTTAGATTAGTGTAGCTTATTATGTTGTTTGCTTTGAGTTTGATTTCTTCAATGGATTTGATAAATAGATCGTGGAACTATTGCTTTCCCGTTATGTTTTGTTGTGGTGTTACACTCCGATCTTTATAGAGCATATTGTCCGCGTGTACCAGTGTACACACAAATACTAAAGTTTTCCTATTAAACTAGCATTGGATCCGCCTATTGGACGGGTGAGTTTTATTTATATTAGTCATTTTTCTTTTTGTATATAAATTATTTTAGGTTATTTACATCTTTTATATTGTTCAAACCTCTATAAATTTTTTAATAAATGACTTGTGCCACCTTATAATATAAAATATATAGTTTTAAAATTGATCTATCGTCCCTCGCATGTGATCTTAAGAAAGGTTATGAAATCATAATCTTCTTTAACTAATTTGCCACCAACCACTCAACACTTAGCTTTGATCCTGTCATTTGGGAAATTAAGTTCGTAATATAAAGTTCGTTATTGACTATATATTTTAATTAATAATCTTTTCCCTATAATGAATATTATTAAAAATATTTATTCGCTTTGAATAAGGAACGGAAACATTCAACTCATCCCGATTTAAATTTTGTGTCGTAATTTTAGAACTTCATTGATGGCTTAATTCAAAATTGTACGAAGTTATTAGTATTTTTCAACACATATACATTTTTGTGTGTATCCTATAATTGTGAATCATTTTCTTTTATAAGTAGATATCAAAATATTGAGAAGTTCTAATTTTCCATTTATGTTGAATTAATTATATTTGGAAACTCCCATTACATATTTTGCATGCTCATATCATTGTACCTTTTACATGTATATGTGATAAGAACAAATAAAATGGAAAATATATGTCGGTAAATGCCAGAACAACATTATGAATAAAAACCAGTGATACGACACTTAGTCGGAACAAAGTAGAAGATGAAAACAGAAGAAAATGGAAAATATATGCCAGTTTTTTAACATCATTTTAAAGCAATGCTTAAAAATACGGATGATTCCATGACATCCATCATTCACCAAAATATATCCTTTCTTTCTCAAAGAAAACCTTACGAATCCATTGTGGGTTTTATGAAGCACGCATATTCGCATAGCTTCACAATATTTATAACATTTGGTTCAGCTTCCTACATACATTAGAAAAGACATTGCATAAGAAACAAATCAAGATGCATTCCACAAATTCATCCTCCAGCTAAGAATCATAAAATCAACAGTGGTGAGTGAATGGAACGATATTGGTGGACAAAAAACTAGGACTAGACTATACCAGCATGCATAAACATTTGAGAAAAAGGCATAACTGTGAGTAGGGCTGCAAATGAGCCGAGTTTTACTTCAGTTTGAGCTTGACTCATTAACAAATGAGCTGAGCTCGAGCCCGAGCCATTTATTAACGAGCTGAGTCGAGTTCGAGCTAGGCTTGTTTACTAAATTCTTAGATCGTATTTGATACATTCATTTTGTATGTCGTGCATGGTACATGTGATTGATGTAGCGATAAAAAAATAATCAAGTTGGCCCTCAAACCACAATGTTGATAGCAAAGTCTGTTCCTTGTATACCAAGTCAGCAGGTATGCCTGCTTAGTAGTTGTAAATTTGTAGAGGTTATAGTGTTTAAATCCTTACCTAGCCTAAGTAGTGATTCTTTAGAATTCGTTCAAACTCGCTTGCAAGTAGAATGTCATACTCATAAGAGATGATACATGTTTAGCTTGTCAAATAAATCTTGGACTATACATAGCCAATCCATTTTTAGAGTTTTTGAAGAAAAAAAATCATTAAATACACTTTTCTAGTTGGTCTATAATTTTTTTTTTCTTTTTTTGCATTAGTATTTATATTCGGACTTCAAAGTTTACCGTCTAATTTTAATTGGTGCGGCATATTAGCTGGAATAGGATTAAATGGATGAATTAGTGTTAATCCTTGTTGTAATAGCAATCCAACTCCTATTAAGATTTGGAATAAATCTTTATCTAATTTCAAACCTCTTGTCCCTACATTTCTTGGAGCGACAATTGCAATAGTCCTTGAAATCATAGTCAATCATCCAACTTTCTTAGTAGCCTAAGTCCTCCTAGAAGATGATATCTTCTGGTTTGGGACCTATAAGTTGCAAGAAAATGCATTTTGCGTGTTAAGATCTACCCAAGAGTAGGAGATGATGTTCCCCGAGCAATGTGAGTACTCATGATCTTTTAGTTTTGACGTTAAATTAGTTTAATAATTAAGCATTATGAATGAATTAAAAGAATCTCATAGAAGTATGGGTAAAACATTATGACTTATAGCAAGATCAAGGCGAGGATTCAGAAGAAGATTATGCTTATGTTGTCACGAGATATTATTTTTCCACCCTTTATATGAATTTTTAGTACTTACGGCTAAGATCTCGTGTCTTTATTTTTTATACTTTCTATGAATATCTAAGAACTCTAAGTATTGCTACTCGATGTTGAGAATGTTATGTCTTTCATTTTCATACTTCCTATGACCTCATACGTAGCTATCCTTCGTATAGTATATTTCGTAACAAATTTTGCTTTGCATCAATAGGGAAAAAATGACAACTTTGGCGTGAAAGATGTACAAGATTGCATGGAGGAGCTGGCTGGACTCTGCAGCTACTGTGGGGAAGGTTAAACATATTGTAGAATTGGCCAGGATGGGTAGTACTGCAATCCAGGTTGATTGGAGTTAAATGTAGTTGTCTATGTATTGGTTAGTAGAATACCAGTTTAGCTAGTTTGATAGCAAAGTCTGTTCCTTGTATACCAAGTCAGCAGGTATGCCTGCTTAGTAGTTGTAAATCTGTAGAGTTTATAGTGTTTAAATCCTCTACCATGAGCTTAATAATTTTTTTATTGTCCATAAAAAATGACAACTTTAAAATGTGTCCCCAAGCCACCACCTTACCTAGCCTAAGTAGTGGTTCTTTAGAAATCGTTCAAACTCGCTTGCAAGTAGAATGTCATACTCATAAGAGATGATACAATGTTTAGCTTGGCAAATAAATCTTGGAATTAAGCATGGGAAATGGTTTGTGAGAACTTAAAAATGTATATATATTTTGTGTTGAACTATACATAGCCAATCCATTTTTAGAGTTTTTGAAAAAAAATCATTAAATACGCTTTTCTAGTTGGTCTAGAATTTTCTGTTTATATATAATTTTTTTTGTATTAGTATTTATATTAGGACTTCAAAATTTACCGTATGATTTTAATCGGTGTGGCATATTAGCTGGAATAAGATTAAATGGATCAATTAGTGTTAATCCTTGTTGGAATAGCAATCCAAACTCCTATTAAGATTTGGAAAAAAATCTTTATCTAATTTAAAACCTCTTGTCCATACATTTCTTGGAGCGACAGTTGCAATAGTCCTCAAAATCATAGTCAATCATCCAATTTTCTTAGTAGCCTGAGTCCTCATAGAAGATAGTATCTACTGTTTTGGGACCTATAAGTTGTAAAAAAATGCATTTTGCCTGTTAAGATCTACCCAAGAGTGGGAGATGTTGTTCCCCGAGCAATGTGAGTACTCATAATCTTTTAGTTTTGAGGTAAAATTAGTTTAATAATTAAGCACTCTTATTGAATTAAAAGAATCTCATAGAAGTATGGGTAAAACATTATCACTTGTAGCAAGATCAAGGTGAGGATGCAGAAGAAGATTATGCTTATGTTGTCACGAGATATTATTTTTCCACCCTTTATATGAATTTTTAGTACTTACGGCTAAGATCTCGTGTCTTTATTTTTTATACTTTCTATGAATATCTAAGAACTCTAAGTATTGCTACTCGATGTTGAGAATGTTATGTCTTCCATTTTCATACTTCCTATGACCTCATACGTAGCTATCCTTCGTATAGTATATTTCGTAATCTTTCTCCCATTTTATGCTATCCTTCCAAATAAACATAAAATGGGCTAGACATATAAGCTCTAATATGTTGGTATATTGTCATGGAATTGAGGTTAGGGACACTATAGCACTGATTTTCGGTTATGTTCATTCTCCATCAAATCTAAGAGACTCGTCCAACATAGATACTTGAGAGTGGTTTGGCCGTTTGGAACTTTGGTTGGGGTTATCACTGCTCCCCAGACTTTCGTGACAACATACCAACATATTAGAGTTTAACGAAACAGGTTAACGATATACAATTGAAATAGTAATGCAGGTAAAACGGAACAGGTTAACGATATACAATTGAAATACACTATTGAAATTTTGCAAAAAGAAAATTGTTGCATGCACGTTTGTTCTAGCCCTTTTTGTCAATGATATCTTGTTAGTTTTTTTTTTTTTTAACTTTTGCAATTATGTGTTGAAGTTAAGTGATATATGAAAGACTGAATTGGTGGATCACATCAAACTCAAAGTCGTGAAAGGTCAGTGTTGGATTGGGGAAGGGAGGGATGATTGTGTGTTGTCATCCGATATAGGATTACGTTTTCAATCTCCCTCACATCACAATATCACATGGTCTACAGTTCCCACTTCATTGTGGTACACTCACATATGGAGGGGACCGTTTCTGTTTCTTCCATCTCCAACACACAGTATTAATGTACACCGCTTGCTTGGGGATGATTGTTTGTTTATCAAATCTGGTTACTGATTGATTACATGTAATCATAGGTTTTGCCAATTTGAACGATTAAAACCAAACTTCCCAAATAATGATTCTCTCGCTTGTTGTCTTATGCCGTAAACAAGAACACTCTTTGAAAGACAAAAAAAAACTTCACTGTCCTTTAATTTTGTCCTCATCACAGTTGGGTCATAATCAATTAAGCATGGGTCTTGATTGGACGTATAACAGAAGGGAACAAAAGGAAAACAGGACCTTATATCACACTCATCATGATGTTAAAATGTTTATTCAATCCAAGCAATTGTAGTTCTCATTCATTTCAAGACCCGTTGCGTAGGGTACGAGGTCCTACAACAACAACAAGAACAATAAAAACTTGCACCAAACAAGAACAACCCGAAAGCAGAACAACCAACCCATTACATTACAGTACATAACCCTATGGAGATAAGTAAGTAAATACAGCTCACTCTCCCTTTGGAGAGGGCTACAAACACACAAACAAACAGAACACACTCGACCTTGCAAAGGTAAAAAAAGATATATTAGCCCCTCGAAAAGATAGCATATAATCCAAGGGGCTAATTTTCTTCAAAAAAAACCCATGAAACAGAGTCTCCCAACTCCCAAATGCCTTGATTCATGTTCATGGCTTGGAGGGAGAGAAGTTGAGCCGGGAAGTGTAGGTAGCCTTGGGCGACCAATTCCCCGGGATCACATCCCGGGCCGAGAGGGATCGGCCCGTCGACAGAGTGGTGAGCTTCACCGAGAATGGGCCCATCAATGGGCCCCCAATGATGCACCAGTTTGCACCCCAAACGTGCTTCATCTCCATCCACTCACTCCCACCCGCCTGCAACCAACAACATTACATGTTATGCTATCATGAGAACGTGCAGTTATCTCTTTGTGGGTTGGGTTGGGTTACTCAACCCTAGTGTTAAGCGACAAGGAACACTCTCCAGTCTCCACCCTAAATGTGAAGAAGGGACAAGATATTTAAACCACCCAACACACTTCGTGGCTACGAAATGGCTAAGGTTGGGTGAACTCTCTTGGACTTTGCCATATACATAATAAACACATTCAAAAATTTCATAAATGTGGTCAGAAGAAGTGGACCCTTTTGTCACATGCACATTTATTTTTCCAGGGAAGTGGCTACAGTATTACAACCTTTTATGTACATGTAGCCAAACATTAACAAAAAGAAATGCTAGAGTAGAACTAGTCATGTGGGGGAAAGCAAAAATTAGTAGTGGCCTTTGTTGTACTTTGTGGGCCTTTAGCTTTAGGGCCTCTTTTGCCTTATTGCTTTTTGATTAACTTTAATGTGGACACAGATCTGAGCCCATTAAGATTCACACAAACTAAACTAAAGTGCACCACTCCGGAAAACAAGCACCTTCTTCTACACTAAGCACAAAAGAAAAAGAAGGAATATTTCAGATTTGGCTCTCTCGCTTTGATTGACTCGAAGTGCATGGGGAGAGAAGAGAGATCATTACCGACACAGAAATTAATTTTCTAAAGTTGGCAGTTGGAAGCTGTGGGGATGCCTTTCCAAAGGGCACAAGTGCTAAGCACTTGTAAAGTGAAAGCGAGATCAAAGATCTTGCTTAAAGATATGATTATTACTGGACCCTAACCAAAGATTAGTAAGTTTTTTTTTGTCCCCTCTAATTACGTAGTCAACAATTTAGATGGTAAAAGTGTTGGGAGCGTGTGAACAAACAAAGCAGAGAGAGAGGAAAGAATAGAAGAAGTGAAAAGAGTAGGTGAGAATAATAATTACTTGTCGGATGTGCATGGAACCAACGTCGCCGTCGCCGTCCTCGAACTCCACCAGCAGAGAAAGCCAGTAATTCGTCGACCCTTCGTTCACATGGAACGCTATGTTCTTCCCCGGATACTTGCACGCCGTCCTGTAATCCCGCCGTAATTACCAAAACAAAAAGTAATTAAGTAACTAAATTCTCATAATTTTCTCGTTAATTGTTAAACAATTATATAATAGCAAATGTAAGACTTTTCAGGCTTGTTGTTGTTGGTGCATTTTACACGGACGAAAACACCCACGCCTTCTAGAAAAGCAATTTAACTAACATGCTTAGTTCAGGGTTAAAAAAAGGAAAACAGAAAATGACTGGTACTGCAACCAAACACAGCGCCGCTGACCAATAACTGAGAGCGAGAGAAAAAAAAAATTAAAAAAAGCCGACAAAAGAAAATGACAACTGAAAAAGCAGCAGCAGTGGCAGTGAAGACCAGGAAGAAAAAAAAATAAATGACCAACACGACGTACCGGCGGTAAATGACGGAGAGCTCGCCGCGGTTCCTGAGCTGGCCGCCCTCGCCGGAGACGGCCATCCGACCGAACGCGGCGCCGCTGAGGTCGAAGTGGGTCCGGCCGTTGGAGCAGTAGCCGCCGGGGCACTCGTCGGTGACGATTACCGTCACCGCCCGGCGCGAGCAAATACTCTTGTCCAAGCACCGGACCTTGTAGCAGGCCCCGCAGCCTTCCCCGTTTCTGAAAAGAACCGGGCTCACCGCCCCGACCCGGGCCCGGAACGGCTTCACGTCCACCATCGACCCGTACCCGCACGCGCCTCCTGTCCAATTTTCATAAACCCCCAAAACAAAAAAACAAAATCCCTAATTCAATTCTACAGATCTCTCTTTACGTACAGCGAATTAAACTGAATCGTTGTTAACAAAATTGCGGAATTGAGGAATTTGTTAGTAAATACCGTCGCTGCCGTCGCCTTCGGGGCTGCCGTACCACGTGGCGGTGGCGGGGTACCAGTGCTGGTCGGAAACCGGCTTGTGAACCGGAACCTGGCCGGAGGCTGAAACGGCCGACATTTTGGAGGCGAGAAGCAGCGTCAGAAAGCAGAGGAGGTGCGGGGAGGTACGGAGAAGCTGCATTGTCGCGGCGTTGGCTTTTAATGTCGCTTTTTCGTCGCCGGGCGGAGTGGCCGAGGGAACAGTACCCTGAAGAATGTGGGAACAGAGACCAGTCAACATTTGCACTAGTACTGAACATGTACGGAAAAAAGGGAATTCTGCTCTCTATGGAAACTGAATCACAGAGAAAAAGACGCCGTGGAATTGTGCGGCATTGGATGAGAAGCATGCAAACAAGCTGTTCGACGAAAGTACCTTCGATTTCAAGCTCCCGCCGGGCCTCGACGCTGGATCGATTGGGAAATTGGTCACTGTGGTTCGAGTTCCAGATCTGAATTCTTTTCACTGTTTGTGGGGTTTCAGATTTGGGAGAAGGTCTCCGCCTGCAGAGTCGAGGTGTAAGAAGAGAAAGTCAGAAACAGAGAGCTGGAGAGGAAAAAGAGGTGGTGAGAAAGTGGAGAGCAAAACCAACCGACGGTTTTTTTTCCTTCCTTCCGTTGAATAACCAACCGACGGTTCGTTTTTTCAGGTTTTCAGCATTTAGAGATATTAATTATATAGAGACACTTCGTTGGTAGTGTCGGTAAAAAGAAACCAAAAAAAAGAAGACCCTACCCAACGGTCAGGTCAGTGGAGAGAAAAGATACATTATCATACAGATTTTGCTAGATTTAGGGCTCGTTTGGAAGTTGGGATTTCAGATGATGTATTTAGCCAATACATGTAATCAGAAGAATTCATCGTTTTTTTGACTTAAAATGAAACAGAATACTTGTATTTGAACAGCAGATGGGCCCACCAGAATCATTCATTATGAATGATTGTCAATCTCAACTTTTAGCAGAGATTGTGTTTGAGGGATTGTTGTCTTACTTTTTGTTCCTTATTCTTTGAGGGACCACCAAAATCATTCAATCTCCAAACAATGTATTTTTCAAATTCATAATTTGAAACAATACATCTAATTATAATAAAATACATCAATTTAGAGAATCCTAACTTCCAAACATGCCCTTAATTAGTAATCTGACTGTGTTTTTTTTTTTTTTTTCTGATTTTCAGAATGCAGCAATCAGAGTGATTTCCGGAGGGGTATTTTAGTCTCCTCCGTTTATTTCCCATCAGTCATCTAGAACCCCCAAAATCAGCCGCAATCACCTACTCATTAGAAGTTTAGAACCCCAAATTCCGGGAGGGCTCTTGGCAAATCAAGCTACCTTTTGGTTTTATGTGGGCTTCATACAATACCTAAACTCAACAGCAGGCCCAAATCTTTTTGTAAAGAAAGCCCAAAGTCATCCAGCCCAAACACTATGACCTATGAGGATGCAATACCCTGTCACTCATCTCTTTGTATCTATGCACATGCAGTTACTAACCTAATCTAAATTAATTAACTTTCCAGTCAACTAAAGCGCTTCGCATGTCATTCATTGGCTCTATCTCTTTCGCTTTTACCAATCAACTAGCCTTTTACCCGCCCGTTGGCCGGAGAGATTTATTTTATAATTTATATGTTTAAATCATTTCGGATCTTTTAAATATTCTGTTACCGAATTTGTAGTATGTTTATATTGAAATTTCCAATATTTAGCACACTCACTTGTGATGCTTCGGTTTTCGAATCATAAATTATACCGCTGTCACGTCCCATTTAGGACTTATGTCAAAATTTGTCAACCAAAACACTAATATTTAGTGTACGCCAACCTAAACCACACACACATATATATAGTTCAAGCTAGAGTGCGATAGGAGTACATTATACTCTTGCATTCATACTACCATACGACCATTGAGTTTTACTATTTAGACCCGAATTAACCGGATTTTTTTGGGGCATTATACTATACCCTAACCTCTAATAGGTGAACTCAAGTCCCTAATTCTGTAACCTCTAATTTATGCACATACTTCGTAATACCTATCTTCTATCGTATCTTGAGTTAAATAAAAAGTATAGTATACCTTGATATTACATATACATGTATATATACATGTATGTGTGTGTATTACACTCAAAATTATCTAGAGATCTCGCTTTTACCCCCATAACGCCAGAGAACCATTGGGGTTGTCTATTGTTCGATATATAATATATAAAAAGGTAGGGATGACGGGATCATAGCTCGATATGGTTTTATTATGTTCATCTTATCAGAGGTTATGTTCTTTTTTGTTTTTTTTTTTTTTGCTTCTTTTTCATTCTACTTTAGCACCTATGGTTGTGATCAGAGCTTTTTAGCCATCGAAAGGGATTGGGATTTTAGGTCCTTTGGAAATCCAATACACATTCATGATCCTCGAGTTTGGACGAACTCTCGACCAATGTTGTAAAAATTACGACTTTTTAGTGAGAAATTATTAGTCAAGATACTTCAATGTTGGATTTATTCATCCATATTGAAACTTGACACACACTGTAGCCCTCATGATGACTAAATTCTCTAATCTCGACTCATTTCCATTTTGAATGTTTGTTTTTTTTTTATCTAGACACTTAAATTTAGTATATTATACAATATGTATCCATTGTTAATTTTTGAAGTTTATACTAAACCTCAACCGGTGGTCATTGTTTATATGTAGACTTAGAATCTCAATCTAAGGCACTCACACACACACTATCGAGGATTTTTTTGTCTTAACATGGTCGTTGAATGTGTAATTTTCAAATATTTTATCCCTTATATATTAATAATTGAAATTTTTTTTTAAATAAATAACTGTAACTACTCGATCAAGATTGTACTATGACATTTTGCTAAATAATACTGTTTTATTTTATAGATATATATATTGTACGAAAAAGAGAGTGTTTCATTGCAACAAAATATAAAGTAATTTAGTTTATTTTTCAAAGGTAATTGAATGACAAATGTTTATTTTCTCTCTTTTCATATATATTTTGGTTTAATCGATTAAAACATAATTTTTTATGTGTATGTTTGTTTATTTTTTCATCAAAATGTAACCGATCATTGAATTTTATTAAAAATGAGTAGAAAATTTATTTCATAAGGTTTAATCAGATACTTTTTATTTAAATAAATGTGTATGTTTGTTTATTTTTTCATCAAAATGTAAGCTATCATTGAATTTTATTAAAAATGAGTAGAAAATATATTTCATAAGGTTTAATCAGATAATTTTTATTTAAATAAATATGATATATGTCACTCTCTTTTTTCTTATTTATATTTTGTTTATTTAAAAAAATTATTATTTATGTTTGTTTGGTTAAGTTTATCAACATGTAACTTATTATTAAAGACAAAAAAAAAATGGATAAATGAAAAAGAATAATTAGATAAAAGAAATGGAAATATTAAAGAAGAGAGAGGTAGCTCCATAAATACATTAATAACTAATTTTTTGTTTGTAAAAAAGTTGTCCAACTTGGCAAATTGTGGATCCTCCAAGTGCTTATGTGCCAAAATTTGTTTTTTGAATTGCCATAATATATAGTATAGATAGATATTGATATAGATATAGATAGATATATATATATATATAGATAGATAGATAGATAGATAGATAGATATAGATTAGGTCACATTATCAAATTATTGCACATGCGATTCCTCTTCATTTGAGGAATTTAAGGTAGAACATGATCTGAATGAATAAGAAATTTTTTTAAAATAAATAACTGTAACTACTCGATCAAGATTGTACTATGAAATTTTGCTAAATAATACTGTTTTATTTTATAGATATATATATATTGTACGAAAAAGAGAGTGTTTCATTGCAACAAAATATAAAGTAATTTAGTTTATTTTTCAAAGGTAATTGAATGACAAATGTTTATTTTCTCTCTTTTCATATATATTTTGGTTTAATCGATTAAAACATAATTGTTTATGTGTATGTTTGTTTATTTTTTCATCAAAATGTAACCTATCATTGAATTTTATTAAAAATGAGTAGAAAATTTATTTCATAAGGTTTAATCAGATACTTTTTATTTAAATAAATGTGTATGTTTGTTTATTTTTTCATCAAAATGTAAGCTATCATTGAATTTTATTAAAAATGAGTAGAAAATTTATTTCATAAGGTTTAATCAGATACTTTTTATTTAAATAAATATGATATATGTCACTCTCTTTTTTCTTATTTATATTTTTTTTATTTAAAAAAAATTATTATTTATGTTTGTTTGGTTAAGTTTATCAACATGTAACTTATTATTAAAGACAAAAAAGAATAAATGGATAAATGAAAAAGAATAATTAGATAAAAGAAATGGAAATATTAAAGAAGAGAGAGGTAGCTCCATAAATACATTAATAACTAATTTTTTGTTTGTAAAAAAGTTGCCCAACTTGGCAAATTGTGAATCCTCCAAGTGCTTATGTGCCAAGAATTTTTTTTTGAATTGCCATAATATATAGTATAGATAGATAGATAGATTTTAACAATACTCATATTTTCTTTATTTCAACTCGAACTTTTATTTGCACAGAATAACATGATTTAACATGATCTATATAACGATACTAACTTTTGTAAAATTTGAAAAAATCAGTATAAACAAAGACGTACTCATACACAAGTGATTTATCAAACACATGCATTTAATCAATTGTGTTTGGTTAAACAAGTGTACAATTCACTAATATTTTCATGTGTGTTGTCACGTCAGAAACCGATGTTGGATATAGTTTTTTCGCATACAAATATTCGATACATTCTTTTAATCTTTGGTGTATTATAATTCTCTCACTGTGATTCTTTGGTGCCGGTCTCTGGGATTATAGGGTGTCTGCTACCAAGGGGACGCGCCAAGGTCGTCATAGAGAAGGTGTTGTTCGGACGAGAGTGGGATAGTCGGGGGAGGAGCGGTGCTTCATGAGGTTCAAGAATTACTTGCTGGGGTGGCTAGTGGTAGGGTCCAATTTGTAGGCAGGGAGAACAACATGGTAGTCCATAGGATAGCTCAAAAAACCCTTTCTTTGTTTCCTGTTCTTACTGAGGGGTTTAATTTTTACGATTGGCTCCATTCGGAGTTGTAATCGTTTGTGATCTTCTGGTTTCTTGGTAATGCAAACTATCTTTTATAATAATAATAAAAAGTATTCCGACTAATAAACCAGACTATTATAAAACGCGCTGCTACGGATCGGGAAATCGCAGGAAACGACAAAGCAAGAATACGAAAGCGAGAATCGAAAACACGACACACGATTTACGTGGTTCACTAACACGATGTGTGTTAGCTACGTCCACGGGCGAGAGAGAGCCAATTTCACTATATCGAGGAGATTACAGAGTAGTATGAGAAGTATTTATAGTACTTCTCCATGTGGGTCTAAACCTAATCCAATATGGCAAAGGAAACGGTTACAGACCAGGCCCAGAACCCGATTATCACTCGTAGCTGCTGATAGTCCGATTCAAGTCACATCAACACAGACGTTAATCTAGTATATAACGAAGTGTGGTATCACTTGCACCTTGCCATCCCCATCAAAGTGTCATTTCTCTTTGCGTTTAATTTGTACCATCACTCCTTGTGCATGCTCTTCATCTTCATTTCCTTGGGAGCAAAGGTTTCGCCTTAGACATCTCAACAAACAAATGGCTATGAAGTATTCTTGATGTCTATTACTTCCTCCTCAAGGAGAAGGTGGTGTGCAATGTCATCAAGCCTTTGACTTTAAAGTCAACTCAACAACCATGGAAGTCACTAAGCCTCTATGACACTGAGCATAACGATTTCGACTCTTAAAGTAGTAGCAAATGGAGAACTGATAAGCTATAATATATCGAACGAGCTAAGAAAAGTACGAATTCTGATCATGGCCAATTTGGTATGGCCTGCTGCCCTCAAAACTCCTCCAAATCAATTGGGATTGAAATAACAGTGGGCTTAGTATTTGGGCACCAAATATAAGGCTCCAAATTTCTGATCCAAGCTCCATTCTTTAACCTCAGTCCAATCCCAAAACCCCACTGTTCTCTTTGAATCCTAGAGGCAACTTTCGCTTGGCAGACTCTTCTTTTTTCTGCAAGAAAAGTCGATCTCCAGTATATTACTGTTCCTAATCCAACTACTGTGTCAAATCAGACCATATGAGAACGAGACGTCAATCTTATATACAGCAAGCAACCTACTACTAGTAGGTAGAGGTGTTAAATCACCATCGCCAATCGACCATATATCAGCCACAGATACATCTGCAAAATTTCCAACGAGGTTTGTATCCACATGACCTGTGTTGATGTTCTTCCATCAGTTCTTTCAGCGGTGAACAACCCTTCCACGGAATCTCACAGCAGTACAAATTTGGAAGAAGATATTCATCGGTGTATAAGCAGACATGATCTCTTGATTTTGAATGATGTCATATTCAGTGGCGAGATTAAAAGATTCTTTATATTTTAACTTTTTAATTGACTTTTGTATTTTTCTTTTAATTTGAACTTTTTTAAAAATTGTACAAATAGAGGAGTTCATTGTAATCTACAAAATGATATTCATTTGAGATATATTTTGAGAATTTTTTTTTATCACTCGTCAGTCACCTTATACTACTCCAGACAACCTTCATTTTTAACTCAAAATCTGAAACTGTTTACATAGAAGGAACTGGTTAATATGCTAATCTACAAAATTTATGGAAAACATTAGTATGTAGGACCAAATATACCATCTTATACCAAGATGATATATGGAGACAACTGGTGGTAGACGGCAGTGAAAAGTGGTAAATGATAGTTATTATATTTTTAATATTACGTATATAATCATTTTACAGTATGATATTGGTATATTCATAATACCATGATATAGATTGGTTATATAAATTTCCAAAAAAAAAAATATTTCAAAGATATATCAAATATTTCACGAAACCTTTTAACTTCCAAAGGAGATATAGCAATTTATATTTAATCGGAGAGAAAATTATCGACCCGATTTTTACCTGATCCACTCTCATGCAGCTATGCTCATTCGCGAGAAGAGGGTATTATAAACCAGACTCTGATATCATGTCAAGAACCAGTTGATCCCAATAATTCGAGTTGTTGGGAGAAAGTTATGTTGGATCTTATACAGGTCCATGTATGGTACTTAACCACTTCCTTATGGAGGAGGCAGAGTTTGTCACCTCAGGAAAAAAGAAATTAAAACATGCATGCTTATATTGCATAATTACCCAAATAATTTGTCGGCAAGACACCAAATTTAACCCGGCACAGCAACAGCCACACATAAAAAGAAACCAGCAGAGGCGCAGAGCAGACAGTACTTCTATCAAAACTCTGCCTATAAAAATCCCACGACTACAATACGTCTTTTTAATCTATATTAACATACATACAATACAAGCTCGATCTTCCTTGCCCCCTGTAAGGCTGTAACTATGTCTGCGAGGAAGGTCGTTCACGTTCTGGCACTGCTGCTGTTGGCTGCAATAGGCAACAACGGCAACGGCGGCGGCGGCGGAGGAGGAACGTTTATTTTGTTGGTGCAAGGGCAAACCATATGCAACATACCGGTGGCGGGGCTGAGAGCTTGCAAGCCGGCGGTGACTCCTCCGAGACCTTCCCAACCGACGGCGGACTGCTGTGCGGCACTGTCGCACGGAGACTTCCGCTGCCTGTGCTCTTACAAGACCTCCCCTTTGCTTCCTTCCCTCGGGATCGACCCCAAGCTTGCCGTCCAGCTCCCGCGGAAGTGCGGCCTTCCAGCCCCTCCATGTTAATAGATGAGAAGATCATCTATTTTGTGCCGGTGAAGGACGTCGTTTCCATATGTTACCGGCCATAATTTTCCCGGCAAGGTACGGTGCCGGGGAGAGCTCCGGCCGGCGGTATTACTAGTGAATAAATTACTTGGTGTTAAAAACCAAACGTTTGCGTTTAATTAGCATGCAGGAAGAAAAAAAAAAGTGGCTAGTTGCCTGTTGAATGTAGTAATTGCTCCTGTGGTAAAAAGAGGTGGTAATTAAATATTTAAATAAAACGAAACCTTTTTCGATAAGATATTGTTCGTTTTGAAGTGCACACGAAGATAACTTCTCGTGAGATCACTCGTTCTTGTGGCTAGGGGGTGCTTGTATGGTCCGGTCCGGTTAAATTGGCCTGAATTGATCCGGTCCCAATCCGGTTTTTTTCGGGAATATAAGGACCAAAGATTGGATTGGATACAGTCCGGTCTTGACCCGGTCCAGTCCCAATTCGGTCTTGATTTTAGATTGAACTTGTGGGGATTTGAGTGGCGTGAGACCTCAAAGGGTGAGGAGTTGGTTAAATTTTGGGTATTAGGGTCTCTTATCCGGTCTTTATCCGGGTTTTTAGCCGGTCTCAAACAAGTTTTTTTTACCACAAATCTAAACCCGGATATGGGATTGGATTGTTTGCTATCCGGTTCCGGTCCTGTCCCGATCCGGGTTATACGGTCCGTTTCAAGTAAAATCAAATAGTCCGGACCAAATAGCCAGCCCTACTTGCAGCAGTGCTCTACAGTGAGCACGTTTAATTTTCAGAGTTCTTACAAAGAGCTTCTCCTCCATTTCATCCCGAAACACGTTTTTGTTAGTCATTTGGTGTAGCCAGGGAAATATTTCAATGGGGTCCAAGAACTATATGAAAATAAAAACCACAGGACTCGTTAATCGTAACTCAAGATAGTGTAATGGTGCAGTTGGTGTCTCATATTCATGGGTCCATGGTTCAATTCATGGATGCATCAACTATATTTTCATTCATTTTTTAAAGTGCACACATTTTCAAATGGGGTCCATTGACCCCACACCACATAATGTGGCTCCGCCAATGTAATGTTAGTTAATATCGATTTCTTATTTGTGATCTCGCTCACGTTATTTATCAATATTAAATTTAGCTAAAATGTTACATGTACACCATTGTGATATTCGTAAGTATTTGCAGCAAACATTAAGACTCTGTCAAAGTGGGCGGGCGCGCGAAAGTGCTGAAGCAGATACATCATTAATGTCATCTATTCTTAGTAGGTTAACGTAAGATACAGAGGTGTGAAGTGTGTCAAAGTGCATGCATGCCATAATACCTCAATCTTAATTTATTGCTATAGATCATCACGTCAGTATGATGGGATTGAAGAATCGTTCCTGGTGGAGTTATTAGTACTTTAGGACATTGGCATTTGGCAGAGTCAATAATATGAATGAGGAGGGTTGGTTGAACCGTAATAATCGAAAGGAGGCTAAATTATTACTGACTAGTTTATTTTTTAAATTTATTACGAATTTTACATATAATCTTACCTACATTTGCAACTAACTCCTCCACTGCTGCTTTCGGATGCGCTTTGTTTGGGATTTTGATGGTGTTTTTTTCGTCGGTGATGCGAAAGGTGGTCTGATTTGAATGAGGGGCGGATTTGAACCGTGATAACTATGGAAGGGGAGTTAAGACCTTACGGATTACTCAATTTCCTAAACTTGTTACGAATTTTACATGTAATTTCTCCTGCATTACAAATTTGAGGGGGCTATAGCCCCTCCCGACTTCAACCTAACTCCTTCATTGATTACCTTGTTTGAAAGCAAAATTATTTACCAGATCTTTAATTTTTTGCATTCTCACTATGATCATTCACAATCACTGTCGTACCTGATACATTAACGATTTATAGAGGCATTTTAAAATACAAATATGAATTAAGCAATCAGTATACATATACCGTAGATATACATCAGTATATTGATCAATGACTTATTAATTAACATACTTTAATAAATTATCGTACCCAAAATCAATTAATCATACAAAGTTCAACTTACAATATATAATTGACTTGAATAATAGATCTACATGAGAGGTCTCCTAATATTCGGAGTCTCTATGATAGAGAGCATTCTAGCAAAGCCGCCCCTACTGTTCTGTGGTGTCATGGCGGACGATTTGTGGGTTGGAATGAAAACAGAGTACCCACTCAATCGTGAAAAGCCCTACTTAAAGGAATTTTTCCAACTATAAAAAAATTCAAAAATACCACCAATTCCCATACACTATCACCTCACCCCGCGGGGTTTTCGTTCCCGTTGCCAAAAAATTGTATGGTGTCGGGCGGTTTCGATGAACCGCGGGGAAGGCGCGGTTAAGGTGCAAACCGCTCCCCCCATCCAACGGTTTGCATTAAATTTCCCCCCTCCCCCTCAACACGCCTAATTTAGGTCAAAACTTCAAACGAACTTCACTTTAAATTCGGGTATTCGTAGCGATTTTTTTGATTTATTACATTTTAGTACATACAAATTTTTCTCTTACATTTGATACATGAACTCTTAAAATTTTACAAACAGATCCACTGTTAAAGAAACTTCTAGACCACTTTAAGAAATTTGTGGTCTGGATTTTGTGGTTTGTGAAGAGGATTTTGTAGGGTGAATTTTGTGGAGAGGATTTTCCTTTTCCCGTTTAATTGCACACGTGACTCTCCCTTCCCTCAATTTTTATTAATGACCAGCGTGCCCCTCCTACCCCTTGATCAACTAATTTAAATAAAAAGGTCATCCAAACGAAATGTTCCTATTGTTTGGAACTAGTGTTAACAACATGCTGAATATCTTTGACAAAAAAAAAGTGTTAACATCATGCTAACAAAAATAAGTGTTAACGCACTAGCTCCTCCCATCAATGATTCGGTCATGACAAAACAAAAACTATCAAACTTGTGAACAAGGTATTTTTTTTTTATCATGATGATTCATCATGACATCTTGCCACCGCCCCTAGTGATCAAATACAGAAAACCCACATAAGGATTGTGGAAATTGCATGGAAGACTTGGAGTCAATGACCAGTCGGCCAAGGGTAACTTCCAGTTCTTAATCTTCTGTGGTTCTGGCAGCAAGACTTAGAAAGAAAGAAGCAACTCAAGTCCACGAATCAAACAAAACTAGAAATAATTGCACTGATAGAGACATATCGATCATTCATTGTCAATTTATACACAGCAAGCTCTGAAGTTCGAACCACTCTCATCAATCAAGTTTAACTTCTTTCCATAAAACGCTCCCATGTCTCGCCTCATCACCCTCTCCTTAATTACATCAACATTATTAATCCTGATCATCTTTCCCTTAAGCAGCACTGCCAGATTACATCCTAAGGGCTGCCACCCTACAGAGAGGCAAGCCCTTCTCAACTTCAAGCAAAACCTGATCGACGTCTCAAACCGCCTTGTCTCGTGGTCTGCTGATCATGACCACGGAGATTGCTGCAACTGGTCTAATGTTGTCTGTGACAACGTTACAGGGCATGTCCTCGAGCTGCATCTGAGCAGCGCTTCAGATCTCCCCGAACAGGCATTTAGTGGCGTAATCGATTCGTCTTTGTCGAAATTGGAGCAGCTGACGATGTTGGATCTCAGTGACAATGCCTTCGGAGGGATTCCTCTGCCCAGTTTCCTCAGCTCCATGAAGAATTTGCGGGGTCTGAACTTGGCCAGGTCCGGATTCGGAGGAAGCATTACTTCTGATAATCAGCTTGACAACCTGTCAAACCTCAGGTATCTCAGCCTCCAAGGAAATTACATCAAAGTTGAGACTCTGGAGTGGCTTTCCAGTCTTTCTTCCCTGGAGCTGCTGGACTTGGGTTTCTTGGACCTCGGTAGCGTCTCAGATTCATGGTTGAATGTCATCAATAAGCTCCATGTGCTTGTCGAATTGCGCCTCTCTTATTGCCAACTTGGACAGGTCCCTGAGTTCCTGAACCCTGTCAATTTTTCGTCTTCCATGTCAGTTCTCGATCTATCACACAATAATATCTCCGGTCAGCCTCCATTTCCCAAATGGGTTCTTGATCTCAGGTCCTTAACTTACCTCAATCTCGCAAACAACCGATTTCAGGGCCATATCCCTGAGGGTATTCAGAACCTGAGTTCACTCGAAACAGTTGACCTGTCCTGGAATTCGTTCAGTTCCTTGAGCCCAACCTCCTTCTCTTCCTTGACCAGGCTTCGACTCTTCAACCTTGCTTTCAATAACCTTGAAGGTGATCTTTCTGGAGCCATGGGGAATATGACTTCCCTCGTCGAACTTGATCTCTCCTCAAATGGGTTTCAATTTGTTGGAGGAATCCCAGATTACTTCAGCACATTTTGCAACCTGAAATTGCTTACCTTATCAGATGTCAGGCTAAAACAGGATGTCAACCAGGCTTTTGATGTTCTGTCTGGATGTCCTGCAAAAGGGTTGAAGACCATCAGGATGTCCAACTGTCAACTATTTGGTTCCTTGAACATTTCCCTTGCGAAGTTCAAGAACCTCGACACGCTGTCCTTATCGAAGAATTCCATTTCAGGTCCATTACCAAAGTCTTTGACATACTTGGGATCGTTAAGGTATTTAGAGCTTTACAGCAACAAATTCCATGGAACCCTTCCCACAGGGTTTGGAACAGTCACAAACCTGGAGTCGATCGACATCTCTGACAACTTGCTGGAAGGTGATGTCTATGAGATTCACTTCTCAAACCTCACCAAGTTGTGGATGTTTCGCGCGTCTGGAAACCAGCTCAGGCTGGAAGTAAGTTCGGATTGGGCTCCTCCACCACAATTGAATGATTTGGGACTAGGGTTATGGAGACTCGGACCTCGATTTCCTTCTTGGCTTCAGTCCTTAAAGTTGCTTAACAGCTTGAACTTGTCCAATTCAGGAATTTCTTCTCACATTCCGTCTTGGGTTTTCTTCAACTCTGTTTTATACAGCATTGATCTAAGCTCAAATCTTTTGACTGGTCCATTGCCTTTTATTTCTCCGATTACAAGCATTCTGGACCTCTCAAACAATAGCCTCTCTGGAACCATTACAAACTTCCTCTGCTACAAGCCCAAGGAAGACAAGATGACCCAAGTCCTCAACCTCGGAGGAAATCGATTTCGTGGCGAAGTTCCTGACTGTTGGGGATCCTGGAAGTACCTTGAAGCTGTGAAGTTGAGCAGCAACAGGTTCACTGGCAGCATCCCTTGGTCTATTGGAACATCTGTGTTTCTCGATTCGCTTAACCTGCGAAACAACAAACTCTCTGGCCACATTCCATCCTCACTGAAGAACTGCTCCAAGCTCGTTGCACTCGATTTCAGCGGGAACGAACTGGACGGAGCGATTCCTTCTTGGATTGGTGAAAATTTGAGGAAACTGATGATTCTAAACTTCAGGGACAACAACTTCAATGGACCCATTCCTGAGCAGCTCTGCAAGGCGAATTCGCTGCGAATTCTCGACCTTGCCAACAACAATCTCGTCGGAAGAATCCCCAGATGCGTCAACAACTTCACCGCGATGGTACGAATGAACGATTCCAGCGGCACGATTCTCCTGAGCTACAACGGGACCGGCCCGTTCTTCGAGACGGCACTAATCATGATCAAAGGGAAGCTGTCCGAGTACGGCTCCATTTTGAAACTGGTGAGAAGCATAGACTTGTCGGAAAACAAATTGTCAGGGGAAATCCCTCGGGACATGACTAACCTCGAAGGGTTGCAGTCTCTGAACCTGTCAGGAAACTTGCTGATGGGGAAAATACCTCAAGACATTGGAGCAATGAGATCGCTGGAATCCATCGATTTGTCTCAGAATCGGCTTTCAGGGGAAATCCCAAGGAGCATGTCAGGGATGACGTTTCTGAGCTTCCTGAACTTTTCTGACAACAAGTTGAGCGGCAGGATTCCTTCAAGCACCCAATTCGAGGGATTTAATGCCTCAAGTTTTGCCGGGAACTTGAATCTCTGCGGCCTCCCACTTGCCATAAACTGCAGCAATGTTCCTGCGCCTGGGCAGGACGGGATTGGGAACGGAGAGGAGGATGAAGGCCATGTATATGAACAGTGGTACTTCTATGTCAGCATAGCAATTGGATTCATAGTGGGATTCTGGGGCGTTGTTGGTTCCTTAGCACTGAGCAGGAGTTGGAGGTACGGTTACTTCCGGTTTATCGATAGTTTATGGTACAAATTTAGAACGGGATAATAGCACGTAGGTATTGTAAAATCCTACCACAGGTTATATAAGAAAAATTAGCTGTATGCCTGTATGTTATTTTGCGTTAAATCGTACTTCCATCATTTCATACGATAGCTAAATACCACTTATTGGTATGAGATTTTCCGCTCGGGACTGTTTTACAAATATTGGATTCATATCGTACCAAAGAGGTGGTATCATCTTGTCACATCCTTATAATTTTTATAAGTGGGGGAAAACATTTATATAAAATGAGTAACTTCAAATGTTAAATCGAAGTTAATGAACTAGGTTAAATATGTACTATTTTCATGTGACAATCTTGACTTAAAATCAACACTATATATAATGCCCTAAAACCACTTGTACCTAGCTATGATACAGCCCAAACCAGTCAAAAAACGACATTGCAACAATCTCCTAGCATCTAAACTGAATTACACGGCACTTTTCCAAACTATTAGCTGATCCACCTATCCCTTGTTTCCTATGTCTCTATTTGGAAGGATAAAGTAGAAAACAAAAAGGGAAAAAAGGCAACATAAGAAACTGTGAAAACTTCTGTTAATATGGGAACTGTCACCTGGGGCCAGAGAGTTCCATTGCTTGTACCAACAATGAAGAATCATCAGTGAGATCAGAGTATCGATCTGACGACGAGAAATCGTTGTTCTTCGACTTGGTAGCTTCTGCCCTTTGAGAAGCTTCCCATCTCTCTGCAAGTCCATCTCCTTCCAGCATTCGGACTACTTCAGACATTTTCGGTCTTTGACTAGGAAGGTATTGTGTGCTAAGGAGTGCAACTTTAACCATCTCTTCCAGCTCGATTCTGTCATAGTTCCCTTTCAAATCCTTGTCCACCATCATTTCCAGCTGCTTCTCATGATGAATCTTCTTTACCTGCCAAAATGTAAACGAAAAAAACAGACTGAGTCACAAAGTTTTCCTTTGTTCATTTTCCCCATCCTAAAGAGAATTGAGGGCTGACCCAATCGAGCATGGCTCCTTTCTGGTTTGCTGCCTTTCCAAACTCCAATGCTCTTTGGCCAGTGATTAGCTCGAGGAGCAAGATTCCGAATCCAAACACATCCGTTTTGTCTGAAGATTGGCCTGTGGAGAGATACTCTGGTGCAATATGGCCTACAGTTCCTCGAACAGCAGTAGTCACATGTGAATCTTGGTGATCAAGCAACTTTGCCAACCCGAAATCACCGACCACGGCTTCACAATAGTCATCGAGCAATATGTTTGCGGCCTTAACATCCCTGTGGATTATCTTCGGATCACATTGTTCATGGAGGTATAGCAGGCCCCTTGCTGCTCCTAAGGCTATTCTCTTTCTTGTACTCCAATCCAAGACCGGTTTCCCTATAAATGAGAAGAGATAATAAGTCTGGTTAAAAGATTTGACTGTTTGGGATGGTCAATGCAAGCTGCATATCAGTTTTACCTTTGAGACGAGAAGCAACGCTGCCATTGGACATGTATGGATAAACCAGTAGTCTCTCTGATGGTGTGATGCAGCAACCGTATAATCTGAGGAGGTTCCGGTGCACTGCTAAGCTGATCATTTCCACTTCAGTCTGGAACTGAATCTCTCCTCCAACGGTACTACCATCTTTCAATCTTTTCACGGCTACGATCGTCCCATCGTGGAGAGTTCCTTTGTATACATGGCCGAACCCTCCTTTCCCAAGTATATTTTTGTTGCTGAAGTTGCCTGTTGCAATCTGGAGTTCTCTAAACTGAAACATCTTCAAGTTTCCGAGAGATACTTCTTCATGCAACCTATCTTGTTTTCCTGAAAGGAGCAAAACAAACTATACATGGTTAGGCAGAAGAGACAGCCAGTTTATGTACATTGTAAAAGTCTCGTTATAGTATCTTCCATACCATCAACGTCGAAAAACATTGGTGGATTAAGCCTTTGCCTCCACCACAGGAACATTCCAAACACCATAATGATGAGGGAGATTGCACCAACGCTTGATCCAAAGGCAACTGCTACCTTGTGACTCTTTGGTCTTTGGGAAGGGGGATTAACTGATAACAGAAATGAGATCAAGATCGAACACTGATCAAGGCATCAAATTGTCAAAGCATGAAGGTAATTATGCTATTGCTCACGTTCTGTGTTGTTCAAGTCCATGGACATTGGCATTAGAGTCGTCCCAAAACACTCTGGCTCTGAACCAGTTGGGCAGATGAGTGGATTGCCAACAATGCTGCAATGCAAAAGGAGGATTAAAGTTAGCATCCGTTTAATTACTAGGTCGAAGGAGAAAGGCACTGAGGAAATGAGATGACCTGAAAGTTTTAGCAGGGAATGTAGGTACGGGGCCACTCAGATTATTGTAAGACAGGTCACTGAAGTTCACCAAAGAAGTTTATTTTAGTGGCGCATTTCGCCCAAATGATACAGAAGATTTCAAGGTCAAGCTAGACTTACAGAAACACAAGCTTGGTCATGTTCCCAATTGCTATTGGGACTTTGCCGGAGAGACTGTTGTTATTTAGCCTCCTGAAGTTCAAAATTCACCAACTACCCTAAATCAGGGCGAAAGAAAAGAGAGTATATGGGATTGATGATCCACAGCGCCCAAGTCCTTGGGCATCATGCAGAAGAGAAGATGGTTAAGTATGCTTACATGTATTGGAGACTCCTCAAGTGCCCTAACGAAGAAGGAACACTCCCGGTGAAGAAATTGTTAGACAGATCAAGCGTGTGAAGTTTTGAGAGTTTCCCTATCTCTGCTGGAATGGGCCCTGTGATATTATTGTTCTGCAACAGCCTGCAACGAAATGCAATTTGAGTTAGCCTCTTTTGCATGCTTGAAACCAAAGAAGCGGGACTCAGAAATGGCGGCACCCATTTTAGGAAAAGCTAAAACTTACACAATCTGAAGATTCGTCAAGTTGGCAATGCTTGGAGAAAGAGTTCCATACAAGTTCTGACTAGGAGTTCCCCTGCAAGCCAAATTTAAGAACGGTCACATCATAGCAGAAGCATTAAATTACAGGGAATTGGTACTTTTCAATACGTTAGTAGAAGCATTAATTACAAGCCAATGACGAGACTCTCTGACGAACAAGTGACCATAGTCCAGCTACAAGGATCCACCGCATCGCCATCCCAGTTATCAAGAACACCATGTGGATCATGTAAAGAAGCTTTTATACCCATCAAAGCTTGTACTGCAACAAACCAAACCCACATCAGAAAAGAGAAAAATACTCCCTTCAGAGGAAAATCATCGAACACCCTCCAGGCACAGAAACAAACTCCTCCTTCCCCCACCTTCAAAGTTCACGCCTTTGGGGGAAAGCAACCCATTTGCGGTAGTAGCAGCGTAAACCCACCAGAAAATCACAAAACTCATAACACCCATTTCTTCTCTCCTTCCTCCTCTACTCGTACTTACAGCTGCGGCCGCCATTGAAGAGAGCAAAAAGGAATGGACTTTGGACACCCAAACTGCCTTACTGTGCTTCTATAGATCTGCTAACAATCTCACATTGATTCCAACTGGATATAGAAAGGGAACAACTTTGAAACGGGCCTGGTGTTACTTTTCGGTGGTGGTGGTGGAGTGAGGCATCCATTTTCTTTAGGCTTTCCTTCCCCAGGAGTAGTCCCACGCAGTGCTGCTTTTCACGCCAGAAAAGAAAAAGAAATCCCAATTTCCCGAATAGAAAATAAGGAAAATAATTGGGGGTTTGTTTGTTTGGTCGTGTCAGAAGAATTCTGAAACAAGAAAAGCAGCAGTGTTTTTTTGTCGTATGAACGAAGGACGCCCAGCTGGACGTAAGCGTAACAAACAAAATCATTACCATACGTAATAATTACTGTGAAGGAAGGTCGCGTGATTTGTTTTGGATGGTCCTAATCAAATCTTAATCAGCCAAAAGAAGAATTGATGTTAACGTAAGCCCTAAAAGATAAAGTAGGAAGGTAGAGCTGAATTGTTATTCAAATTTCCCTCCCACAAATGAATTGTTTGGAGGAATCAATGAATCTATAGTCCATCCATATCTCGTTAATAAAGAATCTAGTAAATAGGTTTTTTAGTTTTATAAATTTTTTCTAAGAGGGAAGTAATATTAATTTCTCCTTTATTTATTAGTCAAATCTTTTTCAGATTCTTTTTTATTAGTCAAACCTATCGAAATACTAAAAATTAGTCAAACGTTTTGTAATGCATCAAAATATTAGCTATTTTTACGTTATCGTGATAATTTTGTAACTCTTTTCTTAATTAAAATACTACAATTTTGGAATGTTGACCTCTATTTATATCTTCTAAGTCATTATCATGTTACCAAGTCAATATTACTAACAAAATTGTTAATTGGAAGTTAACATTTGGCTAATTATTAGCAATTCCAATATGTTTGAATTTGAAAAAGATTTGGCTAACAAATAGTCATTACCCTAGTTATTAATATCTCTATCTAATGACTAAAACAAAATTGGTAGTTTGGATAATTTCTAATTAAATCACGAATAACAAATTTTCAAAAAAATTCAACCCATAATTGAAAAGGCATCGCAAAAAATAACATGTTGTAATGAATTGGTCTCATGTAATGAGAGAGGTCACGAAAAGAGAAGAACCCATGTGAATCTATGGTACAATATGATTAAAGGTTGGTTTGGAAGTTGCGATAGTTTTGTTGAGATTGTCATTATGCATGTATTGTTTACAATGCATCGTTTTTTTGTTTTGTTTTTTAGCAGAAACAATACATGGATTGTTTCTGTGATGTGACAGAAACTATCACTCATTTTGAGTGATTGTTATATCTCAACTTTTAGTTGTGATTGTTTAGATTGTTGAGTTGAGATTGTTTTGTCTCAGCTTTTAGCTGATGCGACATACACAATCACACATACCAAACGTTGTATTCTACAATGCATCAAATTCGACAATACATGCATAATATTATACAAACATTCTCAACAATACATCTATTTAACAATCGCAACTTCCAAACCCCTAAGTCCTTGCAATTTTTATCATGATGCAGCCACGATTTCACCATTGTACTTTGACAATTCATTTTAATAATTAGATATATGATACAGTATAAAATTTCTATATTGTTTGAAATCGAAGATTTATCTAGAGACCTATTCATATTATGAAAATCTGTACTTTATAGGATTAGAGTTGGCTTTTAAGCTCGCAAGACTATGAATCCTCTTAAATGAAGTACCTCTGTCCTCGATTAATTTGAACATTTTCTGAATTTCAAAACATGACTAACAACAATCTGAACCCTTCAAATGTTAGGAATAATGTTCCATTACTTCTTCTGTCAAACTCAAACTACAAAGTACAAAACACATAGAAAAATTGCACTTCTAAATCCAAATTCAGATAGCCTTAGACTGTGACACATATAAATATGTGCTCACTTGTCTTTCTTGTAAACCTTTTGTTCATCTATTTCAAAATACTAAAACTTATTATTAGTAACTTGCTGACCAGTTTCACTTTGGTGCTGGAAAGTTTTGCTTTGATTTATGATATCAATATATATTAAGAAGGGAAGATTCCCCCTCCCATGGCAATTGGGCACATAACGGCAACCAGCAGGGCGCCCACTAACTCCAAGCTCGCACATCGCATTGCCTTTGTCCTTTGTCCAATTCTTCTTTCCTCTTTTTCCACACACTGCATCAGCAGCATCAGCAGGCACAAAAAATATTTTTTACTTTTTAGTATAGTAGGAGGATGATTTCAAATGTAAATACAAACGATGATAATATTTTCCCCCTCCCCCACTAATTTTTTGTCGCTCTAGATCTCTTTCATGTTTGGCTCTCACTTGGTATGAACCTTACTGATCTGTACTGTTTTCTTGATTGCGAACTTGTTCGTGTTCATCAGCTTCACATTGATGCATCTCTATAGTTGCTCAACTTTCTAACATGACAAAGCCGCTTTCGAGATTCATGCTTTCAACTTAATCACTCCAATATTTGAGCCACCGGCACCTTCTCCATCTTGTGAGGAAGTATCAATAGTAATTGTAAAACGTTAGACAAAATATTTGAGGATACGTTCTTCTAGTTATTGCAAAACGTTAGACAACAGAGCTCTTTTGCTATGCTATAAAGTATTGGTGCTTTAATGTACAACTTGAAGTTGTACCATAATATTAAAGGTATAAGTTCAAGTTGTACCATGAAGGAATTTGTACCCTTATGTTTTGGTACAACTTTACAAGTTGAAGTTGTACCATCACATAAAGGTACAAGTTCAAGTTGTACCATAAAAAATATGTACAAAACAGTGTAGGTATAATCTAAAACTGTACCATAACATTGAATGTACAATTTCAAGTTGTACCATAAAAGTAAAAACCTATAGCACCAATACTATATAGTATTATAAAATTCCTCTAGACAACATTGCCTAGCTAGGGATACAATGATTTATGAAATTAAGCAAAAATTTGGATAGTACTCATTTTGATTGTGGTTAGGCGTTAACACCTTCCCAACATGTAGCCCATAAACTCACAAGATGGGTTAGGCATTAGGGTTCTAATTCGTAATTTATCTACATGCGCTTATTAATTTTCTTAAAGCTGCTTAATTGACGGACTAAGTTACTTTTAACTTTGTATAGAGGGGAAGAAGCAGATGGAACCTGGGGAAGGTCTATTTCCAGGTCCCTACAATACATCCACACTTTCATCCCTAACCAAGGGTAACTCGACTCAGTATCTCAGACCCGCCTTCAACAGAAGAAACAAATATGGAAGCTGCAGAGTCTCCTTCTCTACACATTCAGCCAAATGCAGATAGATACTGAGCTGCACTCTGGGTTGACTGCTGAATGAAGCAGGCCACAAACATAATTATTAGATGCCAACGCACCAGAACTACTCATTTTTTCTCGCGTCCTTTGGGTGCTATAATCATCCAATCACGAGCTGGACTACGTCGTCTACGAAGCATAAGCAATTAAGCACGAGACGAGCTCCTTCTTGTCCTTAAATCTTGTAAACTAAGAAGATGAAGCTCAACTCCATTCACTGGTCCACCACAGCCAGCCAAGTTTCACAGCTCAGAAGTGGATGAAAATACAAATAAAGGACTCCCCACCATCAAACTGACTCTTTTCAGCTTATGTTTCTACGACAAAGACAAACTGGTCCTTTTGTTTTGTCACACTCATCACGTTTTGCCCTCATTGACAGTGTAAGAAAAATGGCCACTCAAAAAGGGAAAGAGAGGAAGAGAGAATTCAAAATAGAATGAGATGGGTCATTACTCATTACTAAAGAGAGCAAACAATCTAACAAGGCCTTAGCTGTAAAGTTCACTGGCTGACATTATTCATGTATATCACAGCAGGCAGAGAACCCGGCCCTGAGTTCATGTCCTTAAATCCCCTTTCTTAAGAAAGATCTTAAAGCGTCGTGATTGGCTGACGTGATTTTAGGTAGTTATTGAGAAGTTATTAGTTAATTAGTTGTTAAGGGTATTTAGGGAATTATAAATAATATAAAACTTAACCTAATTAAAGCTATTAACATAGTAAATCCCGGTTAAATCCCGGTTAAACCGAGCCTTCTGTGTCCTTCAACCGGTCGGCGCATCAACTTCCCCCGCTTCAGATCGTCGTTCCGGTCGTCAACTCACCCGCTACAGGTCGTCGATCCACACTTCGTTCCGCTGCAGGTCATCGATTGCTCGTCCCCCGCGTCGATCTCCGTCTCGCTGCATGTCGTTGGTTGGTCGTCCCCCGCGTCGGGTTGTCGGACGGGTCTCTGTCTCGTTGCACGTCGTCAGTTAGTTGTCTCCCCGCGTCGAGTCGTCGATCGGGTCTCCGTCCCCTCCGTTGGCTGGAGTTCTTCGCCGACCGGTGTATCACCTGTCATCCACCTTCCCTCCCCTACTCGTTGCTTTGTGTTTGTAATTATTAACTAAATCGTCTTTAGATTTAATTTTATTGGTGACGTTAATAACTTTGAAAATGCCTTCATCAATATTTTATTCCATTATGAATATTTTATTGCATTCTTAATTTTTACTTGTGTAACGTCATTTGTAAATTTTTGCTTACATTTGTAATTTTTCAAATTCCATTATCAATTTTTCTGTCTTATTTTTTTAGGTATTCTTTGTTACATTTTTTATTATTAACTAAATACTCCTACTTTTAATTTAATTGGTGACGTTAGTAACATTGCCAAATGCCACTATCAAAATTTATTATGTCATTATCAATTTGCTTATTGTATTAGTTTTTACTTTTTTTTTTTTTATCAAAAGATGGGACGCTAAAAGGGCGTCCCTGCCTGGCACATTAAATTAAACGCGATTGGGCAATGCCCAAGGTATCATACAGGATCCAGAAATTAAGACCCGGATCGGAAATATCAAAGTCATGAAAACCAAAACTAGCGCTATGCTCTCTACCGGCGAGAAAGTCCGCCGCCTTATTACATTCTCTATAAATATGAGAGATTTTAATCTCCCAGTCTTTTTGGAGGAGGTGCCCAACCTGAGTGGCAAGGTTATAGAATCTATCATTGTTGTGATCCTTTGCCGTGAAGAAAAGATAAGTCGTCATGGAATCCACCTGGAGGTGAACTTTCCGATAGCCTCTGGACCAAGCCGTTTGGAGCCCTTGAATAGCTCCTTTGATTTCCGCTCTTGTCACTGTACTCACTCCCAAATTTCCCACAAACGCTGCAAGGCATCTACCGGAGTTGTCCCTGATGAGGCCTCCTGCAGCTGCAAGTGAGTCTGGCTGGCGAACCGATCCGTCCGTGTTAACAACAACCCATCCGTCTGCAGGTGGCTCCCAGGCAAGATCAGCTCGCGATTTCTTCTGCGGTGGAGCACGAAGCTTGGCGTCGTTCTCCTGGGCCAGCTTAATGGTGCTAGTCCAACTCTGGATACGATACGCCAACATTGAGGCCTTCTGGAACTGCTTCTCGAAGACCCACTCGTTACGTCTCTTCCATAGGTACCACGCAGCTACACCAAAGGTGGCGCCTGTCTTCTCCTCTTGCAGATGCTTCGACATCAACTCTGCAAAACCCAAACCACAAGTCAGAGTAGTCTCCCCTATTCCAAGTTTTTGCCATACCTCTTTCGCCTCTGGGCAGTCGCGGATGATGTGTTCCGTAGTCTCAGCTGCCTGCTTGCACATGTCGCAAATGTCGTTGGTGCAGAGCTTCCTCCTCTTTCTTTCACTGTTGGTCAGCAGGCGATCATGGGCAGCAAGCCAGAGGAAATGCTTGATTCGGTTGGGTCCCTGCCATTTCCAAATGTGTTTCCAGTGTGACCGTTCTCCATTGACAGTCTCCTCATCTTGATTATCTTCTAACCATTCCGCAGCAGCAGTGTAAGCAGAGCTAAGCTGAAATCGACCATCTTTTTCCCTTCCCCATAGAGTGACATCTTCTCCCAGCTCCAGGCGAGGAGCTTCCATACCTGCGATAACAGGAATAGCACTGTTAATAACCAGAGGTGAAATTTTTTGCCAATCCCACTCACCTGTGGCCGTGGCCATGTCAGCCACTGAAGCATTCCAGTCAATATCCTGGTCCGCCACAGCGATATAGTCCTTAAGAGTAACCCCATCAGCTAGCCATTGGTCGTGCCAGAAGTTGATGCTACGACCGTTTCGCACATCCCAGACTGTCTCTTGTTTCATCAGCGGCAAGGCCTTACGAATACCCTGCCAGAGCCGGGAAGTCGCCTTAGACAGGAAGGTAGTGGTACCCCTGGCATCTTGACGGACATACTTCCCTTGGACCACTTTCACCCACAATTCATTCTCATTATTCAAGAAAGTCCAGCCAAGTTTCATCAGATACGCAAGGTTAAGGGCTCGGGCAGAACGGAGACCCAGCCCCCCTTCATCTTTGGACCTGCAGATGGTTTTCCACTTCACCAGATGCACTTTAGCCTGCCCTTCCTCGCCTCCCCAAACAAATCTACGGATTTTCTTATCAATGACATCGCAAACGGTCATCGGAAGCACTGCCGTTTGCATAACATAATTCGGGAGGGCGTTGAGGACGGAAACGGCTAAAGTGACACGACCTGCAAGAGATAAGTTCCGAACTTTCCAACCAGAGAGCCGTTTATCCAAGTTCTCGATGATGTATTTGTAGGTGTCCTTTGTGACCCGGCCGTGAATCACAGGGACACCGAGGTACTTCCCAAGGCAAGTTGTGATCGGAATCTCCATCATCCTGCTGATTCTGCTCTTGATGCTACTACTGGTGTTCTTAGAAAAGAAAATACATGATTTCTCTTTGCTGATCTTCTCGCCTGAGGCCTCACAAAAACGATTGAGGCAATCCATGACAACTTTCCCTTGTCCCAAGTCAGCTTCAGCCAGCAAGACCAGGTCATCTGCAAAAAACAGATGCGTAAGAGGAGGGCCATTCTTAGATAACAAGATGGGTTTCCAATTCCCTTTAGCAACAGCATCTTTAATGCAGTGATTCAATCTCTCAATACACAAAGTGAAAAGGTAAGGAGATAGGGGGCATCCCTGACGAAGGCCACGGGCTGGTTGAAATTCCTCAGTGCAGCTACCGTTCCAGAGGATTTGGAACCTGGTAGTAGTCACACATGCCATCACGATGTTGATGAAGTCCTCAGGCAAATTGGCAGCTTCAAGAGTGGCTCTTAGGAAGGACCAATTAACTCGGTCGTAGGCTTTGGCGAGGTCTATCTTAAGGACCATCCACCCCCGTTTCCCTTTCCTCAGAGACATCGAGTGGATAGCCTCCTGAAGAATGATAATATTATCTGTAATATGGCGTTTGGGGACGAAGCTGGTCTGATTTTCCTCCACCAGACTTGGCATAAGTTTTTTAAGACGGTTGGCCAGACATTTGGCAATCACCTTATAGCTCACGTTACACAAGCCGATCGGTCTGAATTGAGCCATGGATCTAGGGCTGTCCACCTTGGGCAGCAGAGCCAACAAGGTAGAGTTACACTGCTTAATCCGGGACGGGTCTTGGAAACAGGAGACAAGGAATTGCTGGAAGTCTTCCTTGATTGTGTCCCAGCATTTCTGATAGAACACAGCATGGAAGCCGTCCTTCCCAGGCGCCTTGAGCCCTCCCATATTCTTGATCACTTCATACGTTTCCATAGCATCAGGAAGGGCAGCAAGCTTGTTAATATCAGAATCCTCCAAAGGATCAAAGCTGGCTGGTAAGCTGATAGTAGCACCCTCTACCCCAGAGAAAAGCTCAATGTAGAAAGCCATCGCCATTTTTTCCAGGGTATCAGGGTCTTCAATCCATGAGCCATCCTCAGCTTGAAGTCTCAGGATTTTATTTCTTCTTCGCCTAGCAAGGGCAGACAAATGGAAATATCTCGTATTCCTATCCCCATTGACAATCGGGTTAGACCGAGCTTTTTGCATCCAGAGAAGTTCTTCTTGCCAAAGAGTCTGCTCCAATTCCTGCCTTATCCTGTCTTCTTTAGCAATGGACACCGTGGAAGGGTTCTTGTCATTTTTGGACTCCAAGTCACTGAGTCTTTTAATAAGAGCCTTCTTCCTTTGGATAATATTTCCAAAAACTTCCCTGTTCCAGGTGCAGAGCTTGATTTGCAACTCTTGGAGAGAGGACAGAAAATTAACTCCCTGCTTCCAAGAGTTCTGGACAGTGTGCTGAAAGTCTTCGTGGGCTAGCCAGGGGGCCAAGAAACGGAAGGGCCTCGCTTTCCTTGAAGACTGGGAGGGCTTATTACGGACGAGAATCGGTCTGTGGTCTGACCGGAGACGAGGGAGATGAGAGTTGATGGTGTCCGGGTACATCTCCAGCCATTCCTGATTGCATAAGCTTCGATCGAGTCTTTGAGAGAGACGGCCATTAGTCCAAGTGAAGCAAGGGCCAGAATAGCCACAGTCGATCATATTACAATCCTCGATACAGGAGTTGAACTGCTGGGTACGCTGATCGTTAAACGGAGCACCTCCCCGTCTTTCCGAAGGGCTACGAATGGAGTTGAAATCTCCAACAAGGATCCAAGGTCTGGTCTCCCCTGCTGCCAATCCGCGCAACGCATTCCACAGAGGAAGTCTCTCATGATCATTGGGTTTGGCATAAACCGCAGTTAAGATCACCTCCTCCCTATCCTGCAAATCAAAACAATGCAAATGTAAGAATTGGGTATTACTATCCAGGAGAGAAATGGAGAACTTGGCTTCATCCCAAAGAACCCAAATCCCCCCTGAGAAACCTACAGCATCAACAATCTCGTACTTGTCGAAACCAAGGGAAGAAATGACATTCAAAGCCTCCCTGCCACTAATCCTGGGTTCGACAAGGATAACAATGTTCGGACTATAACGTCTAATGTAATCAGAAAAAGTAGCATGAAACTCGGGGCTTTTGGCCCCTCTGCAATTCCAACAAAATATACTAATCATTAGAAAAAAGAGAGGGTTAGGAAAGCTGGGTAGACGAATCAACGTCATCCGGCGAGCGAGGACGAGGAGTGGGGTTCCATCCCCGCGTTCTCCATCTCGAGAGAGCCCTGGTCGATCCCTTCCCGCATCGGAGTGTCGCTGCTAGTTCCCATGGTGAGCTTCTGGAATTCCTCCTCCTTCTGTCGAGTCTGGGTGATAAACTCTTCGATGGATTGAGGAGTAATCCCGAAATTGGCCGCTTTCCCATTCTTGGTGGAGGATCTTTTGTTGTTTTTGTTGCCCAGGGAGTTCTTCATCGTGTTTTGTTGGATTAACTTGGAGAGATGCTCTTTCAGAGGGGAATGAACTCTGTTCTTCTTACTGTAGTGCTGTCGGACAGAGATGATTCCCGAATTAGGGTCAATGTTCTCATTGTTGACCTTATCTAAACGGGTTGGGCCAGGAATCAAAGGAAGTTGTCTTCCAGAATCAACTTCCGGGTCCGTCCTTGGGCCGGTTGTGATTTGGCCCATTAGCGCATTCTTATCCACCGTCTGGTTAGTAGTTTGGGCCGTAGATCCAGAAGCATCTTTCAAAGGCCCAACAGCATGCCATTCTAGACTGGTGGAGTCTTTCGGGCCTTCTGAGATTGAGATTTTCCCCACTTCCTTCACTTTCCCTTTCTGCTGGGCTTTGCTTTCTTTTTTTTTGATCCTGCACCATCGCCGATTTTCCTTTTCTTTCCTGACCGTTGGGGCGGGGCTTGCTCTCCGCTTTGTGTGTAGGATTTTTGCTATGCGGACGCCGCCCTTGATTGCCGCTTTTAGCAGAGTTGCTGTTCTGATTTCTTTCCAACTCCTCCGGATATGAGTTGCCTTTTTTGTTTACTTTCCTGTTTTTATTCACAACCTGCATCCAAGGCCCGTAACCGGCGTGGGTCTCCGGCGTTGGAACCGCCGGCGGAATAATCATGTGAGCTTGAGTTTCACCTGTAGAAACCGGGACCATTGCCATTGACTTCTTGGGAGACGCCTCTTCGGTGTGCCCGATTCGACCACAGTCGTAGCATATGTGAGGAAGATTTTCATAGACCACTGGTTGCCACTGCCCATCCAAGCGGATTCTAGTCGCCAGGGGTTTTGTCATATCAAGTTCGACTGCAATTCTTGCAAACTTCCCCCGCAGAAGGTTCTCCGTATGATAATCAAGCTTGACCGTCCTTCCCAGGAGATTACCCAAGGCGAATAGGACCTCCCTATGATAGAAGTGCGCCGGTAACTCAGGCAGCTGAATCCACGCAACAACCGACCTATGAGGTTTATCGGAGGTTCTGAACGTTGGGGACCACTGATGGACAACCAAATAGTGATCCAAGATTTCCCAGGGGCCGCCCGTCAGAGCATTGAGGTAGTCCTGATCATTACTAAAGGTCGCCAGAAATGTATCATTGTTGAGGTCCAATAGGTCCAGAGATCCCGTAGGCCGCCATTTCCATCGGAGCTGGGCACATAGATATGTGTAGGACACCGATCTGCCCAGCAGCCTAACTACAAGGGTCTTCTTCCATGGCACGCATAACCTTTCCTTGAAGGCTTCGGAGATCTTCAGTTCTGGTTCCCCGTCGAACGATCCCGTTACCAGATCCTGTTCACCTACGAAGGTCCACTGATTCGCCCTAGTTTTTGTCTCTTGGGAATGACCGGCCAGCGCTGCTCTGTAGTTGAGGATAGGAAACGCGGCAGGGTTGGCAAGGGGGGACGGAGTGCTGCTTGGCTGCTGTTGACCAGTGTCCGGCGGACGCCCTGTCTGCGAGAAGGGTTGCGCCGGCGGCTTGTCGGAGAGCGAAATTTCAGAGAGCATTTTTTTTTCCAGTCCTGTTTCGTATTAGTTTTTACTTGTGTGAAGTTATTTGTAATTTTTTTTTGCAAACATTTGTAACTTTGTCAAATGCCATTATCAATTTTTCGTTTTTTGCTTCTTAGGTTTTCGTTTGTTATATTTTTTTATTATTAACAGACCAATATTTACTTTTAATTTAATCGTTAGTTACATTACCAAATGCTATTGTCAATTTTTTTAGTATCAATGTTATTGTTACCAATGCTCAATCAGTAATATTTTATTATAGATTATTTTATGTGATTAGTTATTAACCTTTTAGTTTAAACTTTTTCACTATCAACACCATTAATATCAATTCATTGTTAACATTTATGTCATCAATTCGTAATTTTCATTTGTTATCTTATCAATGTTTTTAATAACCATTATTAACGTTTTGCTTAATCTTTTCATTGCAGTGGTTTTTTTCTCTCAAGACCACTTTGTTTCCTACTATGATGATCTAAAAACAAGCAATTCCAATTCATGAATAGCTTGCCTCAAATGTGGGATGGAACAACGTACAAAGAGTATGAAGAGGAACTGGTTAAGTACATCGTTGCTTTTTGTGGCTGGGTAGTGAATCGTAACTACAATTTTGAGGAGTTCACATGGGTGGAAGATCTAGAGTTGGAACCTTTCCTTTGGATTAATAATTGACGTCTATTTCCCTTGGTTTTTATCGGATTAAGGATTGCCTTGTAATTTCTTTTTTAAGATTTGGCTAAACACGTTGAGTGACACTATTTTGGTTGACATTGTTAATTTGAAGGGAAATTATCATTTATTTCTGCTTTCGTAATCAATGTGGATGAAAATGCCTAGTTATTTAACGTGTTACTCTAGTAGCACTTGTTTTCGTTCTATTTTTCATTGTCCTATATCTATTTGACTTTAATAATGGTTATACAAACAATGATAAACTGACAAATAAAGATTACTAATTGATGACATAAACGTTAATAATTAATTGATATGATTGGTGTTGACAGTTACAATGTTTATACTAAAAGGTTAATAACTTGTCACAAAAAACTAATAACCTATAGTAAAACGTAACTGATTGGGCATTGGTAACAAAAACATTAGTTATGCGAATCATTAAGCAAAAAAGTTAATAATACTTATAAAAATATTAGTAAGGTGAAAATTACAAATTACAATTCGATTACAAATCAATTATTAATAATGGTTGTACAATTGTTGATAGGTTACATATAAAATGTCAACAATGGAAAATGACGTTAATATAAAAATGTATTGTGCAAATTGCGGATCTATGATCCTTCCTTGTCGGAACCGCCTAACGAAAGATGATTCCTCTTCGGCGCCTTCAGCAAACGAGTACCTATCAACAATATTATATTACGCTATTAATAATATCATCAACGTTTTCAATAATATAATCAACGTTATCAAAAAGATCAATGTGTAAAGATGCCTTATTAATTTTTCCAATCAACGTTATTAAAATCATGATCAACCAAATTAATATCACTATACTATTACAGTTCAGCGTTGTCAGTGCATTATTAACTTTTCCCAATATTATCAACATTTTTTACACAAACAATATTATTAACCTCGTTAACGTTTTAACATGTTCGAATAAATATTGTTATTAAAATCTTCTCAAGCATTATAAACTTTTAGGCTACCGCACGAGACTTGTCGTAGGTGTAATGGACAGCTGTCGAAGTTCTGGTGGGCAAGGCAAGATAAGGAGAAGGGCATACACTGGATCTCGTGGAATGCAATGTGCCAGAGTAAATTTATTGGTGGGTTAGGATTCAGTGATTTTAACCTTTTTAACATTGCTCTCTTAGCTAAGCAGGCGTGGCGTATACTGGGTAATCCCACCAGCCACATTGCTCAAATGTACAAGGCGAGGTATCATCCCCATCTATCCTTCCTCGAGGCAACAACTGGAAATCGACCTTCGTGGGCTTGGCAGAGCGTCTTGGAAGGAAGAGACTTATTCATTCGAGGCTTACGATGGTAGGTTGGTGACGGATCCCGAATTCGAATTATCCAAGACAACTGGCTGCCTACTTCTCCCCCCTCCTGGCCCGTGGTATGATCAGGTGTGTCTTCCTTACCTTCTTTTGTCTCGGATCTGATTTGTTTGGATTCCCACTCTTGGGATAAAACTTTATTGGAATCCTTATTCTCGCCAGAAAGCGTGGCACTTATCTTGTCCATTCCCCTTCCCATTTCATTCGCTTCTGATAAGTAGGTTTGGCATTATTCACCCTCCGGAATCTATACAGTTAAGACAGGTTATCAACTGCTATCGACTGAATTCAACCAGCAGCATCCCCCGGCCGCCCTCCCTTTTGAGTCTCGATTTTGGAAAATTCTCTGGAGCATCCTTGTTCCTCTGAAACTAAAGCACTTTTGCTGGCGGGCTGTGCGTGGCTTCCTCCCTTTGCAGACGGTTCTCTTTACCAAGACTGTTGTTACTGACTCGACTTGCCCAATCTGCTCGGAGGGACCAGAGTCCTTTTCCCATTTCTTTTTCTCATGCAGGATCGCTAGGGGCTTATGGAGCAAAGCTAATCTCGAGGAATGGCGTGTGGCACTCGGTGGCATGAATCCTGATGATGCATGGAACCATTTATTTTTCTCTATGAACCTGTCTAAAACTCAATTAGCCGATGTAGTGTTCCTTGTATGGCGCCTCTGGAAGGGGAGATGCTGGGCAATTCATGAGCATATTCAATACCTCCCAGCGGCCTTGTTTAGACAGTTTCAGCGACAGGTGGAGGAATGGCGCGCTCTGGACAGAGGCTCCCCACATCAACCAGCTGGTAATCCTGCCCCACAAGCCAACACAGTGTCTCGTCTAAGCTCTCACAGAGGCCCTGCCAGGTCCATACCACACCCCAACGAAGATTAATGTTTGGTTCGATGGTGCCGCTAAACGTGGGCAAGGAGGGAGTATTGGATTTGTTGGATACCAACTGTCAGGTAACTTACTCTTTGCCCTTGGGAAGTAATGATGGAATTCATGATCCATTCATCATGGAATGTTTAGCATTAAGAGATGCAGTCCAATGGTGTCTAACACATTCTTTTCACTTTGTTAATTTTCATGGGGATTCCCAACTACTTATCCGGCGAATGGTGGGTGGTGACTTGAATCATGATCGCGGAGGAGCTATTCTGGAGGACGTTCGGTGTTTGGCCTCTCGTTGTAGCAGAGTTTCTTACTTGTTTGTGTCCCGTCAACTCAATAGGGTTGCCCATCTTGTGGCGCAAAAGGCCCTCTCATCGAGAGTTCGGCTATTGGTCGACTCCCGCGCACTTTTGTTCTCTTTGGCTTGATTGATTTTAATAAAGACAGACTTTGGGGGAAAAAAACATTAAGACATTAATATCATTAACAAAACAAATGATACTCTATCCATAAAACCTTTCTACGAAAAACAAATCCAACACAATATGACCAGGCAACGATATATACTACCCAAAAAACCATTCGAAAGGCTAGCCACGCGGGCCGCGTTATCGTCGCTACGCCGGCGAAGTAGAACACTGATGAAGGTTGCCGACGCTTATGAAAGGAAGTGGCCTGCGACGACGACAAGTGAGGCGTCACGGGAGAGACGAGGCGCGACGGTGGATGGTAACGCAACGACAGTTCAGTGAGACCATACGCCATAAAGCAAGAGCCCCGTCGGCTGCGCGGCACGATGGCGATTGTTGGAGGATAAATGGTTTTAGGGTTGGGAGGAGATTGATTCTCGAAACCCCAATTAATTCAACGTTTGTGTGGGTTTTCGCCATTTTCATTTTAATTAATTGTATCATTAAATATTTTGTATATCCCTGTCTTACCCTTTAACGTATTAGGTAGGTAGTTACCCAATAATTACTCATCATTTTTTCTCTCCTTCTCGGTTGAAAGGGGTTTAAGATCTTCCTTAAGGACCTTATCTAACCCGCTATACAAGTTTTTTGAAAATGAAGAGCCTGACCATATCAACCACTAAAAATCAAACCCATACCACAAATGAAGCATTGATTTTCAAGCAAACATGACCACAGTTATTCAGTAAACCTCTAACAAATGCGTTTAATGGTGAACATAGAGAGAAAGCTCGAATAAGCTGTCAAATTTTTTAAAGCAGACAACTTGTAAACATATGGGAACTATATCTAGTCCAATATAGAGAAGTACATTTTGCAGCCTAACCTGCTACGCAGACACAGGAACTGCAGCAGGAGCTCGAACAGGTTTAAATGAAGAAGAGAAAAGATTCAAGACATCAGCATGTTCCCGAATATATCCTGGGCATTTTGAGAGGAGATCTTGGGCGGCGCTACGCCTTCCACTTTTCAAGATTGCTTCAAACACTTGGAGCACCATAGGAGTAGATGGAAATTTCTTAGAAGCAGTAATCGACTTCAAAAATATGACACCATCATCAGCTGTTCCATTCTTGGATAAGTAACTAATAAATGGATCCACAAAAGGCGGGAATCCGTGGGATCTCATAGAATCCAAAAGACTCACAGCATCCTTAAACCCGCCCTCCTGAACCAAAGACTTGCTTATCAGAAGCTTGTAAGTAGTTTGAAAGGGCTTCAATTGGTTTTCCTTGACACATTGATGTAGAATACTGCATGCTTCTGTTGCTTGGTCCTTGCCGCAATAAGCAGATGCCAACAATTCAAAGGCATAACTAGCAGTATTACAAATACCTAGTTTCGAAGCCATCTGTTGGAAACAAGCAGATGCTGTTTCAAGATCACCAGATGCACAGTGGCCTTTGATTAGTGGTACCCAAGCTTTCTTTTCTATACAGCTTCCAAAAGCTTCCAGAAAAGCATTTGCTTCGTTCTTCTTATGGGAACTACCAAGTTTGAATGCAATCTTACCCTGCATATTTCCACTAGCGGTAAATCCATATTCCTTCATTTCTTTCACGACTTTGTTGCACTCTTCAAATCTACCAGCACTGGTTAGAGATTTGAGAACTGAATCAAGCATAGAGTCAGTTAATGCATTCCCAGCTCCAGTATAGATCTTCATTACCCTTGAGAATAGACCCATATCCAGCTGCTTGGCTGCTGCTATCTTTCTCAATATAAAGACGCAGCAAGACAATGGAGGCTTGTTTGCACCAGCCATAGCAAACTCGTACAAGTCGACAACCTCACTGTGCAGTTTTCTTTTGGCAAATCGTCCCAATACCTTAGCAAAAGTCTCGTCCTCCAGTTCATACCCCTTGCTCTTCATTTCATCTGTAACCTTACAGAACCTATCTATACAATCCTCCCTCCCCAGAACTCTGGCTATCGCATTGTAACTACCCTGATCATGAGTAAACAACCCACTCTCATCAATCCACCTGAAGAATATCAAGGCTTTGTTTGGTTCCATTGCTAAACTATCCACCACGGTTTTCACCAAATCTGTTGAAAATGTGACATAGAATTCCTTTATCTGTGTTTCGACATCCTCCGACCAAACATTATTTCTTATGACCCTAGAAATTCTTACACCAAGCTTCTCCATCGAATCGTCTGTAGATCCTGATGCAAAAACTGCACTCAACTTCCTTAGATCACTATCAAGTCCCTCTTTCTCAAATTTATCCTTCACTCTATCGTGTGTAACCCTCGACATACCATAACCCTTTTTCGCCATCGTTTCAACGAAAACCCAAAACTCCACCGTGCAACCATTTGTGCCTAGAATCCCTAGCATCCAGTTATACCCTTTGGAGCTCAACCTCTGTTCATCCTTCTCAGAAACCCAACCAAAAAACCGTCTAGCTGCATCGACATTAGACTGCAGAGACTTCAACACTCTCAACACCAAATCATGAGTAAGAACCACCCCAGATTGTTCCAACTCTCTCCCTATATCATTGACGTCGCTGAACTTAGTGAACACATCTGACACAAGCATATGATGATTATCCGAATCCTTGATCGGCTCAGCCATTGGCTCGGAAGAGAAATGACGAGGGCTTAGAGACGGAGATAGCTGGGGGAGCGTACGAAGGGACGAGAGATACGGCGAGCAAGAGGCCTTTACCTGGCGCTGAAGATGGGGAGAATTGGACGAGACGTGGAGCGATGAGCGAGTGTAAGTGCGGAGAAGCAGCAATCGCCATGAATATCTCATTTTGGAGCTTGGACTTTGATCGCTGATGAACAGAGGACGAAGAATCAGTGTAGTGGAGAGGCTTTGGGCAGCGGAAGCTGCAAACTACAGGGCAGCCGTTAGGGTTTTAGAGGGGGTGAGGGAACATTACTTCCTCGGTCATGAATTTATCTATCCATTGCTCCCTTCATCATCATTTTTTCATATTTATTTGAGTTTATCTTGGTAAATTCCACTACTACTCATGAATCTTTTAGTTATCATTCATTTACTCCAATTACCTGAAATTCAAACCGCGGAATAGAAGAAGTTACAGAACCCGCGAAGCAAAAGAAAAGAGCATGACTTGCTGCTTCCATCGATGGTTTATGGCAGATCACCAAGCTCGCGCCTTTCACAATTTGCAACACTCTTCTTTCAGTTTCAGCCCTCACAGATTCGTCTCCCCTACAGACCCATTTCCATCTTGTGCTTCTCGAGTACTGCTACAGCTTCAAACCGAGCCACAGAATCGACCTACAAGCTCGCAACTTTTTCCCACATTTATCAAGAATGCTCGCTTCAAAGAGCCCTGAACCCGGGCAAACAGGCCCATGCTCGAATGGTTGTTTCTGGGTTTGTGCCGACGACTTTTGTATCGAACTGTTTGATCCAAATGTATGTCAAGTGTTCGAACTTGGTCGATGCGAACAAAGTGTTCGACGGAATGACTCAGAGGGATGTGGTTTCTTACAACGCGGTGATTTTTGGGTTTGCTGGCTGTGGTGAGATGGGAATTGCAAGGAAGATCTTCGATGAGATGTCTGTGAGAGATGTCGTATCGTGGAACTCGATTGTTTCGGGGTTCTTGCAGAATGGAGAGCATGGTAAGGCAATGGCTGTTTTCTCTGAGATGGGTAGATCAGGTGTGAAGTTGGATAGGACGACTTTTGCTGTTGCTCTAAAAGCTTCTGCTGGTTTAGGAGATTGCTATGTGGGTGTTCAGCTTCATGGTTTAGCAATCAGGTTGGGGCTCGTTAATGACGTTTTCACTGGCAGTGCGCTGCTGGATATGTATGGAAAATGTAATCGGGTGGATGATTCGCTGACGGTGTTCCGAGAAATCCCAGAGAAAAACTGGGTTTCATGGAGTGCCATGATTGCTGCTTGCACTCAAAATGATAGATTGTTCATGGGGTTAGAGCTGTTCAATGAGATGCAAAACACTGGAGGAGTAGGGGTCAGTCAGTCGATCTATGCCACCATTTTCAGATCCTGTGCAGGCCTATCTGCTCCAGATCTAGGAGCTCAATTCCATTGTCATGCTATCAAGACCGATTTTGGATCAGACGTGATAGTGGGAACTGCAACACTCGATATGTATGCAAAATCTGGAAGCATCGGAGATGCTCATAAGCTATTTAACTCTATGCGAAAGCATAATCTACAGTCCTACAATGCCATTATTGTTGGGTATGCAAGATGCGGTGAAGGCTCCGAAGCTATGTTGTTATTTCGACGCCTGATGAAGTCCAACTTAGGTTTCGACGAAATAACTCTATCAGGAGCATTCTGTGGTTGTGCTTCAATCAAAGAGAAGTTTTTGGGACTACAACTGCATGCACTAACGATCAAGACTGTTTTTTATACAAATGTCTGCGTGGTGAATGCCATGATTGACATGTATGGTAAATGTGGAGCTTTAGTGGAAGCTACCTCTGTCTTCAATGAGATGATATACAGGGATGCAGTGTCCTGGAATGCCATCATTGCAGCTAATGAGCAGAATGCCTGTGAAGATTACACACTTCCGATTTTCTCATTGATGCTTCGGTTCGGAATGGAACCCGATGAATTCACCTATGGCAGTGTTCTTAAAGCATGTGCAGGCCAGCAATCTGTAGGCAGCGGCAAGGAAATCCATGGAAGAATCATCAAATCCGGATTGGGTTTGGAGCCATTCATTGGAGGTGCTCTTGTTGATATGTACTGTAAATGTGGAGCTATGAAGGAGGCCGAGAAAATCCATGAGAGAAGTGACCCACAACCGATGGTTTCGTGGAATGCAATTATTTCAGGATTCTCATTGCTACAACAGAGCGAGGAAGCTCAAAGCTTCTTCCTTTACATGCTAGAAGCCGGTGTAAAGCCTGACAACTTCACATATGCTGCAATTCTTGACACCTGTGCTAACTTAGCTACGGTTGGTCTAGGAATGCAGATTCATGCTCAGGTCATAAAGCAACAATTTCAGTCCGATGTGTACATATCGAGTACACTGGTGGACATGTATTCAAAGTGCGGTAAACTTCAAGATTCAGAACTAATGTACGAGAAAGCACCAAAGAAGGACCTCGTGGCATGGAACAGTCTGATATGCGGTTATTCACAACATGGGCTTGGAGAAAAGGCATTGATTGTATTTGAGGAGAAGAGACCTGAGAAAGTGAACCCAAACCGCGCCACCTTTCTTTCAGTTCTTCGTGCGTGTGCACATAAGGGACTTCTCGGCACAGGAATGTCTTATTTTCACACTATGCAAAAGGAGCATCATTTGGAACCTGAAATTGAGCATTATTCATGTATGGTGGATCTATTAGGGAGATCAGGGAAAACAGAAGAAGCTCTGAGGCTTATTGAGGGAATGCCGTTTGAAGCTGATGCTATTATATGGAGGACTCTGCTCAGCATTTGCAAGATGGATGGGAATGTGGAGATTGCAGAGAAGGCTGCGAGTTGTATTTTGCAGTTAGAGCCGGATGACTCTTCTGCTTATATTCTTCTCTGCAACATTTATGCTGACGCTGGGATGTGGGGCAAGGTTTCTGAGGCTAGGAAGAAGATGAAGGCCAATAGGCTTAAGAAGGAACCAGGCTGCAGCTGGATTGAGATTAGAGATGAAGTGCATCGATTTGTCAGTGGAGACCAGTCCCATCTGAGATGTGACAACATATACGAAAATCTCAGTCTGCTGGTTGATGAGATGAAGTGGACTGGTGACATGTCATTTGAATTCCACTTATGACTTGCTGTGAATGAGGTGTCAATAATGAATAATCTGATCCTTAAACCACAGAAGAGCTCTAGCATTTCATTCGACTCAGAAGCGAACTGAAATGGAAGAAATGAGAATGCTAAAAAGGAGTTAACAGATGAACTATGCGACAATCTTAGCAAGAACTAGTGGTTTCTCTCAGTACAAGAACACAAAAACTTGCAGAAACCACTTATGATACTAGGAGTTAACTAATGTAACTATGCCAAGAACACAAAAATTTGCAGTAGCCGCTGATTATGCTGTGTGTGTATGGAGCTGCTGCTACCTGATCCTTAGCCTCCCTCAGGGACAGTTAAAATCAGATCCCTAATATCTTCGGAAGAATTCGCGAATCTCGGGTTGGAAAAGGTAGAAAGTTGCCGAAATCAATACAACCACCATTGCCATCAAAACTTGCTTTCGATTGGACAATCCCACATCAACTACAGCCCCGAGCTCAGATTCTGCAGCTTTAGTCTCACCATCCAACATGATTTCCCGACTACCCTCCACCTGCAGAAACGGCATTGAAGATTAGATTAAATGATGCCAAAGAAGAATTCAGGGCAAAATGACTCGGAAGAGCAGGAATAGGATTGCAAAATCAGCTTTTGCATGTCAATGATGTAATAGCTATCTATATTGGTAAAATGGAGACGATTTCAAGAAGCTATATGATTGGTAAAATTGAAAGGTGAACACTTCCAACAACACAACTTTGGATAGTCGTAGAAATGTAGAATTCTGAAAGTGATGGATTGCACAAATCCAGGAATTTGAAAAGTAATGGATAATGACACTGGTGGATTTCAAGTTTTTGTCAAGTGGGATGTGTGATTTCAGTACAGGATTTGCTGCGAGTGAATTGCGTTCTAACAGTAAAATAAAATGACCTTATTTGGCCTCAACAGTCAACATAGATGAGGGAATGGTTGATGGGAAGTTGGAAGCTAAGTAACCAAAAAAGAGAGAAGAGAAAAGACAATATTATCTATGGATTTTACAAACCCTCATCTCGAGGTGACTTTTTCAAATCCATGGATTTGACACCCTCATGGATTTCTGATTCCATGATACAAAAACTATGCTCAGTATTTAAAAGGTTTTAGTACCATCCTTGGTTCAGTTATCATGAACACAAATCGCAAAAGATTGTGTGTTAGCAGCAGCAAGAGAAGATGGGAATTGCAGTAAGAACTGGTCTTCTCTCTTCAAATATTCAAATACAAGCAAACTTAGGTCGTAAAAGGCTAATAGCTACTCACTCCTACTTACCTTTGACTTTGAACCACCAGCCAGGATATCAGATTCCTTTTTATCAGTAGCTAAATGCTTTTCATCTTCTGTCTGCTGTTGCTGCGTTAACAAGGTTTTATTCTCTGATGCTAGAGATGAAAGCTGCAAACCACAAAGATCATGTCATCAGGGATCAACAAAATTAACCAGTCAGTAAAGACCTAAAAGAGATAGTATCCAGGAATTGTAAATACTAACCTGCTTCCTTAGACGTTCTCTTTCAATAGCTAATTGCATCACCAAATCAGTCATCACTTTACTCTGAAAGCTAATGCCCTTTGCAGCAACTAATTTTGTCTCCTCACATCGATTCAAGTAAGCTTCCAGACGTTCAAGTCTACCCCTCAAAAACCCGAGTTCCTCATTTAACTCTGCATTAGACTCTGACAGTATGATGCATTTATCCTCTGCACTGTCTGCGTGTCCTTCAGCTTTGCAAACTTTCAACTTGAGATCCTCAATGAGATTCTCCATGTCTCCTATGGTAGAGTACAACATGGTTTGCTTTTCTTGACTAGCTTCAGCAGATACAGCAGCATGTTGGATTCTGATTTCATAATCTTTCAACTGCTTCTCTAAACCACCTACCTTCTCAGACTTGAGTTTAAGAATCTCAATTTCTTCATTGAGTTCCATGTTCGTTTCTGTCAGTAGCTGGCACTTTCTTTCTTCACTTTCAGCTTTACTTTCTGCTTTCGATAGTTTTACCTTCAAATCCTCATTTTCACTAACCAGTCGTGTGATTTCAGAATCCAAAATGCTATGATCCTCCTGAAACTCAGATTCTTTCAGCTGCTTTTCGAGCAAACAGACCTTCTCACTTAAAGTGAAGGCTTCTGAATTAGCAAGGACTAATTTGTCCTCAGCTTCGGCCAATTTGGCTTTCAAGCTATCAGTTTGAGCTAGAAGGAAGTCATTCAGCTTTGAACTACTGCTATTGAACTTCTGCAAAGCAGTTTCTTTTGCGTCCACTTGATCTGAAGATTCTTTAAGCCTCGATTTCAGATAAGCTTCTCTCTGGCTCGTGCACGTCAAGTTGAACTGTAATACTTGAAGTTGACCCAATAGCTCTTTCGAGGTTCCCATCAGAATCTCGGCAGTATTTTCTGCTGCAAAACACCTTTCCCAAACATCAATTACTTCTTCATCCATAAAATATGCATCTTCCTCTGCTGACTGTAGCCTATGTCTTAGTTCTTCTTCGAGTTGAGTTGACTCGGCCAGCTTCTTTTCGTGATCCATCTCCCTCGCCAAGGACTTCTCAAGCATCTTCAGGATCTGTCTTTAGTGTTCTGCTGTTTTCATATCAATCATTGAGTTTTTGTTTGCTGGTTGGTCATTTTCCAGGGAGTACATACCTCCATTCCCTCCTATCAGCAAGAATTGCATCATTAGTGAGCTAAGGCTAAGGGGTCATATGGAACCATTTGATTCTTAAATTGTGGGTTTACAGAATAAAGATTTCAGGAATTTATATTATTTAAATACATCGTTCAGAATGTAACGTATGATAAAGAAGCAACATAGTAAACGATGAGGGATTTAGAATCTCGCAAACTAGAAGAGATTATGAATGCATAGCTTTTGAAATATTTATTCTTATAATACACCATGATTTCAAACAACTCTTTTGTCAAAAAAAATATGTATTCTCTGACATACATGCATCCTACTCAGCATAAGAGGTTCCAAACGACCCTTAAGTTCCCTAGGTTATCTAGATACAATCTTCCAGAACCACATCATTGACTCGCCCAAACAAAGTTGGGAATCAGGCATAAAAGATTCTACAAACTTTTATGGCATTCTGAACTTCCGTCTTTTGAACAGACGGAGCAATGGAGAGAAAAAACAACCAACACAACTAAGACTGATATTAAGTAAACCTGAAGAATCGCATACCACTTGGTTCTCCATGCACGGATGATAAGGTCCTCCTAAACTCAGAAGACTGGGCATAAATGTCTGACACTTGATCTTGCAACTGTTGCAATGAGGCATTGCAATCTTGCAACTTTTCTTCCAGCACGAAGGATATGCCCCCCGCATCTTTATATGAATATAATATACCACTAACCTCATCTATATCAGCCTGTAAATTCCCCAGGAATTGATCCAGCTCTGACACCAAAAACTCCAAAATCCCAGATAAAAGGTCGAACTCCAGACCTTTCCCTGCTGTATCGGAAAACAAATCTACATCTGATGCTGAAACAAGGGCTTCAAAGTCACCTTCCCTGTTAGCCACTTGCATTGTGAATAGACTCAGATTAAGGGACTTCTCGGAAGCATAAGCCAAATCTAATTCTACTCGAGTTAGAATATCCCCTGGAGTTATCCCAACCACCTCTCCATTTGACGATATTTCCACATACAAGTCTGTTTTACTTGAGTCAGCCATCGTATCACTATTATTGATATCATCAGGAAATGCACTTATCTCATATGCAGCAGCCATTCTGATGGCGGCTTGCTTCTTCTTCTTCCCTCAGCTTCTAAATCGGCTGTCTGCTGTTCAGCATAAAATGTCACAGGGAAAAAGGAGGGAAAATAAGAAGAAGTTATCGGACAGACGAAGACAGTAAAATTTAACAACTTGCATGAAGGCGACTTGTTCAACTTTTAATCAAGGGAAAAGCTACAATCACTTCATTTGCTTAATTATGCCAAGATATTGTATAAAACACAAACTTTAGAAAGATGACTGTCAACAAACTGGCAATTGAAGTTCATAAAAATCAAAGCAATACCAAGATATAAAGATCTGGTAACACGGACATATTGGCAGAAGACTATTTATACTCGAACCAGCAGCATCAGGCTAGAAAAACAAGGCAGGGCATGGAAAAGATGGCTGTAAGAACAATAAAACTAAAAAAGCCAAACTCAATGATGAAACACTATGTTAATTCGCCGAACACCAACAAACGATTAACAGCTTCAGCCAACAAGGGACAGATGTTCAAGTTGAATTAGAAGAAGTAATCAGAATCAACTGGTGAACAAAGAACCTCTTATTTTTATTTTATCACATAAAAACACCAGATTTCAGAACTCATGCTTTCACCATCTCATGTTTACGAATCCTAGGAGTGTATGTTATGCAAAGAGCACTTTCAGCATGCCACATTGCAATTGAATGAAAGAACTCCTATCAACCATTTTTATGCAGTACAAGTGCTCCATAACCAAGCACAAATCGACCAGGCGAGGAACACAATGCAGTTACTTTTCCTAACTAGCTGATGATACAAACAGAAAACGAATCATGTCAATCAAACTAATCCTGGAATCGGAAACCGAGCATACACCTTAATACGTAATAAATAAATTTGCGCTTGTGCATTTCCAGGGCAAACTCCCAACTTCCCTGATCCAAATGACTTGGTTTCTACCAAGAAATTTTGCCATTCTTCATAACTACAAAAACCCGCATCAATCTAATGCGCAGGGCGATCAGGAAACGCGAGAAGTGGAAGAAAGGCGCAAACTTTAACGAACCTGGGAACAAAGGGATGTCGGGAACCGGCAGAAGTAACTCGCATGATTTGCTTGCTTGCTTCCCCACTTGTATGGAGGAAAGGCGATCGATCGACGGACAAATACCGATAACTGAAAAGGGAAAGCAAAAAGAAACTGTTGCCGTCTTGCCGAGGCGAAGCCTTTCTTCGATGAACGCCACCTAGGTGTTGAGGTGTGCGAACCACGCACGAAGTACGAACAGAAACTTAGAAGTTAGAAGTGAAGCGTTTCCCAAAATAATTTTTTTTAGCTCACTTATTTTTTTTCTTTAATTCCTGGAAATTTTATAAAAAAAAAAGTATAGCACATCAGAATTCATATGTGACTTCTCCCGTCTTTTCTTCTCCTGCTTTGTTGGATAACTAAAACAGTTAAAAGTTTCCTACAAAAACTAAATAGAGTTTGCTTCAACACGAATTTCGCAGTAAGTTTTCGTGTTAAAAATAATTTTGTAGATGACAATTGAATAAGATCGTATTAAAATGTCGAATAAGATCGTATTCAGCTAACAATTAGATATGATCAAAGAAGTTCATAATAGCTAAGAAGGATTAAAGAAATTTTCGATTAACTCAAGTGAACTTGTCGTCACTTAGTTTAACTGGAATTAGCTTAGTTGAACCCGGCGCTATTCATCTAGATAATAGCTCAGGTAGCTCACATTAGTAAAGACTAAAGACACACTTGTAGCTCAAGCCCAGATCATATCACTTACTACTCTCTCGTGACTTCACAAGTTCCTTCGTCTTTAAAGCTTCTGAATACATACATTCAACGAACCCCTGCACAAATGTGAAACTATGGACAGTCTAAGTTAATAACAAGGGAATCAGGAGTCTGCAACCGATTTTCTATTTCTGCTAAACACTGTAACTAGTAACTACGCACTGATACTTCGTATATCAAACACTAACGAATACGATGCGCAAGGGTAGCCGTGGTCTCATTTACATGCAGAACCAGCTATGTCTAAACACGCACATACATCACAAATCATTTAGCAGAGATTCTGCTATTTACAGACTAGGATCGGCCAGCATGAGGGTTTTCAAGTTCTGGCTTTTCCTGGAAAAGATGGAGAAGATGAGCATTAGTGAGCTTAGTCCTCTTGCTGATCTCATGCTTCTTCTTCTTGATCTTTGGCTTGCTAGAAATACCTTGAAACTCAGCTGCGGCTCGTCTCTTTGCAGTGTTGGTTGCAGGCTTCATCCCATTCTTCTGAAGATCCTTCTCAATGTCGAGCATGTCACGAGGCAATTCAATCCCTCTAAAGAGCTGTTTAAGGTCGTCATCAACCTTAATCACTACCCTAGGATCATTAGGATAGGCGACGTCCTCCTGGGAGTCAAAGTTTGATAGTAGCCAGATCTTTCCTTCAGCTTTCAGAGCCTAGTAAGACAATTATCAAAAATATCATTTCAAGTTAATTTTTAGGACCTGGAGTGGAATAACTTAATCGGTAAAGACGTACGTAGCACCATAATAATGGCATGCGACATCACCATGTGGATAGATTATCTACAATATTGATTAGATAAATGTGCTCACTAGGGCAGAATTACAAGTTTGATTCACCTGCAGGTTGCCCAATAGGGAGAGAAAATAGCAAGACAATCAAGATAAGTGCAGGGCAACACCATTGAAGTGCTAACCAGAATTTTTGGGTATTTAAGGACAAAGATGTATAATGAAACAGAATGGCCCTTGAAACCATAATTTACACACCTGTAGGTCCTCCATCACAGTAGGGTATGCATCCTTGAGATCAATGACAGCAATTCCCTCTGGAAATTTCCGTATCAACTGCAGTAGTTGATTCTTGTCCTTCAAGTCATGCTTGGCCTATAGATAATAATTAAAACCAGAATGTCATCCTCTACATAAAAAAATGGAGGTACATAACACAGAATCAAGGACAAGAATTTTAGTGCAGTGGTCCCAAACTGTAGCAATCTATCAAGATATGCACAAGCATAGTGCTGAGTCACCTTGTAGGAGAAGTGCCTCCCATCATAGTTCACTTTCAGATTGTTCTTCAAACTCTCAAAGACAGCCTTATTGGATTTCACATCCACATAAGTGGCTTCATTTATTTGATCCGAAGTGAAGGCTTGCCTTGTCTGCAGAACAGAGAAAAACGTTCACATGCCACAACAACAAGGAAGGATCTTTCGAACTCTTTAAAACCACACGAAACCTGAAAGAAATTAATATCTAAAGCAATCAAGAGATTGAGATGCTACATCTTTCAAAAGCTCTATAACACGCTTGATCTGAGATCCCACGGGTCCCTTGCGAATGCCATTGATAATCTGAAGCCTCTCCGTATCATTCGAGAATTTGACAGGTTGAGCCGGAGCCTTAGCACCTGCTAGCTGTGTAGCTGAATAAGGCACAGACTTCGAAGTTGATAGTGGTTTAGAAGGCCCTGGTTTCTGCGTAATACTGCTCAGCATCGAGTGCATATTTTCTTGCTGCTTCTTGAACTTATCAAGTTTATCTTGAAGTGCCATCTATCAACCAAATATAAACACCACCCCCCAAAAACCACCGAGTCAATCTATCAAGAATCAGAGAGTTACCCATACTTGTAAACATTCTCGCACGGTCGCACCCTAGAAAATTGCTTTCTAGGGAGGACGAACTTCGGCCATTGGGTTTAATGCTCAAGTTAGCAAATTTCAACCAGTAAACACAAATTATCGAACTGGCAACTTCGAATCTATGAACCCATTAGTTCCCAGGTGAGCTCAGGCTACGACGAAGTAGAAAGAATGGCGAAAGTCTCATCCTTTTGCATTTTAGAAACAGAACCCTAATAATTCCATTCGACAGCTCAAATCAACTGCATGATACCAAGAGCAAAAATCCTAATGCGTTGGTCGTTGCATGGAGATAGTAGAGAAAAGAGAACCTTTTGGTTGCTCGAGGTAGGTTCGCGCGCTCTGCAGTTTCTCTCGCAGGGATGGGTTTCGGAATTTGCTCGTTGCGCAGCTTTGTGCAAATAACGAATAAGCTCTCAGGCCTTAAAGGGAACGGGATGGGCTTTTTTAAGGTGGTTCATTTTTTTTTTTTTATAACGGAGAGTCCTTTTCCGTGTCCGCGTTGGAAAGGAATGCCAAAATGTGCTAATGGCTGAAAACTACTGATTTGATCATCCATTTTTTCACGAAGTCCTGATTTGATCAATAAACTATTGTTTGGTTATACTTGGGTCGGGTTGGGAGACCACATACCTAAAGGCAGTACCAGATTGTTAAGCATAAACTTAGTTTGGCCCTGCTACAACTTTTGCAGAAACAGCTTCTGACTAGAGTTTTTAGACAAATACTTTTCAAAAAAAGCAGTTTAGTGTTTGGCTGTAAAACTATTAGAAGTGCTTTTTAATATAAGTGGTTGTGTAAAATGACTATAAAGAACTTATAATATAAAATATAAATAAAAATTCTAAACAATAAAAATTAGTCAAAATGGATCTTGTTAGATTTCTTTTATATTAAATAATATGATTTTATAATTTCTTTTATTTTTAAAATGATATAAATGAAATAAAATTATATTTTCTGAAATAAAATTAAAATATGGTAAGCATAATCTTGTATTTTCAAAACAGCTTTTCGCAGAAGCTCTAAATCGGAGCTTCTGCTTTTATGTTATACAAAAGCGCTTTTCGGCTTTTTAAAAGTCGAGCTTTTAAAAGTGTTTGGCCCTGCTTCAGCTTTTGAAGCCGAAAAGCACTTCTAAAAGCCGGGCCAAACATAGGGATAGTTTTCTACGTTTCTTATAGTAATATGAATGACTTTAGGCTTAAGCGATCAAGATTTTCAGTTGTAAACGGAATTTGAATTTGTTCATTCTCAATTACCTTGCCCTTTCTTTAGACGAGTTAGGAGAGTGATCTTTCGTTTTATTTACTATAACTCAATATAACAGAAAATCATGGGAAACTAGTCAAGAAAAACTGTTATAGATACCACTATAAGAAAGTTATTTGTGGTTTTTTTGTTGTTGAAAAAGGTTAAAATTGTTTGTGATTATTAGGCGTGAAGCTCAATAGTCTTGCCAGAAATAAATCCAAGTTCTCCCTCCTTCCTTGTGTACAAATAACGGTGGAAAAAGTGGTACGAGTTCATCATTTTTAAAGTAAAGGGGCGTGATTTGGTTTGGTAGGTTTACATTAATGACTGCAAATTAAATCTACAAGACGGTGATCTCACACTAAATTTATGAAGGAGGAACAAGGGCTTGGTCTAGTGGTAATACCACCAGCCTTAAATCTGGAGATCCTAGGTTTGAATCTCTTAAGTCGTACCTTAATCACAAAATGAAACATAAATCACCCTTATAAAAGAAATTTTAAAGAAGGATATAACTAACGAGTACCAAATAAGGTATGCAACTATGACGGTATCATATTTAATTATTATTATTTAAATAATTAAATAACAATCGAGTTTTTTATGCTTGTCCTTGAAGCAAAAAGTGTTCCATCTGTTCTGAATAGCTTCAACACATATCATCTTGCTAGGAATAAATACGCGTACAGACGGGGTAATTATTAGTCTAATATTTGCATCAATCATGTAAGGATTATGGTGGGTAAATCCCCAAGTGCAGGAGAGATAATAGTCATCTTGATGAGTTCAAATAAATTGAATAGCTTTGTGATGCGTTGTCGGTGCAAGCATCATGTACATCAAGAATCGGTCTAGACTTTTGGAGGAATTGAGATTGAGAATTTAGAGGCAAGAGACATTGTTTTCCGAGTACTTGTTTATTGATTGACTGGTTACACTAAAACCCTAGCCGAACACCAAAACCCACTGCCACACAATTACTTGGCCCCTACTAATCCTAATCTACCCGTCTACACCCTTTATGGTAATCAACCTCTAAGTAACCCACTTCCCATAAAACACTAATAATGGTAGCAATAATAATATACTTCATCACTTTGCCGCATAATTTGAGCTTTACCACACAAGTTGATAAAGTTTTTGTCAATTAACAAAGAGAGAATGTGAGTTTTCCTAAAAATAGTCAACCATAACAACGGTTATCCATTGACCCTCAATGCATGAATAGAGGAAAAGCACCACAGTCCACCATGTTTGAGCAGCAGCATATCCAAAGAACGGCTTGACAGAACGTTATGGCAGCTTCACCTAATATTTGCTCTACTAAGTCTTGGGGTTGGTAAGAATACTGACGAACATGACAAACATCGACAACTAGCCATCACTTGTAGACATGCTCAGCGTGAATCAAGAACAACCAGAAAGAGTACGCGATGATGCAAAGTCTGGTGATCTGAGCAATAACTGAGAGCAACGACGAACTCGATGCTGATTGCTCATCAGCCAGAGATGGAGAAGCCGCATCCTCGAGGCTTACCATCACAACACAGCACTCAGGGTTAGCACAATTCGAAAGGCTGCACTTAAGCTCATGCTGGAACTACCAGAAAATCAGTACATGGAGGTATTAAATACACGAATATACAGACTTCCTCCTCTCAGACAATAAACATTATGCAGAGAAAATGGGCTTGGAATCACGGTATGAGCAACGGGAAAAATAAATCACAGCTTGCCATTCCACGATGGCCATATTAGACCATATGGGGAACAAAAATTAAATATAACACACTAGCAATTTTCTGTTCTAAGTCTCTTACAGCTATGTTGATCAGACTCGTCTGCAGGGCTTTGTTCCTCCATCACTTGGTTGTTCAAATATTGGGCTTCTTCATCAACCTGGGGAAATAGGGAAATAGTATGATCTAAAGAAGTAACAAGTATCCACCAAGCTAAAGCTAAAAGGGGAGGGAACAAAAAGAAAACCTTTGGAGGTGACAGGCCCAAAGCAGTTGGTCCATGGTTTGCGCTTTTGTCGACATTAATCTGCACTGAGATGCTTGTCTGTGATAAATCCACACCAGATGACTGCAGTGCCTGCGCCAGACTGCTCAGCACCCTGAAATGAGAATCTCAGTCCATCAAATTCACAAACAGATCATATCTTTTATTATTATCAATCCACTCAAAAACATTCTGACGCCGAAAGATCAGGGCATCAAACAGATAATTAAAGGCCCTATGTGGATCATACGTTCCTCTAAAATCTGAACAGGATCTTTTTTTCATTCTTAATTTAAAGTTTTATGCAGACTTTAACTTGACACATCACACTGGCCACCACCTAGCCTAGTAAGCATGCATTATCAGGTCGCAGCAATAATAAGCTCCACATTGCTTTCCACCACCAATAATTCAATGCTTCTGACAATTAATACCGTTGGTGAAATGCAGCCATCCATATACAACCTTCCCATAGATTTAGCACAAGAGCACATACTCACCCTTGGGAATAAACATCTGAGATGCTAGCAGTCCCACCTTCCCTTGTCAGCTGTTGCCCATTCAGTAGACTGCTTGGTGCTGTACACTCTGTAACAAATGGTTGACCATGCCAAAGTCCAGACTGAATCTGATGGGCCATGTTTTCAGCCTCTGAAGTGGAATCTTGCAAACATGGTGTAGACATGCCATTTAGCCCTCGAATAGCACCAAACATACTCGAGTCTGGAAGCATGTTATATTGAACTGGTGGAGTTCCAGGGGCATGATTCAATGCTTTGCATATTGTAGAAGCTTCCAAGTCAAATTCCATCGAACTTCGGGCATTGGCAAGTGCTAGAGTACTTTCATGAGCAGAACCATTCTTCAAAATTTGAGAGTGGTCCACTAGAATTTCCGAAGGCAGATGGTTTTTCTGATTTGGGGGAAAAGCCAATCAGAATTATCCTTTCAAGAATCCAAAGAAAGCAACAATGGCAACAAATTTGCATACATAAATGTCTGATGGAAGAAAAACCAATTTAGGTGACAGTAATGTACAGTTGCATATTATACTATTTTCTTGCCTGCTCTATTAAGTACACCATAGTATTTTAGCATCATCTATTATACTAAACAAGGGAAGACAAATGCCAACTAAATGAGAGAAGGAAAACATCTTAGCAAGGCATATAATTGTAAAATACTAGAGCTTTTACCCATGGGGTCAATTTGGTTGGCACCTGACTCGAGCCATTGTATGATCCTTCATACCTATGCAATCTTTCCTGTAAAAACTGTATGTAGCCTATAACCTGGTAATGAACAGAGAAATGTTAAGTTAAGAAAGTATCAAGTCATATCAGCAACAGCACAAATGGGTAGAACTATTATGAGCACCTCTAACAAGAAGGAAGCCTTGTCTCTTTTCTGATCATTTTGTGGTATAAGTTCCCTTAGAATCTGAAACCTGTCTCATAAAAACAGTTGGTAATAAGTAAGCAACAGTTTTCAATAATTAAAATAGTCCAAAGAAATTGAACTGGCAATACAATGCAGAGTAGCACTAAGCTAATAAAGCAAACCTAAACTGCACTATTTAAACACTTCATTGGAGGTGGATAGCATCAAAGTTTCAATTGAGTTTGAAAACCGATAATAAGTGACCGTACAAAAAAGAAAGAAAAAACAAAATCTCAAATTCCTACGGCATCAATACAGAACTTGTACCAAGGTTAGCATGACATAGCCCAGTAACATAAACACTCAAGATTGTGCGCGAAAGATCAGACAAAGAAAATCAACAAGAAACGGTTAGAAGTTTAAGTTTTGTGATTTCCTTATTTGCCGTTGTAATGGAAAATCAAGAATAAGAAACTCAAATATAACACAAATAACTTCAAGCAACCTGACTGAAAGTCAGAAATCGAAACGAAGCTGACGTATAGCCTCAATTCATAAGTCCTCTCACAAAGCAACACAACTAGTTTAGAAGGATTGGCATATATGAGATTTAAACCTGAATTTAACTCCAAGTAAGATGAATGAAAAATATGAACTACACATATTGAGAAGACCACGCGACATAATTCTCACAGCAGAAATGAAGCAAGCAGTTCTACTCCAGCCAAGACTTTTACATTATATATTTTCACATGCGGGTTACGACTTGACTAATATTAAACAGTAGACAGCTTGGGACTATCCCGCCTTTGGATCACGATTGGCTTATCCAAACAATTCAACATTGGGTTAGATACTTGGCCATCTCAACCCCAAAATCTCAAATTTTCAAAGTCAACGAGAATTCTGAACTAGGAAACACAACAATGGATAAAAGACCTTGCACTTGTCAACACAATCAATAGTTAATGCCTTTCAACACTCATTGACTAATAACAAACATTCAAACCTTCCCCCCGGAAGACTTCATACTTCTTTATATACAAACGATAATCCAAACTTAAACCACAGGATCAACAAGTTCAAGAGTCCTTAATAGGCGCCACGGTCATAGTAATTGAAGCAGTAAACAAATTAGAATTGAGGCGGACCTCTCATTAATCTTGCTTCTCCTCCGTTGTTCAGTCTCGGAATGCTTCGACCTGTGGGTGTTTCCCTTTTGGTCACTACTCTTGCCATCATCTTTCGCCGTTTCACCTAGAAGTTGCAATCACGAAACAACAGAAAGGACTGAGAAGCTGGAATGAGGGAAATGTGAAAAACGCATCTCATGAAACAAAGCACACGCAGTAAGTACCTCTAGAAGAAGGGGAATCATAATCGTCGCCGTCATCTTCCTCTTCGGCGTGAGACTTGCCGTTGCCGGACTTCATCATTTCTCTCAGGGAAAACTCAGAATTCCGTCTGGAGAAAAGAGGTTGCCAGTTCAAATTTCACCGGAGATCGACGCTAATCAACTCTAACTGCATGTGACGGAATGAAATTCAGCAATCAATCACCAAAGAATTCGGGGTTAAGAAAACGTAGAACTTAGACTCTTGGGCAATTCCACACAGACACAGAGATGTTTCGGTAACATCTACGTATAAAGCATGGACAGAGAAAGAGAGAGATGGATACTTGAAATTTGAAGACCAGAAGAGAAAGCGACAGTGGTGGCTGTAGTGCCAGCAGGGTGGTCTGGTTCCGGCGAGTGCTGAGTGATGAGCCCTATCGGCAACTTTATTGTTTTTTATTTTTAATAATTAGCTGAACGAAGTAAGGACGAAGAAAATCTTCTTTCTTTTTTGTTACTTTCTATCCCATTTTTATATTTCGTGTTGGCACAGCCATGATTTTATTATTGTTCACTATTATAATCTGGAATTAAACCATTTTGTTAACCACCATGAACAAGTATGTGATGGACGAGTTGAGACTCTTCTTTGTTTCACTCCGATTGAAGGTTCTTCTAGAAGGAGTAAAATTAGCACAAGAATATGATTTCGAATGTTTGGTCCAGTCTGTACGTGGGGCTCCGGGCCGTGCCGCCTACGGGCTAGCACGGCACGGTTAGAACACGGCACGAGCACGAGCACGAAATAGATAGGCCAGCCGGGCACGAGCATGAATAATTTATGGGCCGTGTCGTGCCCAAACTTCATGGGCACTGGCACGAGCACGGGCACAACACGGTATATAAGTGGGCCGTGTCGGGCCTAATATTTTCGAGACTTTCTTGAGTATAAGAACGTACATGGCACAAAAATAATATTTATTTTATAGAAAATAAATATAAAAAGAATTATAGGTTCAAATATTACAAAACATAAAGAGAAAATTAATTATTTGTTGTTGTTAGAAATGTCATAAAGATATATATGTAATTACTAACATAAGTAAAAATGGACAAAGAATTAAACAAAGCCAAATCACACTCGCTATACTTCCAGTTTTCTTTCCCCCCTTATTTGTTACATTTCTCAAACATTATCGGTTAATACTATCTTCCTTCGTCCTATTTTCACCTTCTTTCTCATTATCTCTTTTGTTTTCGTCTTTTTCATTAAACACGAATACGAGCATGACACAAGCACGAATAGGCACGGCACGATTCGAACTGTGCCCGGGCCTGGGCCGGGCCTAGCAAAGTTAACAAATGAGCTTGCATGGCACGACACGAAAACTGACGGGTCGTGCCAAGCACGACACGAAATAAATGGGCCCGAAGTGTGCTCGTGCCTTGCCGGCCCAAGCACGGATCAGCGCCCATGTACAGTCCAGTCCGATTGCCAAGTGCTAGTGAGAGCGTTGTCTCAAAATCAAGCAAATTGGCCATGGAGGTGTGCGGCCTGGATTGGCTCTATTGTCACGATTCTCAGGACAAACCCATTCATCAAGGTTAAGGAGGTGTCAAGATCTCTAAATGTCAGAGTTGATTGGGTTGCGCGATCAAAGGCTAGGGAGTCCCTTCCTGACGACATGATTAATATTCTTGGATCTAATTTATGATCTTCTTTAAGAACGTAACCTGTTTCCGGTTTCTTTCGATCGGTGGAATATAAGTTGATTTATCTTAAAAAAAAAGATATATGCCACATTTATTATAAACTAAGTGCCCCTTCCGCTCATTTTTTTTCGTAAAATTTTAAATACTCGAACGGTCGATTCTTTTCTTTTTTTTCTATATTAAACCATTTTAGACTTTTAGAAGTAGGCGACGATGATGGTACGGGTTGGGTATGGATGACTAATTGGTCTAAATTCAACTAATATAGAGTAATAAGTGAATTCGAATGTGAATATTATGAATTTTTCACTATCCAATCTAGACTTTACTGATTATACTTTGAGTAATTGAGTAGGGTAAAATGCGAACACGAAGAATTTTTAATCGATATGGATAAAATTCGTAAGTGAAGATTACGAATGATGAGTGAGTATGATTTTTTCACTATCCAACCCAAACCCACCGATTATATGCTTATTTATGTATTTTGTTTAAAAATATCATTATTTTCTCAACATATTTTATATTTATTGTGCATATATCATATTTTAGTGAAATTGTATTATTTTTAACTAATTTTCATTTACTTTTTTGTTTTTTCACTTATGTAGTGTCAACATTTAACATTTTGGTTGAATTTATAAAAAGAAATTATTATCCATGGATAATCTTGGATATCCGCAACCCAATCAGATATGCATATGATTTTGATAATCTGCCCGATTCTTGTATGTGTATTGGTAAAGGTTAAACCCAAACTATTTTGAGTAGGGTAATGTATATGCGTTATCTGCTCATCCATCGGGATCTATTGCCATCCCTATGAGTTGGTGGTAGAGGTGATAATTGTCAATTGGATCGCACTCGTGGAAAATGAGAACAAACATCTAAATATTTATTGTAATTCAACAACATTTATCGTAAATGCGTAAATGCGGTGTTTTTAAAAATATGTTCCTATATTGTATAGCATAAATATAAGATATGCAGAAATTCACATTCTGAATGAAACTCTAAAAGTTTTACCCTACAAGTTTCGTACAAGTTTCGTTGAGTATGTGAAGGGCGCATACTAAACTTTTTTCCCCACCCAATAGTCACAACATTGTTGAATGGTTAGAAAAATGGCAAAAACGGGTAAAAACTACTGGCAAGAAACATTGTTTATCAGTCGATCACTAGTCGATCTCAATGTAGAGAATAATGGAGCAAAGACTATTTTGCAAATTGAGAATCTTCAAACACAATTTTTCTTCGAATGAAAAGAGATCCGGTGTAAAAAATTCATGTCTTATTAGAAAAAAGACTTGATTGTACAACAAAATTCGCAGAGAAAACTCGCTCATGTTCTTTTGACCCTACTAGAAAAAATTGAGGCAAATGCAAATACAACATCTACTCTTAACACATTCAATGATTTCCATTAACGTAACAATCAGGATACAACATTACAAACAAGCTTTACAACTACGATTAGAGATAAGATGCAAGTATAACTCTAAATCATCTTATTCAGGCAGACGGCATGAACAGAAACACCTTATCATTGGACACCCTCTGATCTAGAATATACAGACTTATGTTCTTGCACCATTCATATTCAGCTTCTCTGTCGTCTTTTTTCTACACGTGTCTGGATGCATCATCATGTACTTGCGATGTTCTCACATTAGAATCATCCTGCTGTAATCAACCCCAGAAAGAAGAATAACCCTCAAATTAGTAAAGAACGACAGTTCAAAGCGACACACGGCGTGAATCACTAACTGAGAAATGTTTTGCTGAGATAGCAGAACTATACCCGGATTCCGAAAGAATAACCAATTGTTCTGTTGAGGAAATCTACCCCCTGCAATCGACAAGAAAATCCACCAGCTTTAACGATGCACTAAGAGAGCGGACATTATTGCATAGAGCCGAGATTGGTGGTAATTTTACCAGAGGATGAGGAAGGCCTTGCTGGGAGCTGAAATAACCATCATGGGTTTGCGCTAGGGGTGAGTTCATTTGTCCCTGCAAATGTCCGCCAGATCACACATTATCCCTCTCCTCAACTGAGGGTTTAATCCTAAACTAAGATCAGGATACTAAGATCATTCCCTTAGCCCACTATCCCAAAAGCTCTAATTTGGAAACTAAGAAGTCGTTTCAACTACCAAAATAAAAGGCTTTCCTGACATACCTGCCCTTGTATGCTCGGCTGATAATAACGTTCCATGAAGTTATGAACCTATATAGAAAATAATTCTGTGTGTAAGGATTAGCATGGACATTGATGTTAAAGATCACAACCAAATTTAGAGCCATATCATGATTCATACCATCCCTGGCACAGGCTGTTGTGACCCATAAAAGCCATCCAGTGATACAGCTCTAGAGTTCAACTTTTCCTGCAATAAAGAATATCAGTTGTGCATGTATAGCAAAACAAAGAAAATTATTAAATTGTGAATGTTTCAGGGGGAGGTTGTTCAGAACACGAATTGCACCATCATGCTGTCTTCTATCCCAACTGTTGCAATCTCCGGCTCCAACCCAGCCTGCAGACCACATCATGTTAAATATCAGACAAAGACAACTTGTGTAGAGAAACAAATGTCAATGACCATTAGTAACCACCTTTCTTTTTTTAGTAGGGTTCTTTTTCTTATTAGTCTTGTTCATGCTCCTACTTTGGTTATCATCTTCGGTGCAGAGAAGACCATGTGCAGTTGATGTAACCGCATCCGGGACACTCTTGCTAGAATTGTTGACACTTAAGCAATTTCCAAAAGCTTCTTCAACAGCACGAAGGGCGATGTTATGACTCTCTTGTGAAAATGACCCTTCCTCGCTCAATTTCAATGCTCTTTGACACAAGTCATTGTACCTTTGCATCCTAGACTGTAGTTGCTCAGATTCTTCTTCACCCATACTAAGATGCCTGCTCTTTGCCTCTTTGGTCCATCGTTTTAATATATAACGAGATGGGACAGCAGATTGCTGACACATCTGCAAAACAACCAATGCATGCCTACACAGATAACCCTTATATTCTTGTAGTCGACAAATACAAGAAACTTCCGCTCTCAATTGGTTCCACATGACAGAAAAATCTTGCTGCTTCTCCAAGTCTTGAACTCGAAAAACGACACTAGTTTCATCTTCACTCTCCAGTTTAGGATGGCAAGCAACTACGCCCAACACTTCAACTTGAAATTTCTTGAAGACGGCAAGAGTGTACAACCCTGAAACACTCTTCTCCAATGGGGAAGGGGATTTCAGAGCGGGGTGCTTGTTCCATGTATCAGATTCTGCTTTGGCTTCTTCCTCGTACCTTTCCATTAAAACAACTTCATACTGTTTCACAAACTCTTGTACAGTGCTCTTCTTGTGCACAAACTTGTCAAAGTACGAGTTCACGCTGTCAGATCTCTGAACTGTGGACATTCCGCCCAAATTAACACCCTTCAAGTACAATGGCACCCATTTCTCACGATCTTCATATAATGGTTGCATCCACTCGTTCCCTTGGAGCTCAAATCTATCAAGGAGTTTCCACCACCTCTTGATGAAGTCTGCCTCTGTCCATGACCTGAAGACACATTTTTCGAATTTTTTAATGAAGTTGTCATGCTGTTTAATCACATCACCCAAGTTCTCAGAAACCTTCCCGAAAATGCTCCACAAAGAAAAGCAATGACGAGCACCAGGAAGGGCATGCGGAATAACCGAGTTCAATGTTTTGTCCTGGTCAGTGATGATAACAGTAGGCACCCGCCCACCCATTGCTCTAAGCCAGTTTTGGATAAGCCAGGAATATGTTGCTGAGCTCTCATCTGATATCAGAGCACATCCAAGCAGCAAGAATTGATAGTGTTGGTTCACTCCAACAAAGAGAACAAGAGGCATCTTATATTTGTTTCTCATGTAGGTGGCATCCAAGGAGACAACATCACAGAAATTGACGTAGTCATGCCTACCTTTAGCATTGACCCAAAGCAAGTTCTTCAGACGTAGATCGTCACCTATGTCCACCGCATAAAAGAAGTTGGAATTTAAACTCTGCATTTGTGTTAAGAAATCAAGCAAAAACTTAGCATCTCCAGCTTCTAGTACCGAAGATCGAGGTTTATCAAATGGGCTCTTGGTGTCATTCTTGAGGCAAACAACGTTCTTGTATTCAACAAATTGCCTAGCCATTGCAGCGTACATATTTCTTGTCTGTTCACTCACAGCCTGGGCAGGTAAGAGATCATGGTTGTGCTCCTTCACGAAACTATGGATGACCCACTTTCCATCAGGCCTTCTCTTGACATGCATGCTTGCTTTGCAGTCGGTCTTTGAGCATGATCTTCTGCTGGTTCCATTTTCAGGTTCCTGCTTTTCCTGCCTAGAGCGTGGTTTGTTACAAGACTTCTCATACTCTCTCTTCGTTCCATACCTGGAACAGGCAAATTTTGCATCAATAAATTCCCTAGATGTCTTTGAGCGACGACTGTTCTGTATGGCAGTATTGAACCCCATGGACCGAGCATATTCCTGATAAAATGCATATGCTGAACTGTGCGATTCAAATTCCATGCCAGAAAGCGGTTCAAGATTTGTTCCTTCTTTGTTTTCAGTGGCTCTCATTGGGGAGTTTACATTTCCACCACCTGTAGCATGTACATCTTCTGAAACATTAACCATGGTTAGAGTCTCTGCCTCTGAACTATGCAGCTTGTCTTCGTTTAACATATGATCAATTCCATTTGTTTCATCATCTTCCTTATCAAGCCCACCCGAAGGCAACCTCAGATCAATATCCATGGGATGAATTAACAAGGAACTTTAGTAAATGCCTCGGTTATATCACCTGAAAAATGATAAATAGAGATAGCATCAGAGTCGAAGTAGCCAATCCCTTGGTATTATACCACTAAAGATCCATACATCATGGTAACTGAAATCAGTTGCCACAGGTTCAAGCTTAGTCGACAGAAATGTTTTCACTTATCATGTTGCTACTAGTCAGACACCTGAATATAAGTATGAAGTGAATAAGAACAGGATTCATAATCAAGTGAATCCAGCACAACATCACAAGGTCGAAAACCAAACCCAAACCGAGAGAAACGGCAGTAAAGTAAGCATCATAGCAACACATTACATGAACAATCACCATAAGCAGCTATCAGTAACGAACATGATCCAAACAGCTCATCTAAACCGCAAAAAGAACAGCGTTTCCACCAGACTGGATCATTCTGCCGGAAAAGAATGTGGGATATGACAAGTCGAATGTTCTCAAACCCTATTCCACCAACGTGAAAAGATCATTACTTCCTAGTTTCTACCTATGCCTGCCTCTTTCAGCATAAGCTGAAGCTGGCACCTCCAGAATTGCATCTTTACAAGTATTCTCATACACCCAGCTCAGCCAAGCTTTTCAATTTTCAGTTTTTTTCCTCCATTCTCAAAAGGAGTCGAAGGCGAAGGGGGAATTCGGTCACCCAATCGAGACCCGCGTGTACAGTTATGTCAGTATCATGATGCAACAAGTATACACTACTACTCCGATCAAAGCAAGGTGACCACTTCTCGTTCACCATATTCCCAGCAACCAAACAGCAAAACCAGAAAAGGAAACCAGAAGCTTGAGAAGAGAGAGAGTGAGAGAGAGAGAAAAGGAACCTCAAAGCGATTCTTCGGAGGGAGGAATCCGCGCGAAATAAAAGCAGTGAACCGCAAAGAGGCGAGTGAGGGACACAGAGCGCGTTAGAGAGAAGGGACAGGGAAAAAATTAGGGTTTTTCCAGATCTAATGGAATGCTGCCACTCGCTTTTCTCCTTCACTCGCTTCCGCAGCTTCTGCTTTGCCTCGTTTCGACTCGGCGCGTTATTCAATCCTTCGTCTTCTTCGTTTGGGGTTCTCCTCTTTCCGTTTGATGTGTGCTTAAATGATTTCCCTTATTACCCCTCGCCGTTAATTCTTTTGGTTTTCGTTTACACGCCTGGCGCGTGTCTTTGAAAGCGGCTTTACGAAAATTTTCTATTTTATGCATTAGCTATGGAAACAAGTTTTCCTTAAAGTGATTATGATTGACAACACATACTATTTACGAGACTCATTCGATTATTTTTACTTTACATGCTCAAATGATTTTCTGCAACATCATGTACAATAAACCAATCCACGAATTTACAACAACCGTGGAGAAAATTTTCGAACATGATGTTATACATACAAAATTTGGGAGGCACTACTTGGGTGGAGCACAATCAACTATAATAGAGTCTTGCACGTGATAACGAAGCTGGTGCATGACGACAAATCCCAACGAAGTTTGTGGCATGTCAATTGCAAATCTTTTTTTGCAACACATGTGTTTAGAACGATGAAGTACTTTGAGCATCAATGACATAAAATAGGTAAAGATTGGGATAATATGTTAAAATGAGCACAATGGATATTGCAAATCTATCATGAGGAAGCGACACGAAAGTTGGGGGTCAAATCGCGAAACATTGCAAAAGAATTAAGGGGTCATTTCGAAACCATGAATTGTACCAGCTAATTTGAAGAATACATGATATCTCCAATTTCAATATTTTTTTTAGCTTCAAAGAGGAATACAATGATATTGATGGTCCACATAATTTCAAAACACACACAAATATGAATTTTCGAATGCTTTGTGGTTACATAGAGCATTATACAATTCGCCCAACTTACGGGACCCACTAACTTACTTACCCCTTTTGTTCATAAAGTGAAACATGGTTAAAGTGAATATACTTTGGAATATTGTTATTTTCTAATAGTTTTGTTATTTTATACAAATTTATCAATTTCACAATTCACGTAAACCAAATTATGTATTCTAACATCACATCACATGAATTCTTATAGTCCTACATGTTATCTTGAAATTCATGTATTTTACAATTCATGCTTGCCAAACGACCCCTAAAAGGTTGATGTAACAAATTTGACTTTTAAATCAATGAATTGCTAGCGATAGTGTTTATATTGTAAAGTTTGAACACTAAAGTTACACAGGGATGTGCGCGTGTGGCAAGTTCCACGCCACAAGACAAGAGTGCCTTGCTTGCATGCTATTGCAGTTTGTCTCTCGTCGTCAATTAAGAAATACTCATTTGTCAGTGATGATCTCTATGCATTAGCAAATATTAACAGTTGCTCCAACTCACTAGGCTCCAGAAACTAGGAGCATGGCGATCGCAGCGACACTGAGTACAAACTCGAGTTTTCTTCCCGTCGATGAAGAACGTGCAGGAGGCAGTTGATGCTTCCCAGTATCAATCATGACCTTGAACCGACAAGTGCCAGCAGATGGATCAAGAGTGGTAATCATAGAGAGGTTGTTGCTAAACGAACATGTACCTTTCCTCTGGTTCATTGTTTGAAAGTACACGTTGAAAGCATAAGATGCATTGCCCCTAGCATCCAATACACCACAAGAAGATCCAGATCCCAAGCTAGTGCAATCAGAGTAACTACAAGCGTAGCTCACGCTGCTAGCCAAAGTAGGGTCATCCAAGCTTGCTTGAGGGGACAAGACACACCATTGTCGCGTCAAGTACCTCACACCTTTGGCAGGGACCAGACCTCTACCACTCCCCAAATTGAGTTGGTACTTGAGGGCACCATCGAAGTTGAAGACCCCCCAATGCCTCTCAAAGTTTCCTGGATCGATGCTCTTAGCATCTTCATCAATCAAGGAGAATATGTAGACATCTGGAGGGGTGGAGCGCCTTGGGGTGCCACGACCTTGGAGTATCCTATCGACAAGCCCTTGATTGAATCTTCTGGCGTTGTCTACGTTGGCATGCATGTCACCATCGGTGGGCCAACCCACCTCGCCAACAATGACAGGCATGGAAGAGAAACCGGTCTTGTCGAGAGCTGCGATGAGGGTGTCGAAATTGGCATCGAAGACGTTAGTGTAGGAGATGGAGCCATCAACAAGAGGGGCAGCATTGCCATCAAAGTAGGCATACTCCTTTGGGAAGTGGGAGTCAGCATACAAGCTCAGGAAAGGGTAGATGTTGAAGGTAAGGGGTGAATTGCTTTCACTAAGGAACTTAATGATGGAGACCATAAGGTCATGGATATCTGGTCGGAAGCTGCCGCCAGAAGGAAGACCGTTGTCACTCTGGTAGACATCAGCATTGAGTGGAATTGTGACCTTAACTTGCCTCCCTAACCCTGCCTTTATCAAAGCAGCTTGGATGTTCTTAAGAGCTGGGAATGTTGTATGTACGAATTTGTCGTTGTAGGTCTTGAGAAATGGCTCATTACCCACAGCCACGTGCCTGAATATGATCACGAAAATGTGTGTCATAAAATGTATTTATATTTTCATTATATCACGGAAGTTATTTTTAATTAAAAGCAAAATTTTCTTAATATTTTATTTTTCCAATTGATTAAAAATGACCATCCCCCACGAAATTCTAAAAAAACTTCATACGACACATTATTTGTCGACGTGTAACTCTGGCCACTTATAATCGAAATTAAGAGAAACAAAACACTGTTCTCGAGTGTTGTCATTAAAAAAAAAACATTATGCTAGGAATGACACTTTTTGCAATGTTTGGTGTCCTAATGGTATCTATCACTATAATTTATTTTAAATTACTTGGAACTTAAATTGTTTGAATATGATAAAGTGCTAACAAGAAACTTAATAGATCGTTCGGAACAATAACAAACATAATTATTATGTAGAATTCATTTCTAACATGTTAAAAGTCGAACATGAACTTATTTTGATATTGTCATATCTACTTTAAATTACCTACATGTAACTCTCTCTTGCATTGCATAAATAACACACTCTATCACAACCTCAATGAGTTTGTTTATTAATGAATGATAATCTAGTAATGATCGAGACCTCACTGCACAATTTCATAAATTCATCTTTGACTTCAAAATTTCATATCAAATTTATGTTTGTAGTGGTCAAGGTCATTTGCACCAAACACCCTAACGAAATGCTAAATGTTGGATGGTGCATTAGTCCATATCATACCCTAACGAAACTGATCCCATCATCGAATGTATTTTTACCTTATGTTGACACCCATTTGTGAGATGTAGGTGGAGACGTTCTGCTGAACCCAATCAATCGCAGCCTGAACCGAGGAGGAAAGTGGCCCGAGAAGCTCGTTTGGGATCCCAACCATGACTTGGATGCCGGAGTTCCCCAACGCCTTCAACGCCGGCGGGTCTGCCTCGAACAACTTCACCTTGTCGAACCCATTCTCCTTCAGAAGCTTCACCACTATGTTCGCCGGCAACGGGTGCGTCGACTGAGTCCCCCAGTTGGCAGCCAGCCCTCCGGCCGCCGTTGCTCCCTTCATCATCACCAACACCAAAAACACCACCCACAACTTACACCCATGAAAATGGCTTCCCATGTTCTGGCTTATTTGTTTACCGAAAGATGTTTACGTGGGAAATGAATTGAACACAGGGATGTTTGTGTTGGCCGTTTTATGAGATAGAAATAAGCATGGAGAATCAACAAGGAAGATGATACCATGGGGAAACCGATTTGAGGCATCGAAGCATTCCTTTCTTTCTTCCTACCTTTGTATGGATTGAAAGGAGGCAACCAAAAGGAAACTTTTTGGAGCAAGCTGCGAGGAATTTTGCTCTGAGACAGACATTAAGCATTCCTTTCTTCTTACCTTTGGATTCAAAGGAGGAACCTTTTTTTGGAGCAAGCTGGCTGCCAGGAGTCACGTTAAAGATGGATTTGTAGCAAGAGTTTTCTTCCTATGACACATAAACCAACATGGAAGCAATGCACCTTTTCCTCCAGGAATCTGGGTATTCGAACTCAAATATGAAATACCTACGGACACTTGCCCCGGAAAAAAGCAGCTACAATGATGATTGAATTCTGTTGATCAAATCATTACGTTAACTTCTCGTTCTCATTGTATCTATTACTGATAGATTCCTCCTACTAGACAGGTTCAGTGCTTCATTCTTGCAGGCAAAACCACGTTGGTTTTCATACTTCAATTCATGATTAAGCATAAAACTATGGCAAAATACATCTGTATAGCCATAACTTTCACACTTGTGACAAATATAGTCATTACTATTCGAAAACCACAAATAGCCCAAAAAACGAAGGGTACTGTGACAAATCTAGCCAAAAACGTTAGAAACTTTAACACCGTCTGCGGTTCCGTTAAATCGTTTGACGGAACGCTGACGAGGACGCCATCCGACCTCCACATGATTAACACTTCAGCAAAATGCACACGTGGAATGCCACGTGTAGAATAAAAAAATGTTGGTCAAACAATTAGTCCATAAAAAATGTAAGATAAAAAATAAAAATAAATTAAATAAATATTTTTTATTTTCTCTCTTCCATCTCTCTTCTTCCCCATCCCTTCCGGCCAAAACTCTCTGTTCTTCAAACTGTCTCGATTCTTCCATCACCACTGGATTCTTGCCGGAGCTCTTCTCCCTCTCCTTCTACTCTCTCCACCTCGCCCCACTCACCCTGCCGACACTGCTTCTTCCTCCCAAATCTCCACTCCAACAACATTCTAGATTCAAAATGCACCCAACCCCCAAACCAAGATCCTTGACAAGACGATTTCAGATCTAGCGGATGGAGACCAGACGACGACCAACTGCTCTCGTCGTCATCAGATTGGTATTGAAGCTGCTGCTGCTTCTCGGCGGAAGGAAGGGTTGGAGGAAGGCGACGACGGCGGCAGGAGAGTGGGTGAGGTAAATTTCAGAGGTGGGTTCGGCGACTGCTAGATGGACGGGTGATTGGGTTTTTCTGGGTTTTTTCTTGTCATTATTGCGCACCGACATCGACCCGGCGGAGTATTTTTGGCGGAAGAAGCAGCGCGCCTTCCAGTTCTTGCGCCATTAGGAATACAGTCTCGATTGTACCGCATGGTTGGAGGGCGGCGGGAAGCGGAGATCTAGGGTTTTGGACGAGCAGTGATAAAGGCAGTGACGGTGGGTGGTATAGATCTAGGGGGAGATTTACCTATTAGTGGTGTAGAAGATGGCGGCAAAGACGGCGATTCCGGCCACGGCAGTGACGGCTACAACAGCAGCAGGTGAGGAAGCAGAGTGGGAACCACCCGCCGTCGTCAACGCCCAGGGGTTCTGCAATTTCGGCTCAGTTCCAGATCGGGTTCTTCGTCCTGGTTTGATGAAATCCGTTTCGTTTCTCACCACCGACCATCCCTCTGTAGATGAACAAGCAGGTTGCTGCTCTTTGCCTCTGTTTTGATCGGCGAGAAAAACAGAGAGGGTGGTGATATATCTCTGCGTCCCTCACTCTCGTCGACCTCGAAATCCTTCAGCGCAGCAGTACCTCTGCCGAGAAGAAACAAGCAGGTTGCTTGACCTTCTCCCTCATCTCGTCGTGCTTTTGACTGGCTTTCGATTAGTTTATCCTTCTTTGTGCTTACCGCTGCTTCCGATTCGTTTCCAATTTCGGCGGCGACTGGTGAGGAGATGAAGAATTGGCCCCGAATTTGGGGTCTCCAAGAACCTAAATGAGCATTTTGATTGTTTGAGTTTTTTTTGCTTTTTTTTAACCCACATGGACTTTAACTGACGAAATGTCGCCAGGTCAGCATTTCCGTCAGTCTAGTCAGATGGTTAAGTAACACCGTTAAAATGATGGACGGAATTGGCTATTTTGGGTTTTCGAATAGTTCTGGCTATATTTGTCAAAATCGTGAAACTTATGGCTATACAAGTGTATTTTGCCTAAAACTATAACCGAGTGTGAAGCCAAAAGGAGGCATGATCCTTCAATATAGCCTTTGCCATTAGATGTTTTGTTGCTGGTTCCTCCAAGCTGTCTCATTATACACGTAGGCTTTTCGGCATACCGCATCAAATTAAGAGTCTACACCATAGTACAGTGCACAACCAAATGCACTTCCCTTGCTGGTTTTTTTCTGCAGACCTGCACATTTCCACATTCCGAACATCGATATTTTGAATACAACAAGATTTTTTCTGTATCTATTGCCCTCCACACTTTATGCATTTCCAACGCAACAATGCATAGGTAATCCAAGACCATCACCCAAAGAAAAGACAGGTTCTAGCTTCCACCACCAAATTTAGGAAGGTGAGTACAGAAGCTATTTATAGATAATCCAAGACCATTTAAACACAATTCACAGGAACTATGCATTTGTGTGTTTCTATGACTCAATCGGAGTTATATATTCGATAAAAGTAGGCAGCAGTACTTAACAGAAGATATGCATATTAATCCAAAACCATTCAATCACAGTTCCTCCCAAATAAAGATGACATGTTCTTGCTCCGGTTAACAGTTTTGGTAGGAAACTAAGTAACTGGAGTATTGTACCTGTTGCAGCAACAGCAGAAAAATTACTCCATGTGCTACCTGACTCGATGCTTGTAGATAATGTCAAACAACCTGCTCTTGCATATAGTCCAGTCCATGTCAAAGGATAGGCCATCACAGTTTCTTGCTCCGAGTACAAAGAGTCCCAAAACTTTCCATATAGCTTTACCATAACCTCTAAATGGCCGCCACATCTTCCCAAGTTAAATCCAACAGTTAGCCCTCGAGGCCATACCAATCTAATCACAAAAAGTTGCAAATAACTTGAACAGATTGGGCAACACACAATTAGCTGGCATCTTCCTAGCTTAAACCAATGGAAAGTGATGGGAAATTGCTGGTACTGCCACTTAACAAGACAGCATGGAGAAGAAGTTGCTGGCTGCAACTTAACCAACATGCCTTTGTCCAGGATAAAAATAAGTTGCTGAACCAGATGCCGGATGGATATTAAAGGTTCCTCGACTTGGGCAACACCACAGAAGAGTCCTCATCTATGATTAAGGAATCCACATGCCAACTTCAATAAATCCTCCAAGGAAGACACAACCTGGATCATAACAATGCGAAGCAATACACAGCCAACAGAATGATAGTCAAGAAGGCTATCCAGAAAGCCTCGAAGAACCTCAAATGCATTAATCAACCTTAGCAGCTGGCAGCAACGAGAGACATGAGGTTGCACCTTCAAGGTGTTCCATCATCAAGCTACACGACTTCAACTAGACAATGTAGAATGCTAACCTAGCTTCTTATAACACTCTAGAGAAACCACAAGTCCAGAACATCTTCCGAACAAAAAACAACTGAGCCAATAACATTACCGCATCTCTGTTTAGACACCTCCATATTGAACGTTTGAGTTCAGGGTCAACCTCAATAGCAACTTCTGACAACAACTTTTAGCTTTCTGATCAGATGAATAAAGTGAGATCGGGACCTGTAAGTAGAACCAGAATAGAATCTTGAGGGTCAGTTGACTGCGACATAAGATACCAATCCTGCAGTAACCATTCTCCACTTCAGAATCCTCAACGAGCTGGGAATCTTGAATGGCAACTGGAATAAGTAAAACTGATCTATCTACTTGTTATAAGCCAAAAACGGACCCAACTTCCAGGATCAGCAAGAAACTGACATGGGAATCTATCTATAACCTCCAACTGGGTTTATGCTGGATCCGATGAATCAAACCAAGCTACCAGCATCGGGAAGCCCCTGATGCAGATCCTGATCACCCCTTCCCTGCCGCCTCCCTCCAGAGCTCTCCGCCGCCGCCGCCGCAGGAGGAGGAATCTTGACGGCGACGGAGGCTCGACAGACGGGACAATTGGCATGCGAATTGAGCCACAAGTCGATACAGGGCGAGTGAAATGAGTGCTTACAGACGCTCAGCTGCTTCACCGACTCCCCGTCGGCAAAAACCGACAAGCACACGGGACACTCACTCCCAATCTCCTTGGCGTGGCTTTCCTTCCTGTACTTGACGGCGGCATCGCGGATTTTCTCCGGCAGAGGCCGCGCCGCGGGATGGGGTGCATCGTCGGTGTCGGCGTCGGAGGAGGTTGAGTCGCCGCGGCGGCGGTGGGATCGGGTGCGGAAGGCGGAGGGTGGGCACTTGATGGAGTAGAAGAAAGTGTAGATGAGGGCAGGGATGGTGATGATGGCGATTAAGGCGAGGACGAACTCAAGAGGGGCCATGTCTACGCTCCTGTGGCTGGGGGAGACCGCGGCCGAGGCCGAAGCCGAAGCCGAATCGGGGAAAGGTGGAGGATCTGGAGAGATGAAGATGGACGGCGGTGGGTGCTCCATTGATCTCAGGCACAGTGAAGAAAAGTGACAGAGGAGAAAAAAAGGGAAGCAGCAGCAGCAAGGGTGGACTTTAGAGAGTGAGAGAGGGAGTGGAGTAAATTTCCCGTTTGGGTTGGCGGATTTCATTATTCTAAGACCAATAATTGAAGGACGATGACGCCAAAAGCCCAAAAGGACAAAGTGAAAAGCTGGGAGCATCTCTTCTTCAAGAACAAGCAACAAAGCACCAGCATCACACTATTCATTCTCCAACTCTAAGTTCCCTTCCAGTCCAGGGATCCAAATATTGTACTTTCTGATTTACGAAACATGGTCAGGTGGAGCAGGAGGGCAACTGGACTGAGTTACTGATCACTTATTTACATGGCAACATTGTACTCAAACTCAACTTTCAGATAATCATTCATCTGACCATAAACAATGCAATTTCTTGGTCCTATGATGTCGTATTCTCTTCTAAGACTCCATAAGAACTTTCAGATTAGGAAACACTGTCACAACTGGTGAATCGGAAATGGAGCAGAAGTGCAACTCGAATGAGTAAAATCACACCAGATCCAATTTCACATAAGCATTGAGCTGTGAGATGGACATGATATTATGTTGATCTATCTATCATGGAGCACTCATTTTCCATGTTCTTTCTATGACTCTATTAAGATACTCTCATTATGTGGATTTCCAACACCAACTATATGCTTCGAGAAAAGCAGAAGGGCAAGTAGAATGATCAAAGGTCACCTCAACAATAAGGCAGAAGCGGACACAAATAAGTGATCAAAATCGTTGTCAAACAAAAAATGATGTCCGAACAAACAGTCTGGGACTAAAATTACACACCTATGGACTTGATGCTGAAGTAACTCCATGCCGTTTTATCGTTCATCATATTTGCAGAAGGCTAGTCCAAATGGGCATATGGTGAAAAATTCATAGCAACTGGAAGCTTCCCTGCTCTCACATGTTCGTTGTCTTTGTCACGCATGGGATAGTTGTGCATTCAAATCCTATATAAGGGACATGCCAATATTCAATCTTCAGATAAACCAAGTTCTAACAAGATTCCAGAATCAAACATGTAAAATTGTTTTGGATTGTAAGTAGGAATTCGAAATGCTTGCGGACAACAGCAATAGCTGCACCCTTAAAAGATCTCACCGTGGAAATATAACCCAGGACAACAGACTTGGATCATCATATTACTTTTAGTCCGTCCTCCTCGGAACCACTTTCACCCCTATTCACGGCAACACCTTTCTAGGAAATCAAAAGACAAATTGAGCTAACACAGTTTAGTGACACCCAAAAAGCTCCCCAGTGTGATCATCCCGACAGGACAGAGACAGAGAATGCAATGACAACCATTTAACAAGCAAGATTAGCATCATAGAACAAGCAAATACACCTCAGCAGTGGTGTCATAGTCCACTACAGCCGTAATTGAAACATTAAACATGCAATATCATGTAATCCTTGAATTTTGTAACTAGACATCGACGCTCAGGTTATCATTCTTGAGTTCCTTTTGAGGACTCTTCAAGATTTCCAGTTCACGAATAATGGCGCAATTGAGGTATCTTACATGGAGCAGAATGGCAAATGGATTATTGTGTAGCACCAACATGAAGAGTACACGATACCTCAATAATTAGGCAAAACTGGATGAAACTTGCTGATCATGTACAACGTATAGTTTTAGGTTTACCATTAAAAAACTTGGTATTCATTCTTAAAGTCTCACCAAAGACTGATTCCAGACAGGACTTTCTGCTTGCAGAATGAATTCGTGATTGCAGATTTCAAAGGGAGCAAAAGGCAACTCGAATAAGTCGATGATCATAGAAATAATAAGGCAACTTGAATGAGTCCATGATCAAGAAATATTACTTTCTCAAACAGTAAGGTCACGACATGCATATTAAGAATCAGATTGCATAACTAAGGCAACTAGAATAAGTTACTGATCATCTCACTGTTAGGCAGAATCAGAACTAACTTCCACATAATCATCTCACTATATGGCTCCATATAGTATTTTATGGTTATGAAACACGGTAACAACTGCAGTAAAACAGAAGGGCAACTGGAATGAGTAATTAACTATCTTATGATAAGCAAAATTGGATTCAACCTTCAATTAAGCATTGAACTGATATGGAAGATGTATTTTCTGTCCATTTATATAGTATTCATTCTCAAGTTCCCTTCTAGGACTCCATATATTAATTTCTGTTTGCAGAACATGATCCAACATAAGTAGAGCAGAAGGGCAACCAGAATGAGTGATTAATCATCTTATGATAGGAAAAATCGAAGTCAGCCTTCAGATACGAACTGAACTGATATGGAAATGTATTTTGTGGGTCTATTTATATAGTACTCATTCTGAAGTTCCCTTCTAGGACTCCATATATTACTGTCTGTTTGCATAACATGGTACGAACTGAACTGATATGGAAATGTATTTTATGGGTCTATTTATATAGTACTCATTTTGAAGTTCCCTTCTAGGACTCCATATATTACTGTCTGTTTGCATAACATGGTACGAACTGAACTGATATGGAAATGTATTTTATGGGTCTATTTATATAGTACTCATTTTGAAGTTCCCTTCTAGGACTCCATATATTACTGTCTGTTTGCATAACATGGTACGAACTGAACTGATATGGAAATGTATTTTATGGGTCTATTTATATAGTACTCATTTTGAAGTTCCCTTCTAGGACTCCATATATTACTGTCTGTTTGCATAACATGGTACGAACTGAACTGATATGGAAATGTATTTTATGGGTCTATTTATATAGTACTCATTTTGAAGTTCCCTTCTAGGACTCCATATATTACTGTCTGTTTGCATAACATGGTCACAACTGAAGTAGAGCAGAAGGGGAACTAAAATGAGTACCTATAATAACTTATTATAAGGTAACACCAACTCAAATTTCATGTAAGCATTGAACCAAGACGCAAGGTATTTTACTGCGTCCATCTATGATACAGTACTCATTCTCAAATTCCCTTCTAGGACTCCGTACCGTACTTTCAATTTGCAGAACATGGTCACTACTGAAGTGGAGCAGAAGGGCAACTGAAATGAGTACTGATCACTTATTGTAAGGCAACACCAACTCAACTTTCAAATAAGAATTGAACCGGCACATGCAAGGTATTTTCAGGGTTCATCTACGATGTAGTATTCATTCTCAAGTTCCCTTCTAGCACACCCCATATCATACTTTCCACGTACAGAACATTGCCACAACTGAGTGGAACAGGAGGGCTACTGAAATGAGTACTAACCATTTATTATAAGGCACTCGACTTTAAGATAAGGATTGAACCAACATATACAAGGTATTTTCTGGGTTCATCCATGATGTAGTCCTTATTCTGAAGCTCCCTTCTAGGAGTCTATATCGTATTTTCTGTTCACTGGAAATGGGCACAACTGAAGTGGGGCAGAAGGGCAACTGGAATGATTATGTATCACTTATTATAAGCAACACCATCTCAGCTTTCAGATAAGCATTCAACTGACATAGACGAGGTTTTTTTAGGGTCTATCTTTTATGCAGGCCTGAACATTGATATTTCAAATTAAAAGAGTAGAGTCTAGACCATAAGACAGTTCTCAAGCAAATGAAGTTACCTTACTGTTTTTTTTTTTTTTTTTTTTTTTTTTGCAGACCTGAACATTTCCAAATTCTGAACATTGATATTTTAAACACACATAATTTTTCTGTCTCTACTCCCCTGTACCAAGTATATATTTCCTAGGCAACCATGCTTATATAATCCAAGACCATCACCCAAAAAAAGAAAAACGACAGGTTCTTGCTTCCATCACCAAATTTTTGCTAATAAAGTGAATCACAACTAGTAAAAAAAGTTATGTATAGACAATAGAAGACCATTGAATCACAATTCACATCAACTATGCAATTATGCTTCTAAGACTCAGTCGGAACTATATATACTAAGAAAGTAGGCAGAAGCAGTAGCCAGGGATACTGTAGAAGACATGCATAATAATTCAAGACTATTCAATCACAAATCGGAAACTATGCATTCGTATGCTAGCCTCATGATTTCTTGTTCGTTGTGACCAGTTAGAATCCAGTTTCAGAACAACAAACATCAAGAACTACTGCTGGGAGAACTTGAATCTATTTAATAGGGAGAAGGGCAACAAGCATTTGCAAATAGACTGGGCACAATAATGATGTAATCAGACTTAGCAATATGGATGCAACATATTTAGATTTCACAAGGCAGAACACAATACAACTTTCCTGTAAACATCTAACTACCTCAAACAGTAAGGTTCAACGTATCAATGAAGTTTTCCTCATATCATGTGTATATTTCCAGTTCTGAACATGAATGTTACAAATTTCGAACACCGGTACTTAAAAGCCAAATGAGATCCTTCATTTATTTTTCCTTCCACCATGTACATATTTTAAAGGCCAACCAAACTTCCTACCTCAAATAATATGACAGGTTCTTGCTCCCAATTACAAATTTGCTAGGAGACTGAGTAACTAGAGTATTGTACCTTTAGCAGCAATAGAAAGTTTACTCTGAATACAAAGAGTCCAAAACCTTTAGCTTTGTCATCATCTCTAAATGGCGCAACATCTTCCCAAGTTAAATCCATCAGCTAGCCCTCAAAGTCGTACCCTTTAGTCTCAGAAGTTGCAAATAACTAGAACAGATTGGGAAACACACAATTAGCTTGGCATCTTACTAGCTTTACAACATTGGAAGTTGCTGGGAAATTTGTTGGTACTGTCACTTAACAAGACAGCATGGAGAAGAAGTTCTTGGCGTTGCTCCAACTTAACCAACAAGCCTAAGTCCAGGATAAAAATAAGTTCATGAACCAGATGTTGAATGGATCTCGAAGGCTCCCAGACTTGTGCCATAAAAGATTCCTCATCCATAATTAATGGATTCCACATGCCAAGTGTAATCAATCTTCCTAAGAAGACGAGGCAATGCGGTTCATAACAAGGCGAATCAATACATAGCCAACCAAAAGACAGTCAAGAAGGCAATCCATAAAGCCTTGGATGAGGAATCTGGAGAAGAAGAACGGCAACTGGAATAAGTAAAACTGATAGACCCTCTTAATTATTATAAGGTGAAAACGGACCCAACTTCTAGATTGGCAAGAAACTGACAAGGGAATTTATCCACCAACTGGGTTCACCAAATTGAAAATTCATTAGAAAAGGATAAAAAAGGGATCAAATTCTCCACCATCAAATCTCTAATCGATTCAGGCAGATATAATGCATATACTATACTCATTAATGAAGCAAAATTCCAAAAGGGCCACTTTCAGTAAGAAGCTTTTCCTCTCTTTAGAAATCTCCGAATACTTACGGGTGAAACAAATGGTCGAGAATCATAGGTCTTAGGACTCTAAATAGTTACAGTGAGCAGTAACATGTCAGACGCAGATATCTCGATAGCATCAATATCTACTCGACCCCCTCAAACATATTAAGCCCACTTGTAATGCAATCTAAGAAAGAAAACATTAACACAAACAAAAATCGCTGCAAATACCAAATCCAACACCAATCCACGGTAAAACAAGTAGGACACATGTTGCAACAGAGGAATTGGACTTTCTTCATTTCCATGTTATGGTGCATGAAATGCTACTGAATTAGAAGTTTCAATATATCCTGGACTCCAACACGCATACAAAATTTACCAAGGCTGTCACTTTGCAACATGGTTTCACTGCTACTATTTATCTCTCTTTTTGTTTGTCAATCCTTTGTTCGCTGCTAGTGGAGAATTTAAACTACAGAATAATAAAGTTTAAAAATCCTAGCAACAAATGCATGCCCGACTATAGTAGTCTTCGATACACATGGGATAGTATAGTTCTGCATTCAAATCCTATTATATGAGGGACATGCCAATATACAATCTTCAGATAAACCAAGTTCTAATAAGATCGCTGAATCACACATATCCAATTAGCATACATCTTTGCATGAAAATATAAATCGAAAACCAATCTTCAAGGAAGCCAAGTCATCAATGAGAAATAACAGTAGCAAAAGGTAGTCCTCTGGACTAAGTAAAGAACGCCAGTACACCCTTAAAGCACATGAAGATCCCAATCGAAGTAAAGTTTCCAAGTAACTGAACCTCCAAGAAATTTGTTATACTTGCAACACACAAGGAACACTTCCGCCACACAATTGCACAAATTATATTTATCCTTTCGTTGATCCATGACAATGGCACTGGGCAGAACTAAAAATATTACTTCAGAACCACAAACGAAGAGAACAGAAACGGTTTCTCCTTTTTGTTGCTAAATCCTAGTTCACTACTTTCTTTTTGACTGCAGGGTAGGGAAGGGAAGTAATTCAAGAAGTCCACGGGTTTCTTGGAGCTAATTCGTGTTTCTTCCGCCACCAGACAGTCAATAGAATGAAGGAGATTGGATCAACATGGACCCAATAGTTAGTCATCGCGCACTTGAATGAGTACATGATGACTCAATAATTAGGCACAAAACTGGACGGAACTTTCAGATCAACACAGAACCAACGGGTATAGCATACATTTTAAGGTGAACAGACTTCATAAAAAAGTAACTATATAGTAGTGTACTCATTTTGAGTACTCGTTCTGAAAGTCTACCTAAGACTGATTCCACCCAGGACTTTCAGCTTGCAGAATGTTATCATGATTGAAGATTTTAAAGGTAGCAAAAGACAACTTGAATTAGTCTATGATCATCTCAATAAGTGGCAACTTGAGTGAGTCCATGATCATATAATCTTACTTTCTCAAATAGTAAGTTCGCGCCAAGAATATTAAGAGTCAATTATTGCATAACTAAGGCAACTGGATTGAGTAACAGATCATTTCACTTTTAGGAAGAACCAAAACCAACTTCGAGATAATCATTCAACTGAATGGCTATGATGTACTACTCATTGCAAGTCCCCGTCTACTACTCCATGACTAATTAATCATCTTATATTAGGCAAAATCGGACCCAACCTACAGAGAAGCACAAAACTGACATCAAATGGTATTTTCTGGGTCTATCTATCTAGTACTCATACGCAAGTTCCCTTCTAGGACTCCCTATCGTACATTCTGTTTACAGAACATGGTCACAACTGAAGTGGAGCAGAAAGGCAACTGAAATGAGTACTAATCACTTATTATACGACAACACCAACTCAACCTTCAGATAAGCACGAAACTAGTATCAAATGGAATTTTGTGGGTCTATCCATCTAGTACTCATTCTCAAGTTCCCTTCTAGGACTCCCTATCGTACTTTCTGTTTACAGAACATGGTCACAACTGAAGTGGAGCAGAAAGGCAACTGAAATGAGTACTGATCACTTATTATATGGCGACACCAACTCAACCTTCATATAAGCACGGAACTGATATCAAATGGTATTTTGTGGGTCTATCCATCTAGTACTCATTCTCAAGTTCCCTTCTAGGACTCCCTATCGTACTTTCTGTTTACAGAACATGGTCACAACTGAAGTGGAGCAGAAAGGCAACTGAAATGAGTACTAATCACTTATTATATGGCGACACCAACTCAACCTTCAGATAAGCACGGAACTTATATCAAATGGTATTCTCTAGGTCTATCCATC